CTTGTTTGTACAAAAAAAGATAAAGTTTTAGTCTGCCCGGAAATTTTTGTCACCCTCTTTCTTCTTTTCTTTTATGATTTTATCTACATGTACAGAATTTTTCATTATTGAATTTCTACTGTTGGGTCCATCTCCTCTTTTTTTCTTAGATTTTCGAATTCAATTGATATTAATGGTTAGATTGGCCCCAAATAGCGCTGTCATAGCCAGAAAAAAAATACAGAAGTTGCTGGGGTTTTGGCTTCTCTTCTGTGTCTTATCCGAAGCATTGAATTTGTATGCTTTGTTTATGCAAGGAGTACATGTCCGACATTCCGCTAGACCTCTTTTATTTGCTAGTTCCACCTAATGTTTTACTTTATACACTTAATGAAATTCTCAGTATAGAGAGAAGGAATGTGATAGGTTTCGGACACAAGTAGCAATGTGTCCAAAATTTATTTGATTTAAATTTGAATTAAATTTTATTAATTTGATTTTATTAACTATTTTAATTGTATATATTATTTTAATATAATTTTAATATATTTAAATAAATTTATACATAAAATAATTATTTTATAAAAATTTTAAATATATAAATTAATAAAAATATAAAATTTAATTTAACTTGAATTCAAATTTTTATATTTCATCTAAATTTATTTCGAATCAAATAAATACCATTAATTTAAATTAAATTAAACATTATCATTTTAAATTTTATAGATCTTTTTACCCTTCTTTCCTTTGCGTCGTGGGCTCGTGGCTTTGAGTGCACCATCGTTATTTAAACGTGGATTGGATTCAACTGGCAAAACCTGTGAAAAAAAGGGTAAATGTCAAGTCACCCGTAGAGGGGTCAGCAAATTTCAGGTCTCTGCGTAATACAGCAAAGAACACTCGATACAAGAAAACAAAGGGATTTGAAACATGACGTCAATTCAAGCTACACCTTTGCATCATTTGCGTTCTGGCCTCATGGGCATAGTTTTCCATGCAGCACTATTTCTTAATTGCAATCCTCAATGTACATAATTGCATATGATGGAGTTGGTAGGGATTAATGCCGTTGGATAATAGTAAAACCATTTTTCAGCGGAAGACCCTTGGTTAAAGTGTAGCTGGTCCAAGCAAATTCTTATTGACAATAATCAAGAAAGTTTCACTACGATAAAAAAAATAAAAAGTACTTTTCATGAGGGTCGTTGGCTATCGATCAGGTTTTTTGCTTCCCATTGTTTCGATGCTAAAATTAATGGTTTAGACGTGGAGCAAAAACTTCTGTGACAGCAGAAAGCCTGAGGGCAGCGATCTGTCATCTGTGCCCCTCGAAAAAGTAGATCATTACCCTATTGATTCTACTTTTGTCACTTTGCAAGGATGGATTGCCTTAAGCTTGACGGAAGCTTGTTGTCAAAAATTTATATGGTAGCTCTTTCTTGCCTAGGAAATTTTTTTTAATGCCTTCGTTTGTGAGACTTTATTACCTTTGTCTTCTCCAGCTTCCCATTTTGTTTTTGCTTGATTTTAGCTTTCAATAGATTCAACAATTCACAGATACACCGGATTCCTCATGCTATCTTTCATTTGACTTTGGCTACCTCTTGCAATCATTCTTCAAAGAAAATGAGAATATCTTTTCCTTGGTTCCTTTCATGGAGCCAAACAAAGAATTAATTAACTTGTATAAATCAACAAGAGATTCCATCATTTTCTTTGATACAGTATATTGGATTCCAGTTCAATTAGTGATTTTTATTAAGATTATTTTTTTATATGATTTATAGTTATTATTTAAGTTATTAAATATGATATATTTTATTTTGAATTAAAAAATTAAAAAATTTATTTATTTTTAAATTTTTCGTAAAAAAATTCTCATATAAAACAAGGAGCTGTGGAGGTTGATTCACTAAGCCACATCATTGTGACATTTTATTTCCCAGCACTAGTCAATTACCATCATTTCTTTTGATTAGCAGATTATTCCCATCATAAGGAGAAAGAAAAAAAATGATTCAATTAATGTGAGTTTCCAATGTTTTTTTACCGAATTAGTTAAATCACCGTGTTCAAATTTATAAAAAAAAAAAAGGTCACTTATCTTTTTCATAGTAACTTTAAAAGCTTCTCATTCCTTGCAAGTGATTTGTGCTCTTTTTACCCTTGAAAATCGGATCTGCCCTTCTACGCTACTCAAAGATTTTACTTTGCTTTACTTCTTCTAGGTCCTTTTTTTCTTTATATTATATATAATTTTCATATCAAAGATTGATTGACATATGAGATACAATAGTAACAACCATTTCTCCATGGGATTTCAATAATAATTTATTTTTTGAGTTTGTAATTCTGCATTAACCAGAGGTAAAATTAAAAAAAAAAAAACATTAGTCTACATAGATTATATAGTACATGAAAAATTTAATGACATGGTCCCTAATTTCGAAAAAAAAAATTGATTTGATTTGGATTTTGGTGTTTTATGTATAAAAGCAGATTGTAATTATAACTTCCTTCCTCTCCAAAGACAATTTTTGGAGAAAGAGAATAGCATTACCAAACCAGCATGTCCTCATTATGACAGTCCGCATTCATGCTACTGCTGCACAGTGAATGAATGAATCAACCTCACTTTACTCCAAATTTCACCCTTTTTTTTTTCCCCTAAAATCTGTGAGTTCTGTCAAACTCAGCTAAAAACACTTTTCAAGTTTTAAAACCACATGACATGGCAATAGCCGGACCTCTTGCATAATTAGCTTCGCCTGAATACACATGCACCAACTACTTATTATACAAACAAATACCAAAAAGCAAAAAAGAACTCTGAAGCTGATTGGGGGCAAGAAAGTGGGAAAAAGAAACATGCCTTCCACATCTTGATCTGTCTTTTCTTTAAACTCTGGAAACTGGTGAAAGTATGAATGGAAGCCAGTTATTATCTCTTAATATCTCTCAATTGCTGCTCTGACAAAACCATAAACAATTTCAAATGTTGTTTATTTTAAATTAATTTAGTTAAGGTAATCGTGTTTATTTTATTGTTGTCCTCACCCTTTTAAAGCAACTTTATTTTCTTATGGCGCAAGAAAAGGCGAGTTTTGCACCAAGTCTCACAAGGGTAGCATTTAATGTACGCCATAGTCTCTGTGGAGCATCTGCCTATGCTTTTTAATGTCGGTATCCTAGCATTTGAAAGTACAATTATGTCCTCATATTTCGCGGTTTATAAGCATGTACTACAACTGGAAAAAAGGTAAAATCGATTAAAAGCGGGGGATTAAGATGGAAGAAAGGGTACGGGGGAAAATAAAACACGTGATGTTTGAATGTTGGGAACATTGGAAAGAGTAGAAGTCGTGGCCAGATATGATGATGTCAGTGACAGCATGTGACGGAACATGTGCTTTTCTTTTTGTCTTGAGAATGAATAATCATAGGCTTCATTTCAGCTAATGCCTAATGCTAGTATTTTTCCAAGCTGGATGCCCTGTTAATCATATTCACAAAACACTGCTTTATCTGACAGTTTTCTATTTCAAATATGCCATCGTTAATTCTTGCTTTGTGAAAAAAAAAAGCAAGTACGAAGAATGTGTTGGTCATTTTCATTTTTGGGTTTGAGTGGTTGGGATTTTACTTTCTCAAAAGCTAATAATAATATTAGTATTATATTAATATTTTCTATGGAGATCCCAGTCTGTCTGTGATTTGACATTTAGATGTTTTACCAAAACTTGAGACTTGACAATCTGAAGTGTAAACGCAATAGACTCGTCATCAAAATAAATAAAAAAAATTACCAACAATTATCTTCCATCTTCTTCAACATCTGATGGTAAGAGCTGACCAAAATGTTGTTTAATGGTACTATAAAAATTGAAAATGGTTTATATATTACCCTATAAGTTCTCACATGAATACCAAACAAGTTGAATGCACACTTGTTTTTAGGTAAATTTCATTAAATAATTAGTATAAAAGACATAAAGAACAATGGGCTTCTTTTATAAGTTGAAAAAACCCAAAAGAAACATTAGTACTTTTGCAAATATCTGTTAACGTTTGAAAACTGAATGCTGCATTAATAATGTAAACCATTAATTCAAAAGAGAGAAGAGATTTTGTTTTGAAAATTGATTACCGTAGAAGATTTAATCAGCGAACCAATGCCTTTTATAATGTTTCTCAAAAAATGCAACTTCGGTTGGGTATTTATTGAAGCATCATAAATGTTTCATTACATGCGTGAAGAACAATTTTCTTTCAAGCAGCTGCTCTCTTCTGCAAGCATGAAAAACAATACTCAAACACTGTTGTTGATGGCTACTGGTCAGCAGCAACAGCAGTTGTATATTTGTTAAATGTTTGCACTGCACAATTCAAGACTGATGCCCCCCACCCCTTTCTGTTTCTGCTTTTTTTTTTTTTTTGGCTCTCGGGAAACGCTGGGCTATGTATGATGAATGAAAATTTCAAAAAATGTTCAACTCATCCATCCAATCCAGTACAGCATTGTACTTTTCCTGCCCTGGGCTTCAAACATTAAAGTCTAGACAACCATCAAGCTCAAAAATGAGACTATTTAATGCAAGTAACCTCCTTTTGACCTGCCTTTACGAAGTTTGTCAAATTCATTAAGAAAAATATTTAAGGGCTGTTCGAAGAAAAAGAAAAATGGAAATTTGCAACATTGGCCTATAACAAGTGCTGACCAATTCGCAAAAGGCTACGCGACAACCTTCCAGGTTCCCTTAATTCCCCATGCGCACAAATTTTGGGCTTGGGCGCAAGGTCTATCTTCACTCTGTTTGCTCCACTAAGGCCCTTAAGGGCTACTAAGAAAATAATTATGAGTACACAAGCACGTAACTTTTTTTGTTTCTATGAATTATGGGTTGAATTATGGGTTGTAACAAGAAAGTAAAACAAGTAATCCTCATCGAAAGAGAATAAATTTCAGAAGAAAACAAGTTGACACAAAAAAAGTAACTCTATCAACCTGATTGGAAGAACCGGAATGATTTCAGGAAAAATATATTAATATTCCTACTATACGGGACAAGTACAGCATACATACAGGTTTAAATGGCCAACTGAATTTTTTAACAAGGAAGATTTATTTCAGTAGCCCCACAAGGCCCAAGACCCAAAACTAATGTACAAAAATTGAGACGGAAGCCTACAAGAGCAATGAAAAATAACTTGTTTTGATACGCTGCTTTAATTTTTCTTGGAAACTTCCCTGCATCACGGCCTTTGGTCTGTCCTAAGAGGATAATCCCTCCATCACGGCCTCATCCTAAGGCAAGGAAACAAGGTCGGTCATGCTCTATCTCCAAGGGAAATAGCAGGATAACTTCAGAAATCATTTCCAAATGCGTCGTTTGTAATGAAGTTATAAATTGAATTTCAAGTATACTATTTCAAACGTTGACCTTAGTACTTGGTAAACCTTGCCTCACGTTATCTAATGTTCATTTGATTGTTTCCGTTTCTTTTCCCATTTTCAACTACAATCTCTACTCATTTATAAATATTAAATACCCAAATCTTCGATAAATTCATGATTTTGGAATGAATTGCAAAATGGTCCACGTCCCACTGTCGAGCTTCCTCCCATCAGTTGATTCAAAAGCACACAATAAGGAAAAAATGTAGAAAAATCAAGAATTTGGTTCTAGCAAACTCGTTAACCGCGAGGCAAAGCAAATGGCAAATAACGATGGAAGTCCACACGTAAACGCTGCTGCAACGCGTGGTTTGTGGAGATTTATGTGAGCCTGGTAGTCTTGATTCATCCATAAACAGGTTGACTGTTTGCCTTGTTGGATGGATAGGCTTCAGGAGCAGTTATTTTGGACTTGGGGCTGTGGGGACTCCTCTTTTGTATGTTGATGAACCTTTTTGATTGCAGCAACAAACAGACGAAAGCTTTTGCAACTCGTTACCTTTGGGCAACTATGATTGAAGAAAAATGAAGATTAACTACTACCAAGGATCCAAGGAGACAAAACATAATATGGATTCCACATTTCCACTAGTGTACTCGTAATACGAAGTATAATCAATTTTTGTTTCTTTCCATTTGCCACCATTCATAATCAACTGATATATTTCTATAAATCAATTTGACACTTCCATCTGATTAAAAAAAATGATAAGAAAGAAAAAGCCTGAACTGTTTTCAATTTTCCTTTTGTAAATCAATGAATAAAGAATGGTCTAACCGTCGCCAGCCACGTGCCTCCACCTGTATAATACTTCCTCCAAAGAAACACTACATATGCCCAACCAAATATGCTGATCAGCGAAAACTGATCACGTTGTATGCACCCAAGAGTAACAGCTTGGCAGGCAACAAAAGGACCACTAGCAAATGCACGTGCTGTGATGCAACAAACCTGCTGAACCGTTTCAAGGACTCTCTCCCGGTTCGTAGAACTCCAGCGAAGTTGAGTTGTTCTTGGGCCACATCGATTGTTGCGATGGCCCTCCCAAGAATGATACCAGCATTGATGCAATGAGGCAACACCAGGGGCCACAAGACCTGGCGCCGCTGCTTTCTCTTGGTCCTGATGCGATTTAGCTCTTGACGAATCACACCTCGAACAGATCTCAAGTACGAATTCATGTCATGATCTCTTTGGATTGTACCTTCAGAACCATAAGCAGAAGGGTCACTTAAGATCTCTAGTGGATGTGGTGAGTTAAAGAAAATTCTCTGTGCAGCCCGGAGCAGCTTCTGTTCACTATCTTCATTTGACAATGGACAGCTTAGGAAATATAGACCAGTGCCTGAAGGAAGGAGATGATGATGTGGAGAGAATTTCTCATCTGGTTGTAAAATCAGAAGTTGCCCCATTGGCGCATACAATAGCTTCTGTAGTAAAACAAAATAATGGTTACATTCGGGTTCTAATTAAGTAGCATATTGATTTTTGAAAATGCAGAAACATTACCTGATTATTGAGACAAGGATGGTAGCGAAAGTTTCCATTAAGAGCCTTTAAAAGCTCTGCAACATGATTAGGATAATTGCAAGAGAAGGCTCGGGGAACAATGTCTCTATGCATCATAATTGCTTGAACATGACTTCGTGGCAACCCAAGTTGGCGAAGAAAATGGTCACCCCCACACATAATGCTTGGAGATCCAAACGTTATAACTGGAAGTAAGGAAGAAGCCGGCACTTCACCTCTTACCAGCAACATGAGATTTACCAATAATGACAAGCTGCCACCAAGAGAGTGCCCAGTGAAGCGGAAAGTTGAATGCTTGCCATGTAATTTTAAGTGGGAATGGGCTTCCGGCAGCATTTGTTCATACATGCCTTTAGCGGCCTCATATATACCTCTATGCACAAGAACATCCAGTCCCTAAACCAAGAAGATTGTGTTGCATTTATTAATAAGGGGAAATTATATTAACCACATACCAAAAACAGAGGTTGAGCATTCCTGATTCTATTGTCTAAAAAAGTTTATCAGGAAATTGACATCTGATGCAATTTCAATGAGCATCTTATACATTTAAGAATCCAAACAAAATCACATAAAGATTTGCGGGCAGCAAATCAACACATTTGTCAAGAAATTACCTCAAACTGAATAGGCTCAAAGAGTAGATTTGCCTGCCAAGATGCCAATGACTCGGACCCCTACATGTACACATCATAAATTGAGTAAAAACCAAAAGCAAAAAAAAAAAAAAAGGACCCAAAAGCAAGCAATAAAAATGAGTTAGGTCTGGTGAGGGTGTCAATAGCAATTGCATAACAACTAGTTCAAATGTAGGGTCACAGTCCAAAATGCAAATTGCATCAATCTAATCACCTCTCAATAAATCTGCAACTGCTATGCCCCTATTACCACATGTCCAAAAAATAATGTATTAATATAAAATGCGAAATTAAAGTATGGATGACATTACCTACCTGAATAACAAAGAATCTTGTAGCACTCTGATCATCGTCACATATAAACCACTCACAAGGCAATGAATATGTTGCGTTCAAATCATCTGCAACAGCCTGCTTCACTTCTTCCTTAGCGGCAACCACAGCAGTCACAGAGTCAGTAGCTGCCATTAAAGAGGCCACATCAGAGTTTATCATATCAGCGCTGCCATCACTTCCACTGCCATCTTTGGACAAACCCTTACTGCTTTCAGGCTTTGATGATTTGAATGGAAGTATGGTCCTTGTATGGGAATGCAAATATGAAGCAGCAGAGGCACTGATCCGATAGCCAATATTTCTCTGCTCATGGCTTTCTGCATCATGCTTGTTATTCCTTTGTGCCTCTTGATATTCAGAGGACACACCAATTTTCTCATGATTTTTCTCAACTTTCATTGCCAATTCTCTCTTCTCTATTGATGAAGTTACCAAACGTAAACCATGATGTTTTAGGAGACTTTCAGGCTGAATTTTATCCCAAATGGAAGATGGAGGAAAAAGACCATGTTATTCTTCGTAGAAAAAATAGAACTGCGGATGTATTAAACTCAACTTTCATATAATATTGGTAGTAATGTGAACGAAGGTAAAATTTACAGAGAAAATTGCTCTTCAAGGATACAGTAACTGTTTCATCCATAAAAAAAAAAAAATCAAGCACACACCCAACAAAGAGAGAAACGCATTATCTTCCAAGTAGAAATAAATTACAAGAATATAAAGATATCAACAATTCCTTGATCCACCAAAAACTCAAAAGTTTCACAAACTCGAGATTCAACCACTGAGGCAAAACCTCCCTTAACCCTACAAAGATAGCAATAAATGAGCTGTATCAACAACAATCAAATTGAAATTTTACAAGCAAGGTTTCAATTTGCACACCTTTGATTTCTTGGAATTTTCGTGTAACTATCAGGAATTTATACAGGAAGGCTTCATCTAGATCCAAGTTTCAAAAACAAAAAATTTCACAGCATCCCAATTTGTTAGTAATAGAAGCTTAGTAGAACTTTTCAAAAAAGATCTTAAAGATTTAAGATTAAAGTTTCCGGCTTGGTTCAATTTATAACAGACTGAATAACTTTTATTCTCAGGTCTTAGAAACCCATAGACGATCTCTAACTCAATCCAAAAACAATAAAACAAACTCATGTCCAACATTTTAAAAAAGGAATAAATAAAATAAGAATGAAAAGCAACAAGAACAAATTTCCGAGTTTCTTACCTTAATCTCTCTAATCGCATAAGCCAAGCTTCCAAGGTAAGACATTTGAGCGTAAAACCTAGCCTCAGCTAAAGTTACCCTTTTTAGCATCTTGGAAAACGAATGTTTATCAGTTTCAATCTCCTTTTTTTCATTTTCATCGTCATCATCATCATCATCATCATCAACACTACATAATTCACAGATTTCTTCCTCCTCATTGACGACACCGTTTCCATTGTTTTCTTCTTCGGCCTCCCCTTCTTCATCAATGCTCTTTTTTTCTTGTTCCTCTTTTCTCCAAGACGGTATCACGTTGAAAACCCAATTCCCATTTCGTCTATCCGACGTCCCGTTCATTTCCCCGCCATTCACGTTCCCCTTGTTTACTTTTCTCGCCTCTCCGTTATTATTCTCCACCAAAACTGCGTCGTCAACGGCCATCCCGTTGTACCTCTTGCTATTTCCATCTCCACCGCCGGGCCACAAAGATTTCAAAGGGAATCGAAAAGAGAATCTTGAAAACGCCGTCTTCTGCGGTGGTGCCGCCGCCGCCGTGGATGATGTCGATTTATTATCCACCGAAGACCAGCCCACCGCACTCACTTGCGTTGCATTGGTCGTACTTTCCAGTGGCCCACTCACCGAGATCGCAGGTGCCATCCCATGAAACCCCGTTTTCAAACAAAACCCATCCATTTTCGTTTGTTTCAATTACAATTCACTTGTTTGCTTCTTTTTGATTCTCTTGAAAACTTAAATTTTTTATATTAGTATAAAATATAAAATATTATACTAAACAAAGGGATACTACGTCGAAAAACAGAGAGCAATGTAAGGCAGCAATCGCGGGAAGCAAGGTGCATAAGCCCACTAACGTAACCAAACAATCTTTGAATTCCTGCTATCGTTTTCGTGTTTCTTTCTTTCTTTGTTTCTTCAACCCGTTTGAGATCTTTGATCAAGATTCTTCTTTATATAGAGAGAGCTTTTAAAGAGGCGGGAGAAAGGATAGAAATTCCTCCAAACAGCGACAAGTCACCAACGTGAGTTAACGATTTCTTTTCTTCTGCCTTGGGTTAACGAGATTTCTTTTGTCGGCTTTGCCCTCGTTAGCTTTGCTTTGGTAGGAATAGTGATATGGTGGACCCAACAGCCTGACTGGGTCCAAGAGTTTGTGGGATGAATATCTGTTTGCCACGTCAGAGTATTTCCGGATGAACCAAAACTGGAAAGGCAAACCCACTAACGACGTGTCCGTCAAAGGTCTCTTCTCCTTACTTCTCCTTCCTCTCCTCTCTCAGTAGTAGAGGTAGACGATATCAAACAAACAGTTCCCTTTAGCGTTACGCGCCTTCTACACGCTTCCAGCAATCCCTCTATTTTTTTTTCTCTATTTATTTTATTTATTATTATCTTCATTAATCTTCCCAAAAATTTCAAGGATATTTTGTCGTCTCGGTTGAAAAATCAATAATATATTTTTAAAAGAAAAAACAATTTAATAACTCAAATATTGTACAGTAGATCGAAATTCCTAAATATCTTTACTACAAAGTTTATATGGAGCAATTAATAACTTATTAGTATTTATTTAATTTCTATAGTGGTGCAAACCTAACAATAAAAACAAGGGTCCTGTACTGCATAAAGTTTTTTATGTGGATCTTGTATTGCGAGCTGAAAGCATGAATTACATTTACAGAACAATGTTTATTTCAAAAAAAAAAAAAAAGTTGAAAGCTAATTGTAGGGTGGAGGGGTAGGGGTTGACGAAAGCGTGACTAATTAAATGAAAGCTATTGGGCAGTTGTAAATCTATGTGGGCCCAATGATGTTTAATTATAAGTTTATTAAAATTATTAATTTATGTTGGGGCATCAATTCTTTTAGGTAAGAAAGTCGGACCATAAATTAAAGACAATGTCTACGTCTAAATTTAAGGGCGCCTTAAGGACTTGCTGTGAAATGAAATGGGAAGGAACTACCTGTCGAATGGCGATTGTGAAATTGTTTTCACATAGATTTTAAAAAGAACAACAGAAAATAAAAGTCTGCCGACCAACCAGCTTAGGAGATTGAAAAGATAATGGGCAAAAACAGAAGAACCAGCCCAAAGAGGCATGCAAGTCTGGCAGCCGACAAAACAAAGACAGAAAGAGAGAGTGCTACTATCCCAACCCAATACAAGGAATCCTTTCTTTTTGTTTAATTAACTTATTAACAGTCGACCCTCTTCGGTCTCATACGACCTTCAGATTGAACAATAATATTACAGCCTGCAATTGAGGTTAGATGAAGAATATTCACTTCATCTGTTGTTGGGATTGCATATGCAGATTTTGATAGAATACAGGCAAGAAAAAGTAATTAATTACAGCAATATTCTGAACAAGCATCTCCAAATTGCTAGGCACTTGAACGTATTAGAGAGCAAATACATTTTTCAGACTCGGCAAAGCTAATTTGTTAGTGGGGAAGGAATTAGGTTAAAATGGGAGAGACTGATATCCTAGTTTCCATGTATCCTCATCATATTTTAGAATGGGTGACCCAACAAAAAATATTCGTATCCTCTATTCCTACTACCCAAGAACTGCCTTGATTTTGGCCTTCTGGTCCATTGTCAGCGATGTCGGGAACAAAACCTCATAGGTGACATAGAGATCTCCTTTCTTGTTGCTGAAATGCAATGGCATTCCTTCTCCTTTGAACTTTCTCACCTCCTTGGGCTTAGTAATACCCTGAGTATGCAATACAAATTTATTTCCCTAAATATATTCACGTTTATTTCTAATTTTGAATTTTAGTTGCTGTTTGAGACAAACTAAACGAAGCTCCATAGGTTATGTCATGCTTACCTTAGAGCCAATGTCAACTAAATGGTCATCAAGATGTCTAATGGTCTTCTCAAAACCAACAAGAGCTTGAACCTGGAGGAGCAAATAAAGGAGAATGAAAATTAGTTCATAGTTTCCATTTCAAAACAAGGTAAAGATGACAGGTTGAGACATACTACAGATATCCTCAAAAAGACTTACAAGTGTTATGGTGACAGTGGTGTGCAAGTCATTGCCTTCCCTCCTGAATCGGTCATGGGGTGCTGTGCGAATGCGGAACTGTAGAAAATGCAATCCTTATGTGAGCAAGCATGAACAAATTCCAATATACTAACCAAAGATTGCATAGGAATGTGAACTGAACAGGAATCTATTGGTTCTGCCCAATGCCCAGCAAGTAGCACAATAACTGGACCATACAGAGGGCAGGAAATTTTTTAAAAATCACTGTTTAGAGGCTAACCTTCAAATCTCCGGGTTCTCCATCTATTTTAGGCTCACCATCATCATAGAAAACCACCTCCTGTAAAATGCACAGGGAACATTATTCAAAATCCAACAACAAGAATGACTAGCTTACTGGTCTACTCCTAGTATAGTGTAAAAATACAACTACAAGATGATGAAAATTACAAAATCCTGTAGAAGTTGTAGGATAAGAAATCCTGACGAAATTGTCAAATGAACAAATCTGCATAAAAACAATGTGTTACATTTACACGACATCAAAGAATCCCCAGAGAGATTTACTAATGTACATTTCTCTGTGTGCTTTTTTGATGTAATGCTAAACAATACAGCATGCCAAAACTAATCAGCACACCCTCACACAGGTGTATATACATGTGAATTATTCTTTCTGATTGCTTATGATTGTCATTTTAAGAGATCATGAAAGCATCCAGATCAGCAGGTGCATAGAAAGCGAAAAGCAGCATCCTAAACAATTATTCAGATTTTAAAAAAAAAAAAAAAGAAACGCAAAAATAAGATGCTACTATCAACTACTCTTTCTGTACCAAATAATTCATACAAAACAAACTTTTCATCTCACAAAATAGATTATTCTCTTTCACTTTCCTTAGGTTTTAAGCATGACAAAAAATTTGAACATTATTTAAGAAAAAATGGACAACAATAACAACATGCAATCTAAGAAAAACTACAATCACAAAAAATTCTAATTCTACAAACTTACTTGTCCATCCTGCATTCCTTTCTCAATATCAACTGTGACAATATACCCCTCTCGTTCATATTTGACATTTTGGCACTGCTCACAGACCTGAGAAAAGAAAATTGGATATTAATTATAAAAAATTGATTATAGCAACATAATACATGACAATTCAGACAGTGTAAAATGCTCAAGGAACAAAATTAAGAATATGATAACAGTATGAAACTTAAAATATCAAAGAAAAAGAAAAACAGCAAAGCTAAAGTACCTCTTCAGTCATCTGTTGGAACATCCCTGGACCAATTTGCTTATGATATACCTCATTTCTGCAGTTACAGCGTCGTTTACCAGGGGCTGGCTTTAAGGTGTTTTTCTCCCTCCACACCTGGTGAATTCCAGTTCAATGTTACTTTTCAATAAAATAAGAATATTGAGAAGAAAGATAAGGAAGGGGGCAGGGGGAACAGAAAGGCAAGCACCTACCTACTAGTTCCTCACAAAGTCACAAATTAAGGACAAGAAGGAAAAAGATTGATCATTTTGTGATAATCTATGTATAATTTATTGACCCACTAGCTTCCTAGGAAACTATAAAACACTTAAACAAAATATAAAATTGCTAAGTATAAATCATTAGTTCTGAATGACACCCTAACATCTCTTCTTTTGCACTTCTGAGAGCTGCTTTAACAAAGCTGACAAGGAGAACTGGCTAATGATCTAGCTCCTAGCTAAGTCAGGATTGAGCATAACATGGATTGATATGCATATAGACAAACAAGTTAGACGAAGTACCTATGTGTAAAATTTTAGTTATTATTACATGGATATGATGTTTAGACTAATAATATCCTCAGAAAGCATAAGTGTACTCATATATGTGATTTTGCTTACAAACATGTTTCCCAAATCCAAGTTTAGAAGGTTATATAATATGCATATGTTCACATTGCTATACATAGACTAGCCAACTTATCTAAGACATTAAGTAAGGTACAAGCTATAATGCACAAAAATCTTGGATTCCAAACTAGTCAATATGACCAAAAGCTGATCAGTTACCAGTATTGTTTAAGGATAACAAATCCCAAAAGATATAACTTCTCACCTTAAGAGTACCTCCCATGTACAAATCTTCCAGTGATGCATCCAATTCAACAATTACATCATCACCCTTCACAATTCTCTCCTCCTCTTCTGCCTGGCCTCCACCAAAAAAACTGAAGAAAAGCTCTATCTTTTCAGCAATAGGAGGTGCTTGAATTCAGCATAACATAAATAAAAGTGAACAATTCCTTAAAACTGATGGCTAGCCACATTTAAACTAAGTGAATGTAGGATTAGGTAGACTGTTCTTAAAGGTTAATATGATTATTAGTGTATGTTATCCAAATATAAGTCAATAACAAACATTTAAATGATAATTTCATACATAATCACTAATAAAGTAGAGGCATATATATATATATATATATATATAGATATATATGTGGTTTTAACTTCCACTATAGGGAAACTGAAGTTGGGTAACATACCTAAGATGCATTAATAGGCTTCCATATTATGAGTACAATGCCAGCATATAACTTACCATAGCATTTCAATTACTACCATATTACTATCAAGATAATTAAACGCAGTACCATATAAATAAAAGAGCGAAATTTTCAAAAATCTTACGTGCTGAAAATGTCTTGAATATTGACCCCCATTCCTCCTCTGCCTCCGCTGGCAGCATGTTGCTTTAGGCCTTCCTCTCCATGCCTATCATATATGCCCCTCTTTTCGCTATCCGACAACACCTCATAAGCTAATCATTCATCAAACCAATTAGAAGAAAAACCAGTTAATCCCATCCAAAGAATAAAAAGAAGGAGAATTTTTACCATTGTTAATCTCCGCAAATCGTTTATTGGCCTCTTCATTACCGGGGTTCTTATCAGGATGATACTTCAATGCCAGCTTCCTGTACGCTCTTTTGATCTGCTCATCCGATGCTCCTTTCGGCACTTGCAATATCTCATAGTAACTCTTCCTGCATCAAATACAATATCACCACAAACTTTCACCCATATATAAACGCCGTTCCTTGAAAAGGGAGAGAAAGAGAGAGATAGGCTCGTACCCTGCAACGGCGACGATAGCGTAAGCCAAAACGCATAACAGAAAAAGTAGCTTCGTTCTTGGAAGCGCCATGGATTTGAGATCAGGAGAGAGACTTGATCTCTCCAGAATTTCACGGATGTTTAGAAATTCTTATCAGATCTTCGATTCCAAAAAAGAACACCGTTAATTTCTGCGAGAGTGATTGGGGATTCTTAAGCTTTGGCTTTTTTATTTTCTCGAATGGATCGTTTTTTCAGTGGGAATGCTTCGAAACCGGGCTTTAGAGCAAAATTTTGAATCAAACAAACGAAACGACAGCATTAAAGAAGCGAGGGAGGAGGCAACAACGACTTGACTTTGGGTCTAAACCTTTGTGACGTGTTCTTTGGAAAACTGGCCAATGAGCGTGAGCTTCTTGCTGTTTTTTCCAATAGAATTTTGCCACGTGGAGTAGCAGATTTGATTACCTGGAAAATGGAAAATTGATGACTTATAACCCGAGTTCCCATGTAGTTGTTCAAACGACGTCGGCTGCTTTTGTTGTTGGGCTTTAAGAAAACTAATCAAATTTTGACATCAGCTTTTAGAAGCCTCTCTCGTCAATGGGCTTCTCCTAATGACCTTGGTGTGGCCGAAAATACGTCTCCTCTTCCATTACTCCCTAATTAGTCCAATCCACCAACCAATTAAAAGTTCAGACCCACCTCGCTTTTCAGGCTTTATTCTACCACCAACTTTAACAATTTCAATATGCTTTAATTTTACTTTTATTAGATTGATCAATGAGGTAATAAAAGGAAGAATATTTTAGTAGTTTGTCAAAGAATATCTATCCCTAAGTTTTAACAAAGGCCATCTTATAAAAAAAATACAATAAAACTGTTCTTTTGACTCGAGTCATACACAACTCGATACGTTAAAAATATTTCAAATTTAATTAATTTATATAATTATTTTTAAAAATTATATTTAATAACTTTATAATTTAAATTTTAATATGTATAATTTTTTTAATTTTTAGATTATGATTTTTTTTTACTCATGGTTGGACATTAATCTCGTTATCTTTGGTTCGTCCCCTTTTGTTCTTTCGCTTTGATTACTTTTGTCTGTAAATCTCTCCTTTTTTCACCCTTCCATTACTTTTCAGAAAGCAGGACAAGAAAACCAATCACTGTCATTTTGATAGCACTCTATCTTCTCACCTGGAAGGTCGTAAAAAACATTCAATTTGCGTCTGCTCCCGGCCGATCAATATTTATCCATCAGGTTCCATCGCTATGCATGAAATAGCAAGCAGGAACTGCCACGTGACCAAACACACGAACAAAAAAAAAAGAAAGAGGTTTTGAAGGGTGATTGGTCAAACCAACCAGTTTTTGCTTTAATTCATTGCCATATGTTTTCTCTTAAGCTAAAAGACGAGGTGTTGGAAAGTTAAAGTTGTGGCTCCATGAAACACGAGTTTGAAAAAGAAAACAAATGAGCAATGGAAAATCCAGCATCAAGTCGTTAAAATCAGCATTGCCTTTCACTCAATTATCATCTCAACTGCACTCAAGCGATAAAAATGAGATGAAATTTGGATAGAAATCCCCTACCATATGATATAGTTAATCAGCTCTGGTCATGGCATTTATTTTTTTTAATACATATTTTTTAAAGAAAGTGCAAAGATTTCACTTTAAATATTTTTGGGTCTATGAGAAACGTATTTATTGGAATATCTAGGAGCAGGCTCTACTGAAATCCCAATATTTAATAATAAAATTATTTCAAAATTTAATTACAAATGTTTGTATGGAACTGATTTCTTGTTCCCTTTTCCAAAAGAATTGCACGTGGCCGTAGGGCCAGGTCTTAGAAGCTTGGATAATCATTCTTCTTTTTGCCTTTTTAATTTTCTTTTGCAGTAGTGGGGAATGCAAATAATTCCCAACACGTGATTTAAACAAAAGTTTGTCAGGATAACACCTGATATGACGTCTCCTTATAATGAAAATCAAACATTCGTAGTCTCTCTTTCTCTCTAAAGTGAGTGCATTTGACCAATTCATGTTTAATGTCTCGAGGATAAATTTGATATATATGATTATAATAATAAAATATAATATAATATTATAAATAAAATTTATTTTATTTTATTTTATTTTAAATTTGATGTAAATTTTAATATATAATAATTTATTTATTAGTCAAAATTATATTTTTTAAAATTTTATATAACTTTAATTATTTATATAATTTTTAAAAATATAACAAAATATATAAGTTAAGTTTTATAGATTAAAAATAATCATCTCTACTTTGAGATGATTAAATCATCTTATATCAAAAAAATAATTAATCTTCATTGTAATCTTATCTATTTCTTTAAATACAAATTTAACATAATATATGATAATTATCATCTTATTTTATTTATTATCTTATGCATTAAATATGACTTAATTTCATTAATATAATATACTTTGGCCTTGGGTTGGTCTGATTTTTTCACACCTTTTTTAATTTGTTTTTAACTAAAATAAAAAATAAATTAAAATAACATAAATTCATGTTATTGATTAAAAAATGGACCTCACAAAAAGTAATAACATATCATCCTATAAATATTTTAAAATAGAAAAATTATAAATTAAAAGATTATATTTAAGTTATAGAATAGCTTGAGAAAAGGTTCCAAAAATCATAAGGTATGATTTAATATATGAAAGAATCAAATTAAAAAGGTTGAACATGTAAACAATCAATTGCCTTAGATTTTAAGAAGGAGCACTCGACTATTAGTGGCATGGGAGACGATTGTTATGTTAAATAAAAGCTAATAAAAGTCTCTATACAATTAGCAATCAACTACCTAGCCTAGGGCTATCGACTGTTATAATTGAAAATTAATCTAGTCAATACTTAACCTTATGAAAATAGAGCCTTTTGAAATTTGATTTAGACTATAATAATTTACTTCTTTTTAAGTAGAGTCGATTTTCTTGTAGTTGAAATCATTATGAAAATTTAGAAAAGTTTACTACTTTAAGAAACAGTCAACTACTTAAGTAATAAACGCATTTTATATGTCGAAAAAAGTTGACTGTCTTGCTCCACATAGCATTATGAAATTTGAAAATAAAAAAAATAATCGATTACTTTATAGGTGAAGTCGACTACTTTATATGAAAAGTTACAATTTTTATAAATGTAAAAATATTTTTTCTTAGTATAAAACATTCATAAGGATATCTTTTTAATCAAAGTAAGTGACTTTTTATTAAAACAATATAATCAATAGGTTACATCATTAAAATTCAATCTCTTTAAATAGATATTATTGGAAGTTTATTTGACAATTCAAGTTTTATTCTCCTTTTTCACTCATTCATTCTCAATAGAAGGCTTGTTTCATTTGCATAGTATATTGCATAAAACTTTATTAAAAATAAAGTATTTTCGTTTCTCATCAAAGAGCTTTTAGTAATTTAATTTTTATAATGAAAGGTGATTCAAATAAGACTTCATTGTATCTTAAAAAATTTTCAGTTCAACTTATTTCATATACCATCATTAATAGAGGCAAAATAAACTTTGAGGATAGTGGCATAAGTAGCACATCTTGAAGCTATTTCTATTTTATTGAAGATTCCATTTTGTTCATACAAGATGGAAAAAATATAGCTACAAAAGGATCACAAATTCATCTACAAGTTCACATTATTTTTGTAATTTTTAAGCCTTGTACTTTTCTAACATATTGGACTAACCAACCTAGACTTTTAATTTTAATTATCAAAATTCAATCTAGGATAATTTAAAAAATAATAATAAATTAACTACAAAATAGTGGCGGAACCAAAAATTTTACTTAGTAACGAGAACTTAATTCAAATATATTAAATTATAAAAAACGACAAAAATAATAATAATACTTAAAAAACTAAAACATTTTGAAAGCTATTCATATTTCAAAATGGTCCCTTACAAGGTTTCATATTTGTTAAAAATTTTACAATGATCCTTTACATGGTTTCATATATTGAAAACATTGTATAATAGTATGTTATCAATACATTTCAATGTATATAATTAATTTATACACTGATAAATGTATATAAAAATATTTATTACTAAAAACGCCTTTTTTAATGTAACAATCAATTATAAATTTAACAATAAATAAATTATATCAGAGTAAACTTTTTTATTTTTTTGGCATTTAACTTTATTTAGAACACGTAAATATATATATATATATATATATATATATATTAGTGGGGCTTGAGCCGCCACTGAAGCCATATGACTAGCCTTTAGCCAAGTACATTTGAAGTTATGCTCCACTATCCAGTGTTAACATTGCAAAATTTTATTTGCTCCTAATTTATCGACCATCTCTGTCACGTTGCATGGGTAGAAAAACATTAACGGAATCTTCCAACGGTACGAATAATATAAGATGACTAAATATAATTTATCATATGATAATTAATACTAGTTTTAATTATTATATTTTATCTTGTTAAATTGTAAATATAAAATAACAAAAATATAAAAAATATATAATTTGAATGAATAAAACATTTAAATTTCGTTATTCATTATAAAAAAATCAATGGTATTGAAAATACTGTAACAAACTGTATCATTCACATTAACAAAAGTTTTCATTATTTTTTCAAAAATCAAACAACCGGAAAATATAGCATGCACATGACAATATCAAAAGACTTCAAACTTTTCTTCAAATGTGAATGTGATTACAATATATATATATATAATCATCGTTTAATTATAATTTAAAATTAAATTTAAAATTTAACTCAATTAATTTATACAATCATCATTAAAATATAACATATAATAAATATTAGATTTAAATTATAGTATTTACAAACTTTTCTTCTTTTGTAAACTGCTTTCTTCTTTTTTTATAAAATTACAAGTATAAAATAAATTATAATTATAATTAATTATTATATTTATATATATAAATTTATTAAATATTCAACTGATAAATTATAATATAATTAAATAAATTTAACATAAAATTAAATCAAATACAAATACAATAAAACTTAAACCTAAAATTGCTTTCACTTTTAAGTTAACTCATCTTGTGCTGCTGATTTTTTTTCTTTTTTACCAACAAATTATGACGGAAGGTCATGACAGTCCATTAATTGTTGAATGGGAGACTTCGGTAATTCAATCAAATATTGGGGAGAATCTGGGCTAGATATCCGCACACTATACGTACGGATAGAGAGTTGACAGATAAACGACAAATTTTCCGACCAAGTGTCCTGAAACTGAATCACAATTTAAATGTTACAATATTTTCTTGTTGGGATGTCGTTTTCAGTTTGAAAAATAAAACTTCTGCTGGGAGATGTTAGAATAAAAAGCTGTCCAATGATCTTTGAACACGTCTTAATGATACAAATATTCGTGGTGCATTATCATTATGCAATTAATTAACCAATCTTTTTTTCATTGAACTGTAGATTGGACGGAGATTTCTTTGTTTTATTGAACCTTTATCTCCCAACATTGTGCTACTTTCATTATTACCCTTGACGATATAGTACAAGGACAAAAATATTTGGTTTTTATTTTTTTATTTTTTTTATTCAAAAAATTTTAAATAGTTTTGTTAATGTAAAATAATGAATAAAATTTATTATGATAAATTAATAATAAAAAATAATTTTTTGCATACGAGGTTAAATAAATATACATCTTTACAATTAAATAGTTAATTAAAATAAATTATTATATTTAAATTTAGCATTTTTAGTCATCATTTTTTATTATAACCTATTTCATCCTTACTACTACATTTACATTTAAATATATAAATATGTTTAATATTAATTTAAATTTTGTTGCTAGATAACTAATTTTACTTTTTAATTCACTTCTCAACGGCCAGTCGTGATTAGAAGACAAATGAAAGCGTGAATATTTGTCGCTGTCCATTGTTGGTAATTGATAATTTAGGATTGTACGTTCTTTAGTACATGTAATAATTTAGGATTGAAAATTTTTTGGCCAATTAATTTAGGATTGAATTTACAAGTGATAACGAAGTGACAATGATAACGGTATACGGTTGCAGGTAATAATTTTTTCTAGTGATTTTTTTTGCTTAATTTAATATTTTCAAAAATAAAATTTAAAACTCAAATTTAATGTTTAATTAATCGATACTGATATTCGTCCTGAATGGACCCTTAACTTGTTTTTTATTGATCAATAAAATTAAAATAATAAAATTGATTTTTAATTTAAATAATTATAAATTTTTTTAAATTTACAAACTTATAATCGATCCAAATCTCAATCCTACGATTGGATCTTATAATCTAATCCATTTTTTGAATGATAATGAATAAATACTTAAGATCATAAATGAGATAAAAAAATGACCTTATGCTATCATCAAAATTTAAAACCGCCGTAAAACCTATCCAAATCCGCCGTCATAGACACCTACACAACCTTAAATGATATGGACCGTAAAATCTACCAGAAATTTGACATGGACCACTAAATAGTTATGAACGCTGACAATTTATTTATAAAAAAAACAAGAAATAAAAGGAAAAGGAAAAGCCGACCACGTGAGCAATTACAATAACAATTTTGTGATTTCGCCGTGTGTCAAATATTATGATATACGCTCATTGTGATACTAATAATTTTTCTTTCAATAAAGAAAAAAAAGGCAAAAATGTTGGGGTTTTGTAAGGTAGATGGGAATAATTAAAGTAGAGTGGAAGTTTCCTCTTTTTTTTTTTTTTTTTTAATTTTTATTTTTCAGTTTTAAGAGTTCAAGAAACTTGAGGTGTCTGAGGGCGGAGAGAAAAAGAATTGGTGCAAGCGGCATCAAGCCATCAACGTTGGAAATGCGTGCCCGTGATGAGCCTCTTGACGGTACAGATGCCGCGACTCTGCTCTTGATTCAAGGCAAATAAATCCCCATAACGTGCCCCACCAGATCCCTTCTGTCCCTCTATGTCCATATTTACAACTTCAACCTTTTATATAATGATAATCCAATTGCTGCGCTTCCTTGCAAAACCAAGTTTTAATGTTTTTGTTTCTTCATCGTCGTAGCATTCTCCTAGTCAAACTGCAAATTTGTTCATTTTGATATCGTTCATCTTCTGATTTTAGCGATCGAGGAAGTTATCTACATTTTGGCCCTCTCCACCTTTGCCGGTTGGTGCCAGACATGGGGAGGGCGCCTTGTTGTGAAAAGGTTGGGTTGAAGAGGGGGAGATGGACGGCGAAAGAGGATGAGATATTGACCAAATACATCCAAGCTAACGGAGAAGGCTCCTGGAGATCATTGCCCAAGAATGCAGGTATACAACCAAAGGTTTTTTTTTTTTTTTTATATCAAAGTGATTCTTCTTTCTAGTTATATTTTTTGCATGGTCGTGAATGTTTTACCTCGTTTCTCCTTCGGCTTGCTCATTGATTGTGTACGGTTTGGCATTTGAAGGATTACTGAGGTGTGGGAAGAGTTGCAGACTAAGGTGGATCAACTACTTGAGAGCTGACTTGAAGAGGGGAAACATTACTGCAGAAGAGGAAGAAATCATCATTAATTTGCATGCTATTTTGGGAAATAAGTTAGTGCGGCATTTTCCCTCCTTTACTCTCCATAGCCAAAAGAAAACAGATACTAGAAAGTAGACTGTCTTTTTTAAATGGACTATACGGTGAGAGTGAAAACAGATACCAGAAAGTGAACTGCCTTTTCTAAAAAGACTATATATACGATGATGGTGATGGTAATTTTTTCTTTTTCGACTGAATATTAAGTGTTTTATATTTTCCATGGATGAAAAAAGTTCGTAATAGCTGTCATCGATTATTTTAAGCACTCGACCTTTTTTTTTCGACTTTTGGTTCTTTCAGTCACTTTCCACGGTATCCGCTCTCTTTTTTCAGTCCATGTCAGCTCAGCTTTAACCTCTTCTTTTTAATTTATACTGTTAGGAAAGAACTTAACTAGACTAACAAACACAGCAAACTTTTGATAAGGCCTTTAAGCTGTAAAATTCAATAAGAGATTCCTTGCTTAATTGGTTATTTTGTCAAGGATTTTTTGAGCATTTTAGTTTATTCTGGCACTTGTCATTTTCGATTTTTGTACACTTTGTAGTGAAATTAATCCTTTATTTTTTTGCTCATGCTGTTATCAGGTGGTCTTTGATTGCCAGCCACTTACCAGGAAGAACAGACAACGAGATAAAGAACTACTGGAACTCTCATTTGAGCAGAAAAATCTATGGCTTTAGAAGGCCGTCCAGTCAAAGCTTGCCCGTGATCATGGACATGACCAAGGTCGGTATTGCTGAGAGGAAAGGCGGTAGAAGAAGCAGATGGCCAATGAAGAAAAACAAAAGCTACAGTACCAAGAAAGATGCTGGCAGTTCTTCAAATAAACCTATGAAAAACGTTTCTGTTAATGAAGTTGTACAATTTCCATCCACTCCACTGTTAGAAAAAGAAACCTTGTCCACTACTGCCATAGAAGATTGCATGGCACTGGATCCCTATGAAGAAGACAAGGAGAGAATGATCCCTGTTATAACGAGTGATTGTCAAAAAACCGGAGAAGGAATGTTGGGGTCAAGCGAGGAGAGAGAGAGCCTCGTTCCTATCTCTGGTGAGGAAGGAACCATAGAGAATTCAATGCTATGCCCTAGTGGTAACATTGAGAAAGAAACTGATATTTTAGCACCATTTGAAAGTATTGAAAGCAGTATGATGCTGTGTTTTAATGACATCATCGACAGTGAATTTTTACAACCAAATGGGGATTTGGCCTTACGCGAGTGGGGAGAGAACAAGATCACTGTTAATGTTGAGGAGAAAGAGAGAAGTGGATATTTGAGTCCAAATAAAACGACAGCTACTAATGAGGAAATAGGAAGTGGAAACACTAATGAAGATTGTGGGGACTTGAATTCCTGTTCAATAACTTCGTGCTTCGTTGTTGATGATTGTAATCTCGATAATCTTTATTGGGATTGGGAGAGTGTAGTTCAAGGGAATGAGCTTTGGGAGGAGGAGTACATTTCATCTTGGCTGTGGAAGTGCGATTATAATGGGAAAGGAGAGAGATATAAATTGGAAGACAAGGACTTAGAGTTTGAGAGGCATAATTCCATGGTTGCTTGGCTTTTCTCCTAATGCTCTCTCCTCCTGCTGTTGTCTTTTTTTTCTTTTGTTTGTTGACAGTGAGCTAGACAGTAGCAACAAATCTGTGTCTCTTTTTTTTTTTTTTTGAGTTTTGTTTCTCTCCTGAATCCTGATGCTTGTTTTTGTTTCCCATTCCATTTTGTTGGTAAAAAGATTGCCGGTGAAAATCTTCAGTTGAAAGACCTCTCAACTTTTATTACTATTATTATTACCACCATGATACGTTTAATATTTTTATATATTAAAAAACAAAAATATTGATGAAAAAATTTATTTAACTTAGATTTATTCTTGATCGACTTTTACTGAAAAACGTTAGAGTCAGAAGTTGCTATACCATTGTTCCAATCAATGGCAAATTGCCAACAAACTAATTGCTCTACCTACGTGGCAGGCGTACGAGCAGCTAAAAATAATGGCCAGAGGATCCCTGCCTGTAAGAAACCGAAGAAGGGGTACTAGATCTTAACTGCAATCATAATGACCTGGTGGGTTTTGCCAGTACTGCCCAGGCTAGTGGGCTGTGGGTGACTTGGTGGAGCCAAACTGGGCCAATGCTCTGTGAAAACGGACCCTTTTCATTACTTTTATTTGAACAATCATGACGGAGCCTGACATCTCCCTTACGAAATAAAGAATGAAAATTGACGGATCCTTCAAACGAAAGAACTGCTACCAACCCATATGTACCCTTGACGCTCGTAAGTGAGGTGAGCAAAAATCATTTGAGTTCATTAGATTCGATCAATCGAATAAATTTAATTAAATTAATTTGATTTATTTAATTTTAATTATAATTAATTTTTTAAATTGATTAAATTAATTAATTCAATAAATTTTTAATTTTTAAAATTGATAATCGCAATGATTGAATTAGATTTTTTAATAATTAAAAATAAAAAAATTTGAGATAAATATATATTTTTTATAAAATATTATTGAAATTATTAAATTATTTAATAATTTAATTTAAATGATACTAAAATTTAAATTTTATTAAATTAAATTTATGATTAAACAATTATTCATAATAAAAAAAATGATAAAAAGATCGGTTATTTAATCGAACCAACTAAATTGAATCGATTTTAATCGGTTGAGTTATGGTCAATTATTTAATAATATTCGATCGATTCAATTATTTATTAAATAAAAATCGATTAAATCGATAATTGATTTTTTTAAACCAAATCGATCGAACCGACTATTTATTCACACCTATTCGTAAGTAACAAAACATAATCTCCATTGTTGGTATAGATCATCTCAAAAGAAAAAAATAATGGTGTTTTTGCATAAAACTAAAATCAAATATTAAATGACAACTATGGATTGAAAGTTCTATGATAATTGATTTCTGTATATAATTTTTAAAGGGCAATGTTATTTATTACTCAAAAAAAACTGTCAACTGCATCTTTTATTACTATGTACAATTACCTAAGACAATGTTCTTTAATATTTTTCAGTGATTATAATACTCTTAAAAAAACCATTGTACTTATTGTCTCCTAAAAGATTTTTTGTATATTTTGCAAAAAAAAAAAAACTCCCCTCGAAAATTATATTAATTTTCCTTAAGAAAATTTAACAAATTTCATCCCTAAACTGGTGGATCTAAAGATTTTTTTAAGTTCAAATACTTTATATGTAAAATTTAAATTTAATTCTTGCTGTTAATTATTTTTATTGATAAAGGATTTATAAATTAAATATAAAATTTTTATGAATTTTACTATTTATCCTATCTCTAAAATTAAAGAGTCACCCTCGTACTAGACTTTTATTAGAAAAAAAAAGAACTTTTTAATATCAAACAACTAAAGTTTTAGCATTACAACTTGGGCAAGGAGGCATTTCACTGTTCAGTTTGTCAATGGCACAAAGATGAAAGAACAGTTTCTTTAACATATAAAATTCATATTCGTTTCATTAAAATGAAAAACCCAGCTAGCTAGTGAAGTCTCTATTCATTGCCTTTAGAGCCCCGTGTTTGTTCATCGGGCTAGTACGCCAAATAGTGAAACAGGCAGGGATCTGCTCTTTCCTTGGGGTCAGATGGGGAGCTATCGTCCTTTATCTGGAAGACAAACTTATCACCTCACCCGTCAGGCAGTGCCCGAGTGTACATCATGGCCTATCTGTATTCTTCCTTCAATTTAATATTTTGTACAATTCCTTAAGGATGGGCACTGCTGAATTGCTGATACATATAGCCCGAGTCCCTGGGCGTGTCATAACATGGACAGAGATTTGTTCCTGCTGTGGCTTCTTATCAAAGTTTTAAGACACAGCGTTTCCTGAGTTTGGTCCCAACTCCCGAACCCTGACTGGGAAAATTAGAAGAAAAAAAAAAATTCTACTACCAGCTTAACCTATCCCCTAGGAAGAGAAATGAGTTGTTTTTTTCTGAAAATTTAATTCTGTCGAAGATTTCAATGCCTTTGGAATTGGAATTGGAACAGGACTAGTCTACTTTTCTCATTGACGTTAACAGGCATACAGTTTCTGGATCTGGCATGCGCATATGTGTTTATACGGCAGTTCAGGGACATTCAACTTTGATGCTACATTTCATTTCGTTTGTGAATGACGGTGGCGATCGAGCCTATTCTGTATACAGCTGGTAGTCTGGTACTAGTAGTACTACCATACGAGTGTTGCATGAAGATTGAAGGTTGTGACTGCGGGGTTTTACATTCCATGCAGCTGGTAGGATAGGCCATTCCTATGAAAGCATAATCTTTTTAGGGGGCGATGATGATTGGCTTAGAAACTTTTAATTTATCGATCCATGGCCGGAGGAAACAAAAAACATAAAAACCAAGAATGTTTAAACTTTAAAAAGACAAAAGACAATGCCCCGATGACAGATTTTGCAGAAGCAGGAAGAGTCTTTTCAAACATTTTTTTTTCTTATCAGAAAATTCTTATCTTTTAAGTAGCGGTTAACAGTTTTTTTCTTTTTAGTGTAAATCTCATAGATCAAACAAGGGGAATCCAGGTGCGAAGAACCCCGGAGATGACTGCAATGAGCAGAAATCTCACTCACTGGCCTAAATGACAGGACAGCGAACACTAGATCGTGTGAGCAAGAGATCTCGGATCAACCATATCAAGGGCCAAAGCCCATTGGTTACATAACCTTTTAAGGGGAGGTTCCTTCTTTAATCTGGGCTTAGCCCATGTAAATCCAGAATTAAAAAAATGTCCATATCGGTCAGCCTAGTAATCGAAGGGCCGGCCTTTAATTCTTTAACTTTTGTCTTCCTCTAACAATTTATAATGATGAGAAATTTTTATGTCTGCATTTTGAAATGCTTGCCTTAGAAGTATAAGCAGCTGTTATAACATGAAGTATTGAACCGTTCATGGTCAATTATAATTTTATTACACGACAATGGTCAACCATCCGGCAAGTGACCAAATCTTGCACTTTTAATAGTCTTTGCTCAAGACTGTCATATTGGGTTTTAGCCCAATACCACATTCAACTAATTGGGCTATGACGGTTCTTTAAAAATTAAAAATAAAAAAAAATGGAAAATGGGCTGTGGCGGCTACCAGGTTCCAAGCCTAAGTCCTCCACGATAGCGGAGCCTATCAAGGTATGCCATGTCATCTGAAACACGTCACCGTGCTTCGCTTGACCAAGAGGCAGGGAGCTTATCCTATCCGCTACGCATCATAGTAAAAAGAAAGCGCCAACAAACTAAGTCATGATTTTTCACCAAATGAAAGTATGCCACGGCGTCGTTTAAGGTAAAGACCATGATGTTCCAGCTGAGCTCCTTGGTCCTCTATGACCATTGATTCTTCGCTTCCAAAAGTCCACAACAACAACCAAACAGCCCAGCTAAAATATCAGTATTCTTAAATAGAATTCATTTATAAAAAAAAGAAAATGAAAAGGAGAAATCCTACCACCTATAAAAGTCAAGCCTGGGAGAGATAGAGTGAAAACAGAGGAAGTTAGAAACGGAGAAGGAAAAAAAAATGGAGAAGTTTCAGATCTGGTTGACCTTTGGAACCTTGGCCTTGTTATTGGCATCAGCGTTGGCCGACGACGTTGTTGTACTAACCGAAGAAAACTTCGACAAGGAAGTTGGTCAAGACAGTGGAGCTCTCGTCGAGTTCTATGCTCCTTGGTAATAATTTTTTCGTCTTCTATTTCTTTCATTTTTTTTCTTTGTTAGATTAGATTTTATACTCTATGTTTTTTTGGTGTTTCACACTAGATCCTCATTAATCGATCGTTAGATCTATCAGCAATTGAAATGAGAACATCGATATTTTCTCTTATTGTTTGTTTCTTTGATTGATTGTTTCTCACATTTGTTTATAAGGATCAAACTCTCTAGATGACCAAGTGTTGCTAAAGATGTTCCTTTTAAGGCTTTTTTTTCTCAAGAATTAGAATTTGGTTTTTTTTTTTTTAAAGACATTTGAGCTCAGTGATCTCACTTCTGGCTATGGATTTAGAATAATCGGTTTTTTGGCGGAAAACTAAGTTCCAGCTAGTTATATTCTCAACATAATCGTTTTCTCCAACCACAGGTGTGGTCACTGTAAGAAGTTAGCTCCCGAGTATGAGAAGCTTGGGGCAAGTTTTAAGAAGGCTAAATCCGTCTTGATTGGAAAGGTTAGCGATTTATAATCAGCCGGCTTTGGCTGTTAATATATGAGTTGTTATTGATCAGGGTATTTTCACTACTCGTTTCTAATTCCTTTGTGTTCTTTTTTGAATTGCAAAATTTTTTTCTATGATGAAGTTTTCCTTGATATTGCTATTGATTTTAGTAGAAATTCTTTTCTTTTGTTTATGTGGGAGTAGGTGGACTGTGATGAGCATAAGAGTTTATGCAGCAAATATGGTGTTCAGGGCTACCCAACTGTTCAGTGGTTTCCCAAAGGCTCTTTGGAACCTAAAAAGTGAGTCTAATTTAACTTGTAGAAACAGAACCTGGAAAAGTTTTTGATCTTGGTTTAGGTTTTGTTATTGGTATCAACATTTTATTTAAAACATGCTCTTATTAGATCAAAATTGTTTTATTTAGGTATGAAGGACCACGAACTGCAGAGTCCCTTGCTGAGTTTGTCAACAGTGAAGGAGGTAATTTGTCTTTTTCCTTTGTAGAAGTTTCTGTTTGTGGTTGCTTAATCTAGGAAATTCTGTCTCGATTTCTTGCTTCTGAGTTTCCCAAGGTGAGCTTGCTGAATTTAGATGGATGCCATAGGCCAAAACCCACTTTGATTTGCTAAGCTCGTGGATTGTTTTACAGGGACCAATGTGAAGATAGCCACATTGCCATCCAATGTTGCAGTGTTAAATGCTGATAATTTTGATGAGGTTGTCCTTGATGAGACCAAAGATGTGTTGGTTGAGTTTTATGCACCTTGGTAAGCTTGTGGTATTTTTTGGTAATATTACTATTTGCAAAAATAATTAAAGTTAGGGCTTTTTCTAGTTCAGCTATTTCAAATACCCCTTAGGTTTACTGTTTAAGGACCTCATGACATATCTAACAAGTTTTGCTGTTGATATTCTGTTGCGTCCATTTTTTCTGCTTAATGTGTTTTGACTAAGTTCTGGATTGGTTTTCTGCCAGGTGTGGCCATTGCAAAAACCTTGCTCCTGTAAGCATCTAGATCTTTGCTTAATAAAGTAGGCATGATTATTTTGGTATAAGTGGTGATCTACTTTCTAACTCTTTGTTTGTCTCTACAGACCTATGAAAAGGTAGCGACAGCATTCAAAATGGAAGAGGATGTAGTGATAGCTAATCTAGATGCTGACAAACATAAGGATTTAGCTGAAAAGTAATTGTAAATTTAACCAGTATGCTCAGTTTTCTTAACATTTAGGGAACGTATCAATGGATGTCAAGGCCTTTGTTTTAAGTGCAGGTATGGGGTAAGTGGGTATCCAACATTGAAATTCTTTCCAAAGGGCAACAAAGCTGGGGAAGACTATGATGGTGGCAGGGATCTAGCTGATTTTGTTACTTTCATCAATGAGAAGTGTGGCACCAGTCGTGATGCAAAAGGGCAGCTGACTTCAAAGGTTAATAGCTCATAGTTTATACTGGTACATCATCTGGGTCATTATCCATACTTTATCAGATTAATTTTTCTCCTCTTCTTTTTTGCATAGGCGGGTATTTTGTCAAGTTTGGATGCGTTGGTGAAGGAGTTTGTGGCTGCTGGCAATGATGAGAAAAAAGCAATCATCTCTAAGATTGAAGAGGAAGTTGAGAAGCTTAAGGGTTCCACTGAGAGGTATTCAATTGGTCTCTTTATATTCTGCTCTAAAGCAAAACTTCTTGTCAATTCCTAGTTTCCTGTTTAAATTTTCTTTGTTTCAAAGAACTGTTCTGTGTGTGACTTTTTTTGCGGTTTTTCAGGTATGGAAAGATATACTTGAAAGCTGCTAAAAGCTGTATGGAGAAAGGTGCTGATTATCCCAAGAAGGAAATTGAGCGGCTGCAGCGCATTGTAGACAAGGTAAGGATTACTATTGAAATAGAAGTAAATTTATGTTTTGGCGATTTGACAATTGCAATTAATTAATAGGATGGTGCCCTGAAATCATCTCCGCTATCACTATGATTTTGGACCCTTAGATTATAAACAAAATTATATTCCTTACAGTTAAAATCCTACAGTCGTGATTTTTATGGGTCATATAAACTCATGTTGCTGCCCACTCTGTAGGGGTGGTTAAAATGCAATTAATTATAAAAACCATAGTTTTCATTATAAGCATCTGTATATGAGATGCCCTAACCATGAGTTTTCCTTGTTTCTGGTGCAGTCAATAAGCCCAGCAAAAGCTGATGAATTCACGGTCAAGAAGAATATCTTATCAACATTTGCATGAACTTGTTAGATCAGTGCATTTTACTTGTCTATTTTAGGGCACTGGTGGGGTCAATTTTCAACTTCATCCAGGTTTTTGAGTATTGGTTTTCCTCCCAGTGCTGGGATCTAGTGTTTCATCTAATTTTAATCTCTGAAGGGATCTTTCAGCACAGCAATGGCTAAGCCTTGACATGAATTAAGCACATGCGTGCAGTAGTAGCAGTAGTCGAGAACTTTTTTGTGAGAACTACAACTAGCTAGTGCGGTGATTTAATCCGTCATTTCTTCGAATTTGTGCCTTTTTTTTTTTCCAGTGACAGATAGATTTACTTCTTAAATTACAAGTACACGTTTTAGAGCCTTTTTTTCTTTCCTTAGCAGAATTCAAAACTTTAATAATTATAGCTCAGTTCAAAACTAAAGATGCTTACCCATTTAATTTTTCATAATCACAAATTAATAGTCACGAAGCTTGCAAAATCAAATGATAATTATCAAAGAATTTTAGCAGATATTAAACACATAACAACGTGTACACCCATTGACAAAGGGGCCTTCAGTCCAATTACCAGTAACAGCCCTAGAAAGATAATGCAGCAGAGAGTAGACAATATATGCAGGGATCCATTTCTAGTGATGAAGTTCAGCCACAATAGTGGCATAGCCGACGCTCTTCTCAGGACAAAGAAAGAGCAGATGAAAACTCATAAATCGGATGCTGTTGATGATGAACCATAAATGTATGGCTGTGCGAGTGAGACTTTACTTTTTTACAAAATCCACTTCTACATTGAAGATACACTCAAAATGAGGATGGAGCGGGTTTTGATGTCATTTCTCAAAGCATCTAATCTTCTGATTCATCTCCTTTCAAATTCATATTTGACACTCCGCTAGATTTCTCTTGACTAAATTCAGGATCTGAGATACCCAATGAAGAACACTCCTCAATCTGATATTCTCGATCATCAACTAAGGACTTCATAAATGAGCATGGCCGTTCCTCAACTTCAATATTAGGCACATTCTCTTGGCCTGAACCAAATGGCAATTCGAATGATGACGAACCAGAAGGCTGTGTTCTCATCTGTACAGACCGCAAGAGTGCTGCCCTCCTTAAGTCAGCAGAGTGGCAAATATCACTTGGTGATGATGGGAATCGGCCCTCTGTATCTGAGCCTCTTTGGCGAGGCTGTGAACAAGCAACAGCACTGACATTCCCATGCAAAGGGTATGAACTAGATGAAGGAGTGGAGCAGAAACCATTCAGTGGTCTTTGATATCTATACGGGGAAACGGGACTAGTAGGCAGGCTGTCAGAATGGGATAAGCAAGTGTTCATAGGTGTCTCACAAAATCTCAAGTCATCTGAATCTTCTGACATCGGTGAATATTGCCATGACATTTCATCCCTGGAAAGATAATGAGGATGAGTTTTTAAAAACTTCATCACATTGATTTGAAAATGAAGAAACAAATACTATACAACTGAGGTAAGTCATATGTAGACAAGAAAGAGTAAAATGCAATTAGCATTCCGGACATGCAAATGCCATAATGCTCCTACAATCATCTGTTGCATAATTCGTTTCACTCAATATAATAGGTGAGTGAATAAAACTAAAGATAATTTGAAACATAATCCACTCCAGTAAACCTATGCAGATAACCAAACTAACCTCTTATACAATGCAGTCATCTTTATCACAACAATTGAAAACATAACCTTCAGATGATGCAACCAAGTTTCAGGCTACAATTTAAGACAAAAATTGCAAATAAAACATATTCAAACTATTCTGAGATTGACATAAAATAATCATTTTGTCCCAGCTGGGAAGAAAATACTTGATAAATTACCATGAGGCAAGAGATAGATAATGTACATTGTATTTCTAACACCCCAGCACAGCTATTGGAATATACAGCAATCATACAAAATTGAATCCACCGATTCCGATATCCAACAGCAACCAAGAACAACTATCTTCAGGTCATTGACTACGCCAATATTGATAAGTATCTATAATAGGCCTCGTAGTTATCATCTATCAATTAGTAGCTTTACTCCAAGGGTGAAATCATGACATGAAAAAAACGAATTTGTTCTTCCAATCTTTCCTATTTTAGGATTTTTTTTGTTTAAATACAGGGACAATAATAGGAAGTCCGAATACTGGAACGATAGCAACTAGAAAGTACTTGGTTGATTAAGCTTGAGACAACAACTAACCTGGTATAGAACATGCCTTCAGGCCTAGCCATTGATTCCATAAGATTTTCAGGAAGTGGGTCCCCAACAGTCAATCCATTCAAACTAGACGCCATTATCTGCAAACAAAGATTTTAATTTTTCAATAACTGAAGCCCTTTAATGCAAATATCTAACAAATACAAAATGCCTCATGTAGATAAAAACTACCCAGATAAATTAACCTAGAAAATAATAGAAAATCGAGCTTTTGGGATATCTAATATACCATACATCTAAACAAAGATTAAAAGTTAAAAATTGACAGTTTGGGCATTTAAAAACAAGGGAAACAATATAAAAGAAAAAAAGGAAAGAAAAGAAACCTCACTGAGATAACGCTTGTGAGAGCGGAGATTGTCAAGATAAACCTCATCTTCGGGATCTCTGCTTCGTTTCCCACTTGGGGATGGCGTCGATGATGATGTTGTTGTTGTGGAATTGGATTCAGAAGCCATTATTTTTTTTAGCTCTGAGTTTTGGTTTCGTTTGGATTATAATTGATTAAAGATAGAAGCCAATTAATTATTTTTGCAAAGACGAGAGATTTAGATTGGGACATTGAACAAGAAACGAGAATTAAGTGAAACAGCGGTAATTTGGCTGGGGATTGCGGCAGGAGGGAGATTGAGGAGAAATAAAAACCTGTTTCGCGGGTGTAGGGTAGAGATCATGTCATAGATTCATCTCTTGACACGTGTTCATAATGGAGAATTTTGATATTTTTCATTTTTTTTTTTACACCAAGAGGACGAAATCCTAATATAAATTTAAAAAAAAATCTGATTCGAAATTAAATTTTTAATATTTCTTCAAACACCAGTCACTAGACAAACGTTTGGGAACATTTTTCCATCTTTCATTTATGGATTTGTTTCAGCTATGGAGAGAAAATAGTGAAGCGCAAACCTTCTTTTTTGCCATGTACTTTTTATTAAGCGAAAAAACCTATCACAATGTAATTGAAATTATTATAATTTTTTTCCTTCGAGGGAAAAAGCAAATTTTGTTTTTATAGATACATATAGAGAGAGATATTTTGCCTGTGTTTCTTGAAATGGATTCAAGTTGGAGTGACAGTTCGTGATTAACAATCAACTCAACTTTGGAGATGTTAGAGTTGCTATTTCAGCAGGATTGAATGTAAATGACAATAGCGTAAAAAACAATGGGATATGATCAATGGAAGAGACAAGCTCCCAAAAAAAAAAAAGAGAAAAGCCGCAGGCAAAAATCCTCTTCCTAAGTCCATTGTAGCATAGAAGATAAGTGATATGTCAACCTCAAAAGATGCCGACGATAAAGCATAACTTACCTCTCCAAGGAAAAAAAATGGGGAGGCAAATTAAATGATGCAAACTTTCAGCACCATATTAGAAAAATAAATGATATGACGGAAGAAAAGCTTCCCCCTGGGCTAATAAGTGCTACTCTATTGTCTTCGTTTCTTTGAAAGAATCCTCCTAATTTTACCATATAAATCAATTTCCTGATGCATTTGGAGAAAATGTTAAACCTGGCTATGGGAACGTTTTGTATGTTATCATCTTGCTGTCTCTTGAACTTGACAGGCAATTCTACAAATGTAAATTGGGTGTGAACTGTCATCAACGAAACCAAAAAGTTGGTCATTAACCAACACATAACAGTAAGCTGATGAACTGAATAAAAAAAAAAAAATAGAAGGACATATACTCCACTATGGCCATGGGGAATAGAAAAAGCAAAAGGCGAAGGTAGACAGACATTGATGCTTGGATGCGTTTAGCAGTAAGAATCTCGCAAGTGTGGTCCACAGTTGGCGTAATTGGTGAAAGATATCTGATGCACACTGCACAGCCACTGCGCCCGTCAGGCAAAACAGCTTTCTCTCTTAGACGGTCCACAGTTAACGTTGGCCTAACTCCCAACTCAACCTGAAAAATGTTTAAATGCATTGCTATATGTATGCTTCAAGAGCCAAAATCTAAATTCCCCGAAACAAGAGTGACCCACTGACTCTAGCCTTGCTTATAATTCACAAGAGCCTAGGAAGGACTATCATTAATCCCTGCTGCTGTCCTTCTTTTAGTATCAGATTAAGAGCTGGGACCCTTTTGAGATTTTATTAAGATTCCTTTGGATTATGAGATGACTTCAATCTTCATAACTCACTGGTGCATTGAACGTGTTTTCAATGGTTCAGAAATTTAATTATTTTTACCACTGTTGAATAGTCCTCTAATCCTTTGAATAACCAAATAAGTGGGTACTCATGTCAGTCCCCATGTGCATGTTAGCGATAATGAGACACTTTCAATAATCCCCAAAATGTATAAAAATCCAACTTGATATTCCTAAGAAGGAAAATATAGTACCAATTAGTTTGATCAGGGGTTACATTATTTAAAATTTAACCCTAATCCCCAGCATCCAACCCCCCATCAATCAAATACAAGCAAACAGCAAAGAAATGGATGGGAAACGCCCAAAAAGGTCACAATACAAAGCCTTTTGAAGGCAGGTGTGGGTCATATCTTAAATACCTAAGTAAACACAAGGACGCTCCATGTGGGTCTAATGAGGTTTTTCGAAAATCCAATCCCTTATCCCTCCTTGACTTGGATAATAACAGCGCTCACCTAACAAAAAGAATACACCCCATGTGGGTCAGCTAATTTCCAGCAGCAAATTAAACTGTTTGGGTGCTTCGAAACGATGGGATACTATTTATGATTTGTAATCTCATAAACCTGCAGATATTAGCCACCGCCCCCACATAATCCCCATTCTTTCCTTTTCATCGTTCAGTACTTACAAGGGACGATTTCATTCACAAAACAACCTGAAAAATCAAAGTATTTGGAAAGGACAAGGGAATGGCTATTAATAAACCAAAATGACCCATGCTCCAAAAGGAACACCCAACACCAGATCATGAACAAATGTATTATTAATAAAATAAACATATCCATTCATAAGAACGCTACCCCACGAAAACTACTATATTACAGAAGTCATGGAAACAGAGTCTCATGCAGCAGTCTGAAAAAGGCAGGAATTCATATAGGTGCTAAATACAAATAAATTATTGCACGGCAAGGTCACATCCCCAACCCCCACCAAAAAAAAAAAACCTATTACTACACTGATTAAGCTCAAAAATTCACTAATCACAATCAAAAATAGGATTTTGGCAGTGCATAAAATGATCAGAAATATTGCAATTAATGAACTTTCAGACTTAAAATAATGCAAAGGCAGATAAAGGAGCTTTAACAATGTTGATTAAAACATACTATAGCTTCTTTCTACTGTACAAAAATATTAGTACTAGTAGTAAAAGGCAATTAGGCAACCTTAAACTTACAATAAAAATACATTAAACTGTATTTATATGATTTAATATCCTCAAACCCGCCCCCCCCCCCCCCCCCAAAAAAAAAAAAAAAGAAGAAAGACCCTTTGATTAATCCATCCTCTGTTAACTACCTGGACGAAACTGGATTCAAGCTCCTAGCGAGTCCGTTAAGTGCACCGTAACCTTTCGAACTGAAGCCTAAGCACCCAAACAATCCTTGTCTGTAAGGCAAGTAAGTCCTCTTCTTCATTTCCTCAGCTTGAGCTCTGTTTGTCGTGTAGTGTAGCTCGTGCGGTGACGGAGGCACCCGTCGTTTTGCAACCCCATTTGCCGGTTTCCCAGAACTCACTTTCTTACATACTCCTTGTTTGTTTTCCTTTAGTTTGTGTTTGGAAGGAGGTGCCTTTTCGTCTTGAATTTGAATCTTCTTTTCCTTCGATGGAGAGAAAGAGATGGAAGTCCAAAACTTTTCCTTCCCATTTCCTCTCCCCTCACTTTTACTTCGATACAAAAGATCTTTCAAGAATATCCATTTTTTGGAGTTTCTGCCTGAAGATGAGGATCTTGATGAAGAGGCAGAACACGACGGTGTCGTTTCGTTTGAAGTGACAGTTTCTTTCAAACCTTCCAAAATGCGTTGGCTAACTTCTTTTTGTTCTTCTCTGCTACACTCTTCATCTGCTTCTGCTTCCCATTGAAACTCTGCGTTTCGAAGCGGTGATAAAGATCTCGCCTTTCTGTGAAGAGATCTGCTTCGGAATTTCAGATCTCTTCCCCGTGAAGCTTCCTGGTCGTTGTTGAACTGCGCGTCGTCGTCTAGATCTAATAAAGGAGATAGGGTCTGAGGTTTTTGCAAGTGAGAGGAGAGCTTCATGGGCCTGATCTGGCCGTTCAAGAACAACTCATCAGCCGAACTCATGGATCCAACGGCTACGGAACTACTGCTGGAGAAACGAGACGAGAACTCGAATTCGAAAGGCGACCCATCCGATTGTGCGGACATTAACGAGGACTCGGATGAAAGATGAGACGTGGCAGAGGAAGCAGAAGATAGCACGAAATGCATGGGACTAGCTGGCGCGCTGAAGAAGTACCCCGAGGTGGGGCCACGGCTGGGGCTCGTAGGTGCACTAACGTAGGGAGTGGAGCAGGTGGAATCAAAGTCTTCACTGAAACGCGGCGTTTCAGTGGTGTTGGCATCATGAGGAGAAGAAGAGAGGTGAGTTGCAGTTCCACTTTCAGTTTGAGTACCGGTATTATTAAGGTTTTGAAGTAAAACCATAATGAGAAAAGAAAAAAAAATGTAGAAAAGAGTTAGCAGTGAGGTAAGGTTGAGTAGCTTGCGGGGCACGTAATAATGGAGCAGAAAGAGGAGAAATGAATAAGCATATCAGCATGCGATGAGAGAAGCAGAAGAAGAAGAAGGGGCTTTGACGGTGGAGTTAAAATAATAATGGAGGAGCGCTTGCGTTGTTTTGGAGGTTTACGATGCAACGATGGATTTACCGTTTTAGCCCATTACTCGATCTTCCTTCTTTTGGATTCCCATCATATACAGAGAAAGAGTAAGGTGAGAAAGGAAAACAAAAGGAAGAGGGATAAAATAGAGAAGAGGGAAGGCCCGAGCTGTTGGGTGATAACATGTGATGTCATGAGTGAGCTGAGAGAGAGAGAGCGACGCGTCAAACAAAGACTCCTTCAGTGAAGGCGTGGCGGCACGTTCCTGGCTTCGACTTCCCATGCTTTTTTTTTTTTTTTTCTTTTTCAAATAATTGGTGCGATTTGTTATTAGGGAGAAGTAGTTATAGGATTGGTAGGAAAGCATAAATTTTATTACACTAATGAAAGACTAAACTGATATATATATCATAATTAAGGATGAAGATTATCGTAAAAGCTAAATAATTTCATTTATGGCATGTAAAACAATACATATTATAGCAAATATGTTAAAAAACAGTAACTGAAAGTACCTTTTTTTTTGGTTTGCACACATAATTTTCCCGTATAAAAGATCAAATGTTATGTTATATCTGATACAAATAGGACAGTAGAAAAGCTTAAAAGCTAAACCCATTTCATTTAGGACATGCAAAATCATACATGTTTGTAGCAAATACATTCACGAAAAAAAAGTTTCAAAATTGGAAATACATTCATGATTATCAGTTTCTTTTTGGGCTTTAACATTAAATTCAAATGTATCATACTTTCTTAATGTTTTTATAAACATTAATAATATAGTACTTTGCTTGCATGAACAATCATAAATTATTGTTCGTACAATTAAATATTTTTTTTGTAAAAAAAAATTTAGGTATATAAATTGTTTAGTTTCTCAGATCATGATAAAATGTATTGTACTTAACAATTTAAAATGGATGTTTATAGGTTATGCATTTGAGTTGATCCTAACAAGTGGTGACCATCGACAAAATTTGAACTTAAAATTTTTTCATCGAATATCATGAACCTTAACCGATTGAATTAATCATTTATTGATAATATTTTTCTTAAATTTGGACCTACTTAGTTGAATATATCTAATAGTTTTGTTTAACTATTGTTTGAATAAGGAGAGATGTATATAAGGTGGATCGCCTACAAATGTTATTTAAAAGAATTTTTTTACAGAAAGAAATTAAAAAGTTGTTTGAAAGAGAACAAGAGTTTTTTTTTTTTTTTTCATTTTTCAAACTAAATACCTGATATATTTCTTTCCTCTACTTGATTGATTAAAAAATTCGTTGCTAAGCATTGTATCCCTGATTGAGTTCAGGTTACTTTGCACACTAGTATTTTCCTCGCCGTCTAAAAATTGAGATTTATTCGGATAAGTCCTGTAGCACAACCACTGATTTTTGCAAGCTAGTGGATGGTGAGGGCAAATATATTTTTTTCTTGTTTCTTTTAATATTTCATATATAATAACTTTGTTTTTTCTTTTTCCTTTTTTTAGTTTCAACTATTCTATCACGATTTATTAGAATTGTCCATACAATTTGCAAGAAACAATTAAACAATATACAAGTTAACATGAGAGTAAATTTGGCATTCATTTCAATAAGAAAAGTTTAAACATTTGTAACAACAGTAAATGAGATTTATTTTAAACTTACAAAAAGAAATGAAGACCTTAATTCCCGCACGAGGAAGCTTTTTGCATAAAATACAAAAGCAAACAGAATTTATTAAAAAATGTAAAGATATTTACTTTTAATAAAAACTTTATTAGTTGATAATTCGTATATTTGATAATTCCATCTACAAATTTGTATAATTTATTCCTTTTTGTTCAACTTTGTTCCTTTGCTTTTGGTATAATCTCAAAATTCACCACTTGCCAAAAAAAAAAAATCCGATTAGGAATAAAAATATATAAATTTCATAATATTATTTTATTATAGATATATGAGAAATTCAAAATATGAACTTTGTTTAGTAAGGGTAAATGAATGGGCTCAGCCGTTATGCCATTTTGGGCTTTCTTACCAATCAAATATTGGGCCTCGAAAAACACTTTGCAAATTGAAAAAAAAAAAGGGTGTAAAACAAAACCCTTGCTTTCTCTTCCCACCACCATCACCCTCTCTCGCTTTCTATTCCCTAAAGGCTATGTCGCTGTTTTGAAATTCAAAAGGTCGGGACATTGGATTTATTATATTGTATTAATTATATTATATTATATTTATGGATAGCCCAGCCAACCAAGGTCCAAGGGTATATCTATATAAAAATTATATGGTTCTGTTTGTCAATGCAAGCGAATTCGTGTTTGGGCCCAATTTGGATCAAAATCTTCAAAATTAAGCTCAATCCTGCCAATCCATAGACACATTTTTTATATTTAAAAATAATAAAATTATTTTTGTAATAATATAATACTTGTGTCCACGGTCTAGTTAGACATTGACTAAATAAGGTTAATTATAATATTAATTTTAAAAAATAATGCATTAGTTATATATTTTTTATAAATACTATTTTAATTAGTGTCAATTGATATCTATTAATATTTTTATTTATATATTTAAATGAAAATGTTGAATTTAAAATTTTTTTTAGAGATTCAATCGTAAAATATATAAGTTCATGCAATGGGAGCAATGCAATTGAACTTTCAAATAGAACCTTAGGAAATGAATCTATGCTTTTTTGTTTTTTTTAAGCGAAAACAACAAAAAAAAGTGAAGTTACTTTCTTTGTATTTTCTTGGAACTTTGACACTAAAGTAGTTAAGTATGAAAAACATCGAAGCTATTGGATGAAGGCTTTTTGCCAAACCGACAAAGAAAGAAGAGCCTTTGTTTGTTTCCGAAAAATAAAAACCTTTTGATTGTGGACAACGACAAGATTGAATTCTAAATTTAAGGTTGAGATTAAAAAGCTTTATCTGTTAAGTAATTTTTTAATTAATTTTCCCCTGCAATATGGTTACATTTCTTGTCGTACTTTACGTCTTGTCTTTTTCTCATCACATCATCTTTTTCATTGCAATATCAGTGGAAATTATAATCGCACTTTTTCTGTTATGACTGTGGCGGCTGATTAAGACTAAAATTCGGCATTAAGCATATGAGGACAAGAACAAGAAAAGGTAAAGTCGGTGAACAGAGGGGGAACAATTCAGGGTCATAGGAGATCGACCATTTAGCATCAGCTTCTCAAGCAATTGGTGCCATTAAAATTAATATTTCTTGGATGGGAAATTTTGTGGTCAAAACAAATTAAAATTTTAAAATAATTATTGAAATTAACAACTTACATGATTTTTAATATATACACATTATAATGCAGTCAAATTAATTTTTTTTACAACACTAGAAAAAAAATGAAAATCCAACGAATTGTGAGAAACTTTTACTGTTCAATAGCATACCTTTTTTTAATCTGTTCTAAATTCAAGTCAACAAATATGAAAAAAAAAAAGAAAAAAATCGAAAAATTTTATTTTTCTGACTTTTAGAATAGTGACGGTGACATGTAAACAGTCAACAAAAGTTGGGTATAACTAATTGTAACCAAGCAGTACCCTTAAAAAAAAAAAAAAAGAGCTCAGTTGTCGTTTCACACTGATTTAAATATTGACGTGATGATTTGAGACAGCGTGATATGATAAGAAAAAATTATATATGCGATTTATAAAATTATATTTTGCGTTTATTTGCATTGAAATGAATTTTGATATAATATAATTTATATTATATATATTAATATATTTAAAATATGTAATATAATATAAATATTTTATTATATGAGTGTATTTTTAACATGTTTAATAAGTTTAACATATTTTTAAATTTATTTTAATTTTATATAAATATATAAAAATTATTTTAAACATTTAATTATGATATCTATTTAATAAATATTATAAAATTATTTTTATATTAATAATATAAATATAATATAAATATAAATATTATTTATATATATTATTATTTTATTTTTTAATCTTTAATAATTTATCATTTTAAATTTGATATTAAAAATTAATATAATTATGTAATATAAATTAAAATTAAAAAATATATATTAAATATATATTAAATGAGTATTAATTTTTTTAATATATAAGTATTTTTATATATTAATATATCAAATTTATTAAATTATAAATTATAAATAATTTATAATTATTTATTTTTTAATTATATTCTTATATTCATATTAATTATATATAATCATATATATTTATATTAATCATGTTTATTCATATATATTTATGTTATATTTATTCGTATTTATTTATATCATATTTAAATAAATAAATTATATATTTTAATTATATCATATATATAATATGTTTATTAAATATATCATTTCTATATTTAAAATTTATGTTTTATTTATATTTTAATAATTTATATTATTAAATGTGTTAAACACGAAATAAGATATCACACGAAAACGCATATTGTCGTGTATACTTAAAAGGCTGATAAACGCGTTAAGAAGAAGAAAAAAGAAGAGGGCGAGGCTTGTCCTTCACGCTTCTATTCACGCTTCTTCTCCTTCGTCTTCTTCTTCTCCTTGGCATTCCCGCTCGCTCAGAGACATTAATACAAGCACTTTGCATGCAATAAAAATTCACTCTTTATACTAATTTTAAGCAAGAAGAAAAAAAATGAAGTACGTGTTGGTTACCGGAGGAGTCGTTAGTGGACTCGGAAAGGGCGTCACGGCCAGCAGCCTAGGCGTCGTCCTTAAAGCATGTGGCCTTCGTGTCACTTCCATCAAAATTGGTTTTTTTTTTTCCTCTTTACCATCCCTATTTTATTTTTCTCTTGTTTTAGAAGGGGTCCAGGTTTCTGAGTTGGTTTCTAACTCTTGTGTTTGTCGACTAATGGTTGTTATTTTGACTGCAATTTTTTTTAAGATTAATATAATCTGCCTTTTCTTTTTCAGTGTTTATTATTGATATGGCTAACTCTTTGGTTCCTAAACTAATTTCGATTTTAATTTCAGAACAATCCTGATTATGCTTATTTTTGTTTGTTAATCTTCTTCATTTTCCTTGTATCTTGTAGATCCTTATCTAAACATGGATGCTGGAACCATGTCTCCTTTTGAGCATGGAGAGGTTTTTGTTCTTGATGACGGTGGAGAGGTTTTACAATCACTCTTTTTTTTTTTTTCTAGCATTCAGTATATTGTGCTATAAGTATTTGCCAAAAAAAGAAAGAGAAGAAAACCTCATTGCAAAATATTAACTAACTTGATTTATGTTTATGTTTGTTCTTAAAAAGGTTGATTTGGATTTGGGTAACTATGAGCGCTTCCTAGATGTTACTCTTACTAAAGAGAACAATATTACCACTGGAAAGATATATCAGGTATTTCAAATTTGTCAAAATAGATGATAATGTATCTGTTCATTGTTCACCTGAGTTCTGTTAGTGGTTGAATATAACCCAGTTGTATTTTCTTATCAGTCCGTCCTTGAAAAGGAAAGGAGAGGTGATTATCTCGGAAAGACTGTTCAGGTGACTTTTCTCATTTCCAAATCATGTGGCTACTTTTGTCTGCATAAAGAAAGTAATGATAAATTCCGGTCATTTCTTTTTTGAGTGGATCCCAGGTTGTTCCACACATCACGGATGCTATTAAGGATTGGATTGAGTCAGTTGCTCTCATTCCTGTGGATGGAAAAGAGGGTCCTGCAGATGTCTGTGTGATAGAGTTGGGAGGCACTGTTGGTAAGAGCTATGCTTAGAAAAGAGACATTTGATGTGTCTGGAACTCTCTCTTTATTCCTTGTTCTCTCTCTTTTTGGGTGAGAGATGATTGATCCTTTTTTTTTTTTGTGGGGGGGGGGGCGCTGTGGTCCTTCAGGCGACATTGAATCAATGCCATTCATTGAGGCTTTGCGGCAGTTGTCCTTTTCAGTTGGTAAGCCCTATATGTTTTCTGTTTATTCCAGAAATGTAAATAATATTCTTTAGGTTTGATTGGTCATCAATCATTGTTTTCTCACTTGATTATTAGCCTTGTTGTCATGTGTTGCCTGGTGCTTATTTAGACCCACACATATGTGGTTCCCTTTTAGATCCACATGTAGTCACAGATCATAAACTCGTGCCTATAGGAACCTGGTTACCAAAGGAATGTGTTGGCCAAGAATTTTTATTGGTAATATAATTTGATTGAAGTATGTAGTACTAGGATTATGCAACTTGTCTGTTATTGAAATGTACTATGCTGATCAATAGGTCAAATATTTTGTACATGCATTTGCAGTGTGGTTTGTGTATGCACACACGAGTTCATAAATGAAAAGATGCAGTTGATCAGGTTTCTGAATTACTGGCAGCCTTCACCTCAATCTGTTAATAAAAAAGTTTTGATTCTGCATCTATAGTATGGCACAAAGAGACTTTATATTAGTCTATTCAGTATATTTGGATATGAATCTTCCTGTGTCATAATAATTTTCATTTTCTTCGTCAGGGCAAGATAACTTCTGCCTCATTCATGTCAGCCTAATACCTGTGCTGGGTGTTGTTGGAGAGCAAGTAATACTCCATAATTTTCTTATAGCATCGTGCATAAATTGAAAATTTCTTTTAGGTCATTGTTTTTGGATCTTATTTTTAAAATGATGTCAGTTAAGTCCCTGAAACATATTAAACATTGCCACCTTTTATGATGAAAATAATTGTCTCTGTGGTTGCAGAAAACTAAACCTACGCAGCATAGTGTCCGGGAACTTAGAGCCTTAGGCTTGACTCCTCAACTGCTTGCATGTCGCTCTGCTCAGGTACACTGCCTTGCATGTACTTTCATGCCAGAGATGATTTTGCCATCAGAAGCGTTTGGTAAATTGCATCACTGTGTTTTATCCTTCTGGAGTATTGTTACCTGGCTCATTGTAGCACTTATGTGCATTGTTATTAGTTCTTAAATAGGTTGGCATGAACCTAAGTAATCATTATTATCTTATTGGGGTGTGGCATTTTGTTGTGATGGTACTTTACTTATGTAAGTTCTATTCTGAACTATAGTTGGGCTTGTATTTTTAACTTGGTACTGCCACTGGCATTCATGTCGTATAAATATTTTGTTGTAAAATTGCAATTTCTTCTTGATTTTATTTGTGTTTTCTCGTTTTATCTTGCTGAATATATTTTTGACTGCTTTGTTTTCTTTATCTAACTTTTGTCCCAAATTGATGGTATATATACCCTTTTGGTTGGTGACTTGCAGCCTTTATTGGATAATACAAAGGAGAAACTTTCACAATTTTGTCATGTTCCAGTAAGTTTGTTGGCAAATTTTGGTATTTGTTCTTTTTGATTGAAGTTTATCATCTTCACTGCTGATCTTATTTATCACCTTATGGTCCCTCACAGGTTGCCAACATACTGAATATTCATGATGTTCCCAACATTTGGCATATTCCTCTCTTACTTAGAGTATGTTCCGTAGCAGTTCTTCTATATTCTCTGGAACTTAAGGATTCCTAGTCTATTATACTAGTGCATTTCTCATTGCTATTATATGTTGACTGTTGCTTCAGAGCCAAAATGCTCATTATTCAATTCTGAAACAGCTAGATCTACTCAGGTTAGTTTCAACATTTCCAACGTTTACATCTTTTTTTAATCATAGGACTGCTAAGTTCATTTTACCATTTGCTTCATCTATGGCTTAACTTTTTGATGCATGATTAGGCCTAGGCTATCAATATTTTTGTATGCAGCCTAGCTAGTTGATTGTTGGTTTTTTCCTCTTTACTCTATCTCTGTGATTTTAGCACGGGGCAAAGGTAGTATTTGTTACTGGTTATTGGACTGTTGGCATTGAAATTGATTGGCTGTTAACTACCAAAATTCACCATTAAATTTGGATCAAGCTACCAATAGCTGGCAGGTTTGATCCATTTAACTAAATGGTTATAATGTTCCATTTCAGCATTGCCACACCTCCAGATTTAGAAGCTTGGACCAGGATGGCAGAAACTTTTGATAATCTGACTGATTCCGTTAGTACTCCTTATTTAGCTCTAAATGTCCAGTTTGAAATAGAAGAATTCTTTCAGTTGTGAAGCAAAAACGTATTATTGTGCACAGGTGAGGATTGCTATGGTGGGGAAGTATGTTGGTCTGACAGACTCGTATCTTTCTGTTGTTAAGGTTTGATACTAGTTTAATTTCGTGACTTGTAGAGATCCTTAATTTTAGACATAGCATCTTCTCTGGAAAATACATTCTTTAGTGGATGCATAATATTGTACAAAGAAGAGTTTCTGGTGCTGTATATTATTATTGTTTTTAAATTATCTGTCCTTTCATCCTTTTAGCCTAAGGTGTATGGTAAAGTTTTCATAAACAATTATCCAAATGTTTTATATGCTGAAGGGATTAGCTCATGTATAAGTTTATATTACTCCAAATCCACCACCTTGGTATTGCCTAATCTAGATCATTTTGGTAAAAGACATATCATGCTGTGATTGATTGAAAACTAGGTAATTCATTATTTAGTGGTGCAAAATCATATGCCTGCTAATTGGTTGTATGTTTTCTAAATACTGAATTTTAGTGGCTTGCTGATTTATCTCTGACAGTAATCATTATTGTGCCTACTCCTTGCTCTATGTTTTCTTTTGCTTGTAGGCGCTTTTACATGCCTGCATTTCATGTTCTTTGAAGCCATCTATTGACTGGATTGCAGCTTCAGACCTCGAAGATGATACTGCTCAATTGGTATTGAACCAGTAGCACTTTTGGTATTACAATTTTTTAAAAAAAATGAATATTATGTTAGTTAACATTCTTCTACCTTATCCAGACACCTGAAGCTCATGCTGCTGCGTGGAAGACTTTAAGAGTAAGTCTTTTATTGTTTTCCCCATTGTTTTTTATGCCTTAACTTCTTCCGAGTCGGATCCTTTACCTGAGAACCGGTTTTGGTTTATCACTTTCATGAATTATTTTGTGCAAGAGTAGGCTAAAACTAGATTATTATTGGTGGTCCTGGAGAGTTGAGTGTGTCTGAAATTCAATCATACATAGAGTTTACCAATTATATACTTATCATTTTTTTTTTTGAGAGGGGATGGGAGTACGTAGAAATTTGTAATTACCCTTTCCATTTAGGTCACTGGACCATGTAAGAATTTTTTTACAGCATACTCTAAAGGGAATTGGGGATGCAGAGGGCAATTTGGAAATTGAGTTTTTTTTTTTTTTTCCATACTGTTATTTGCAGAATGCTGAATGTGTCCTAGTTCCTGGTGGATTTGGAGACCGTGGTGTAAGAGGAATGATACTGGCAGCAAAATATGCTAGAGAGAATAATGTTCCCTATCTTGGCATTTGCTTGGGCATGCAGATCTCTGTAATTGAGTATGCCAGATCTGTACGTGACTTTTCTTTCCTATACAATGTTTTTTATTTTCCAATTTACACATTAAACCTTTTCTAATTTTTTATTCCAGGTTCTTGGTTTTGAAAGGGCAAACAGTACAGAGTTTGATGAGCAGACACCTAATCCTGTCGTCATTTTTATGCCTGAAGTATGCATTTATTCTTGCTCATTTTACTTTTTCATACATCTGCCACATGCATGCTGGACTATATTATTTTCTATTTGATGTGGCAGGGCTCAAGAACACATATGGGAAGCACAATGAGATTAGGATCTCGAAGAACACTATTCCAGACCCCTGATTGTGTCACTTCTAAATTGTATGTTATTTATCTATTAGTTTGTTTCATGTGGAAAAAAGATTGAATACTCTTAATTCATTTGTTTCCCACTTGTGCAATGGGTGCTTGTGCCATATGACCTCAGGGTGACAAGTTTTATGTAACTCCATTAAGTTTACAAGGGTATAAGGCTACTTCTTATTATCTTTTCAGATTGCGTTGCTTCCCATGCGGTGTGGCTTTATCTGAATTATTTAACTAGATGTTGATTGGTAAAATCAGCATGTTTTTAGTGTCCAGTGGGTGTTGTTGCTTCCGATAGTTGATAAAATATAGCTTGACAGAATTAACACTGGTTTTACATGGAATAAGATTATTGTCCAAATTGAAGATTTCTATATATATTTTGATTCCATGCATGATAAAATCAGCATGTTTTTAGTGTCCAGTGGGTATTGTTCCGTCCAATTGTCTATAAAGTAGAGCTTGACAAAATTAACACTGGTGTTTACATGCAATATGATCATTGTCCAAATTGAAGATTTCTATATATATTTTCATTGCCATGCATGATAATTCTTTTTTATTTTACTTGCTAGGTACGACAATCCACAGTATGTAGATGAACGACACCGGCATAGATATGAGGTTGGTCAAGTTGATTCAACTGGGAAAGAGAAGAAAAATTCGACCTATCAGCATAACTAATATGATATCCTCTGATATGATTTATTTGCCCCTTTACATGACTCTGCTGTAGGTAAACCCAGATGCAATTGGGCTTCTTGAAGAAGCTGGGCTGAAATTTGTTGGGAAGGATGACACTGGGAAAAGGATGGAGGTGGGTTTACATGTTTTTTCCCTATTGCTGAAGTTTTTCTTTTGGTTTGTGTGTTTAGCGGAAAAAGATCCTCTCCATTGCTTAAAAAGTAGTGAAAGATTCCACTACTTTATCTAAGGGTGAGTTACTTTCAGTTACATCTACGGTTGATATTAATGGTTTTAAATTGAATACAAAAATAAATAAAAATTAATTAAAAAGATAAAAATGATTTGAATAGATATCAATCATTGATCTAATTGAAAGTGCAATATTCACCTTAGATAAAAGTGGAAACTTCCACTACTTTTTAAAGTCCTCTCAATTGCTTAAAAAGTAGTGAAAGATTCCACTACTTTATCTAAGGGTGAATCACTTTCAGTTAGATCTATGGTTGATATTTCATGGTTTTAAATAGAATATAAAAATTAATTAGAAAGATAAAAATGATTTGAATAAATATCAATCATTGATCTAATTGAAAGTGCAATATTCACCTTAGATAAAAGTGGAAACTTCCAGTACTTTTTAAGTAGTGGAGATATGATCCTTTCCTGTGTGATCATTTGTTGGATGCAGTGGGATTTAGATTCTCTTTGTCAGTCTTTGGGCTAGAAAGGGGACAAGTTCATTCCTTTTCTCATGTTTTGCAGATTCTGGAGCTTCCAGGGCATCCATTTTATGCAGGAGTGCAGTTTCATCCAGAATTTAAATCACGACCAGGGAAGCCCTCGCCACTATTTTTAGGTACTTAAAATCAAAAGCAAATGCCCAGAGAGCTTATGTGCATATGAAGTGCATAATTTGTCATTAATAGATTTCAAAAAAGAAAATGATGTAAAAAATGACTGCACTTTTCTATCCGTGTGGAAGGTCATGTCCCATATAGGGAAGAGTTAAAGGTGCATCAATACTACCATATAAAATAGTTGAAATATAGCTAAGATAGCTACTGTTATTTGTCTAAATATCAATTGAACCATGTAAATTAATCCTTCTAAAGTGCTATATCCATATGAATATGAAGGAATATAAATAAAGTCCATGTGCTTGGTCTTATAGTTTACATTTTTTTACAATTAAATATTTCATGAATTTGGATTATTCAACTTTTATCTTCCTACATGCAAAACAACAATAATTGTTATGCCTCTGCGATTGTAGGTCTTATATTATCTGCAAAAGGACAATTGGAAGCATATCTTCACAAGCATCAAAATGGAAGTTGATTTGCAAGTTATAATGATACATCCGAATCAGTTTTACAAGGTAATCTTCTTTCAGAAAATTAAATATGTGAAGCGGGTAGATCAAATTTGTACCTAGCTTAGTAGCCTGATAGGTTGAGGATTTGCTTTTACCTTGATAGCTTCTGCGCTAGAGACTAGGTCAACTGGAATTTCTTCCACTGTTTGCGCATTTTTCTTTTGACTTTTACATAATTTCATAAGGAAAGATGCACTATCTTATATTGCATAAGGAAAGATGCACAAGGAAACTGTCCAATTGGTCTTGTGGCCAACTGGTGTAAGGGACATGCACTATCTTATACGTAGGCCAACTTGACATTGTCTACAGCATTTTATCTGTTTTTTTTTTTTAAAGGTTTCCGTAATTATTTGGCATGGTAGGCCACTGGCCTGCAGCTTTTTCCTGTGGTTTGGTTAATGTTGGATATTACAATCAAATACAAAATTCAATTATTTTGCTTTGTTTTGTGAACTGACCTGACTCCTTTACCTTGATGTAGGTGGACATTGATAGATTTTTGAGGTGTTATGCTATAGATATACGCAAAAGGGTTCTTCAAGTGGATCCTTATTGCAATACAACTTGAATTTAGGCCTTCAGCTCTTACCCAACTCATTCTTGACTGTTATAATTGAGTCGTTGCTGCATATGTATTTGATTTGATATTCACCGGGCAAATTTTCAGGGTTGGTTCCTAAAAGTCGTAGAAATTTGTGACAGATAAAACATTCTTAAGACTTATTTCCTTTTTATCGTGCAAGTTTTTTATTGGATGAAACTCATGAGGTTAGGGGTGAGGAAGAACATTTTCTGAGGAAAAGCATCTCTTCCAAATTGCCATGTCGTTTCATGTAATTTGTGTATCAATAATGAGCACTTTAAAAAAAAAAAAAAAAAAAGGAACTCAACGCTGTGCATTTTGAAGGGGTTATTTATATTTTGGTTGGCAAAAGTGTCTGCCGTTCTGTTACTCACGGTGTACATGATTGATTTTTCAACAACATGATGGATTTCTAGTATGATTCATTTTAACTCGTTGCTTCAGACTTGATACGGCTCAGCCCAATCATACTTTTGATGCCGTTTCCCGGCTTTAGGAATTTGTACCTCCCATTACAAATTTTATTTTTTGTCACAAGTAAAAATTTTTCAACCACTTGCTATTTGCTATGGGCTATAGTAAACCATTTCCTCTCAATTTTTTCTTAAATTTTTTAATCCTTTCTCCTATCTTTTGTGTTTTCTTTGTCTTGACTTTATTAAAGTGGATTATACGTTTTTTGTTTTTTTTGCCCAACACAGTAGCCTTTGAAATGGGTGATTTTAGTTAAACTCGCATGAATGGCCAATGCCAGTATAATAAATCAGAGCGTTGTAAGTTTTGGCAAATACACGTCCTATTCCAATCAATTTCCCTATGTTTACTAGTTCAATAAACTAGTAGTATGCTTTTGATTGTTTATTGGCATTAATTTTCTTTCAGTCTGCACATGCAAAACCGTATAAGTAGTACTAACGCAAACGCATCAACATCCAATTTTTTTTCAGTTCTTATTGATAAATTTGTGAACGCTCGAATCCTCGTTATTTACAAAAATAACAAAAAGAAGCAGTGTCTGATCTCTAGCGAAAAAATTTTCTGCAAAAGCCGCAGACTCAAAAAAAAAAAAAAAGGAAAAGGTGCAGAATATGCGAAATTATGAACTTGAAAAGGACGCTGATTTCTCGAAGACCCCAAGATTCAACTTGCGCCTCTGTTAAGCATTTCAGTATATTCCAAATATGAAAATTGTCTTTGTAACTTCATTTGCTCATGAAACTTAGCTATGAACTTCTCCGCCTTTGAATCAATCCCTTCTTCCTCTAATGGATATGGGCTCTTCTCATCACAACCCTCATATCCACATTCTTTGTCTTTAGCCTCAGAGCCTGTTGAGTAGCTCTTCCTTCCACTATCATACCCGTAAACTCCATTTTCATCGATACCAAAATCGTAATCAAAATCTACTTCCTCAGCGCTAATGCAAGGGAGAAGGAACCGCATGGAAGCAGGACGGTGCATCTTAACGTGGAAAATGGGGGTCTCATCGAAGGAAAGCTCGCGTTCCTTGTAATAGCTGATTTGGTCACGAGGAGCTGTTGTATGTCCAAGGCCTTTGAGAAACTTAGGCACCAACCGTAGCTCCATCATAAGCCGTCTTTTGAATACCCCACCTTTTCTTGTCCATAACAATGCTAGACGCAGGAGTCTCCATGCTCTTTGAGCGACATCACTGTTCTTCTTCGGCATTTTCTTCAGCTTAACAATTTGCAGCAAACTATGTTTAAGTAGAAAGTACTTGGCAAAAGACTTGGTACGAGAAAACACTAGGAAAGCTTTGTTGGGTACTGAAATACTAAGATTTCTTTTGAATGGTAGCTAAGAACTTTGTTTGCAGTTGAGATTTTAAGATATTCAGGTTGCTGAAGGAAGAAAACTGAAGATTGGCTATTTATATGTTGAGATTTTATGCTTGAGCGTTTGATACGCGGAAAGAGAGGAAAACAGGTTTTGTTTTTTTTAATTCTGGCTTTGGTTTGGTGAAAAATGTGAACAATGGGCGCGGTGGAACCTCGTGGGAGACACGGTTGTACGCGACACAAATCTAGCTGTCGTAGTTTCGTTTCCAAATATAACCCTTTCTCCTTTTGTTTATTACTCTGATTAGGAGCAACGGAAAATGTTTTTGGTACCTTTTATTTAATTTTCGAGAAAATGAAGTTATTTAGATTTGCTGCTATTTTAATTTATTTGCAACTTTCAATTAATTCATTCCATGCAATGAAGTATATATACAATTTCTAATTTGTCAATTACAAAAAATGGTAAAAATAAAATTGGCAATTCGTATTAACATGACTTTTATGTAAATTATACAATGTGTAAGGCTATTATAGTCAAACGAAAATAATGAAGCAAATTTTTTGGTTGAAAAAATTGTAGTTGAAGGGAAAAGAGTGAAGCAAATGATTGAAGAGTAGGCCCTCCTTTTGGTTTACAAGACACGCTTTTAGTTGTGTTTTAATTTAGCTTTTGCTTTATAATAAAGAAAAGAAACAAAATCATTGAGAAAATGTTGAGTACTTTTTCACAAGGTAAACGCTTACTGTATTGTTTAAGTTTTAATACTTCCAAATTTAAAGAGAATCCTAACCTCAACCAAACAGATCTTAATTTATTAATTACATATTAGTACATGATTTCATAATTACAAATAAAAATGTGAGAATCTTCCTATAATATACTCGAAAATTATCAAGTTTTTTTCTCTCAGAATACTTTCAGAGCATGGAAAGTTGACAAGCTGAGGTCAATGAATCAATTGAAGAACTCAAGAGAGAAGCCAATATGTTACCTGGCTGCAAATCTGATTCATGACCCTAGTTTCAAATTTTGGCATTTGGTTTCAATTCGGCCTTCAAGAGACCAATTGTATTTGCAGAGGTTAATAGTTGATGGCTTTTGCTTTCTTCCTAATTTGGCACTCTAATTCAGAATCAGCAATGAATCATAACTTGAACCACTGTCTAACCGGCAAATATGCAAACAAAATTGTCAAGTTTTTGTATTCTGTAGACATTAATTAAACTCAAAAGCTGGAAATCTTGGTTTGATGTGGTTTAAGATCACAGCTAGCTCTAAAGTGCTGTCAATTCTATGCTTTCTTGGAAGTTTAATTCGAATCGCTAAGATTTAAGGGCTCCAAATGGTCTTCATCCGAAACCTAGCCGTAAAGGTTGCAGTTTCTTGGTGGCAAATGTCTTTACTTTGGCTTGGTGCTAGAGCTGATGACAGGAATTGGCTGCGGCATTTATGTTCGGGGAAACGACAAAGCTCTCAATTCACCACCAAAAAACGAAAGGCAACTTGTAAACTACAATGCCACCTGTTTCAAACTGTGCGGTCCCACCTTAAAGCTTGTCAAATATCAAAACAGTTGAATGCCAGAAGTGCACTGATTTGAAGAAGGAAAGTTCTTAAAGAATAGATGATTCAAACTAAGTTGCGGCCTTTGTCTTGATTTGAACATTGGAGTGCAAAATCAAGTTGATGTAGCAGGGCATGAATTGACTTTAAGTAACCAGCTGGCTAAAATCAAATTAATGCAATTATACAAAGCTGGCTAAAATGGTTCTCAATAATATAAAGGCATTTTCTTATGTAAATTCGTAGAGTTACATTTTAATTAACTATAAAATAAAAGCATCTTCTTTGGTATTATGCTAATAATTAATTCACCTGATATCATTTTATTTAACCTATTAAAAAAATAATCCAACTAAAAACAATATGGAGGACCCGCAAAGAAGAAGACCCACAAACAATTAAGTTAATCAATCATAAGAAATCATGAGGAAATTAAAAACAATATGGAGAACCCACCATTGTTTTGAATGTGACGATTATGCTATTGAATAATGATGGACGATTTTATTATGGAGGAGTGATGCTGGCATGGATTCATGGACCCATGTTTTGGGGGTCATTCTCATGGATTTAAATCAAGGATATTGTTTCGGTTTGGCTTGATTTGGTTTTTCTATGATACATTGCAAGCTGTTTGAGAAATAAAATGATAGAGAGAAGACGGATTCAAGCTAATTAATTATAGAAAAATTAGGAGAATCAAACAAATGCGAGGTGCCAGATTAATTTCTGGAGCAAGAAACAAGAAAGCCTACCGATTCCTATGCCTCAAACAACGCTCTCACGTTGCCCTTTCTACGCTTCATAAAATTTTCAAATGTAATTAAGAAACTAGAAGTCACCTCTTTCTTTTATTATCAATTAATTTTAATTTGTATAGTTATATTAAAATTTTGACATGATATCAAACAGCCCTTCTGTGTTGATTATTAAGTCATATATATTCCCTAATAATTCGATATCTTTAGATATTACCAAATAAATTTATTGTTTTTTACACGTAATAATTTGAAGGAAGAATGTTAAGTTGTAACAAATAATAAATGGTGTATTGCATAAAAGAAACTTCGTAATCTGTAATCATATAACTATTTGATTTTGAATATTTAAGTTCCCATCATGAAATTTGACAGAATGGAATCGAAGACAATTTGTATTACTTGTAAGTAAAGCAATGGTTTTGAATTTACGGTTCGAGAAAGGAAAGTTTGCCACTAAAAGTTACATATTTAGTTAGTAAATTACTGTTTTGGTTGCGTACTATTTTTGCCATTTCAAGAATTTTACCATAATTTCCTGGTAAATACATAGACATACGATGGTTTTAAAGAAGGGGGAGGGGTATGACTCTTCAAACTTGCAATATATAAATTCATTGTTTCTTTCTTCCTCTCGGCAAGCCTCGTTTCGCATTTCCCTGTGCTTGGCGCAGGGGTTTTAATATATAAATTAGGGGCCCTTTAATTTGTTTTTTGTCCCTATTTCGGATGGAGGAAATGTCAAAGACATCAATGGCCTCCATCTCCACCTCCAGGGACAAAAACATGGCTCTCGATGATCAAAATGGTTTGCCCATGTTGAAGAAAAGAAAGCGCTCTGCCGGAATGCGCTTTCTCAAGGCTGTGCTTTACATGTTGCAGTCGAAATCAAGCAAATCAAAATCACAATCCATTCAGGTTAATGTGGCTTCCAACTTCTCCTGGAAGGGGCTTGTAGGGTCAATGCGTCCAATGCATTTACAAAGCAACCAATCCCCACCCCCACCCATCGATGCCAAACCTGCAATCATGCCTGAGCTTGAGCCTATATCCGTTGGCGAACAAACAGAGGAACCTATTACGCCGCCCTTGTCTCCAATGACATACTTCTCGCCTCAATCCCCATCCTCTTCCATTTCATCGACTTACGGCTCCGCGAATGACCTGACCCAATACGACTCACCTTCGAATCAAGAAATTCATGTTATAAAACTTTGCGAAGGAATCACCGAACAGGAATGCCGGTACGATGATGAGGCTGGCGACGAGATGATTGATGCCAAGGCTGAAGAATTCATAGCTAATTTCTACCATCAAATGAGGCTTCAAAACTTGAATTGATCACGAATCGTTAACGATTGCGGAAAAACAGTGGTCAATAACATACGGACGGCATTGATTTCCATGCATGCACGTTGTGTTTGTTTTCTGTCTTCACTTTTTTTATTTATTTATTATTTATAATATTCATTTTGTGGTTCCGTAGGACAAAGTCGGGACTGGGGAAATATTCAGCTACGAGGTGGATATAAGTGTAGTAGCAAATAACGAGAGTGCTATCCTCGATCGTGTTTTAACTTTTAATACATAAGTGGGCATGGAGGTTTTAGGTGTAATTTTGTTTTAATTCAAGTATTAAATTGGATGATTGGTTATTATGATTTATAATGAGAGAAATTTAAAGGTTTTAGCTTTATCTTCGTAGCATATATCTACACTCAGCTAAGCTCATATATATCAGACTTCCTCAATTTAATTCGTGCATAATATTTCCAATATCATTGAAAACAATGCGGTTCGTCTCAAAACCAAAATCTTTTACAATATTAATAGCACTTCACCATTCATAACTTGAACCATTGAGAGTTGTTAAGACTGATTGTAAAGCAGATTTGTGTTACTATTTCATAGATGATCCCCATCGCCCCCTTTTTCCTCCTTTTTCCTTACATGAAAAAAATGATTCCTCTTTTAGCCACTTCATTACCAAACATTTTCCATCAGTTTTCTGTCAAAGACAGAAAATGCCTATCGACCACCGTCTTAACTCAAAATCCAAACTCCTATCCATCGAGTTCTCAAGATTGGACTTGGACCAAACATGTTCAGGTTATTGCTGGGCAAGCCCCAGCTTAAAATGTCTACGTTGGGTTGAAGCAGTACCCTAATATCGCTGAAGTTAATTTCCACAAATTCTTCTCAAGTTCATGCAACAGCATCCAAACACAAGGTTGCAGTGTTACGGTCCCATATTTAAGATTTTGCCTGCAAGAATCGGCTCAACTCAAAAGGCCTCGGATACTTTTACCACCTCGTCGTTTTTATTATTTATCATTTTCTTTTCCTTTTTGTTTGACAAAACATATATATTCATCTTAATCTTCCTCCATCTCAGGCAACTTCACTGATGCTGCATTACCAACTTCACCACCTTTCACATATTGTTGTTGGTGAATGGTGAACCAGACAAAAAATTTTTTATCTTTCTAGAAATGCAAGGCAAGGGTCAACGACCTTAAAGGTTACAACCAATGATAACCTCCACAGCCACAAAAGGTCAAGAGGCTTGCACTAATGACAATTTTCTTCAAGCAAATACAACTTTGCAACGAATTTTCAGATCATTAATTGGAACGATTAAAAATTACATAAAAAATATAAATTCCACCCATAAAGGAAAAAAAAAGTTATTTAACATATAAATTTTTAAACAACTACCCCATTCATAAATTAAACCCTATTTTCCAATGTTTTAATAAGATTAGGGGAAAAAAAACTAGAATTTATATCGTGTTACGTCTTAGTAGCAGGATTTTACTTAACAAGCAATCAATTCCATCAAGATCTTACCACCGCGCCACCGGGTCCCACCCTCCATCCGACGTTACACAATCTGAGCCGCAAATTTTCGCTCCCTTTAGTATCCATGGACGATCTGCGAGCACTTGTTCTTGATCCAACGGAGCCCTTTCCTCAAAGAAGCTTTTACATTTCCTTCCACACTGTAAACCTTGTATTTCGCTATCCTCTTCTTCCTCTTCATCTCGGGATCCGTAAACCCCCACGGCTTCGACGTCCCTTGACTCGTCCGAGTCGGAACGGGTGGTAAATCGGGGGAGCGGGACCGACTCGAGAAGATCTCATTGGGTCCAACGGTCGAACTCTTCCCGCTTACAATCTCCATCCGACGATCCACCCCGTACGGCCCTTGAACCGACCCATAACTCTCCATTGAGATAATAAAAGAAAGGAAAACTTTTTTAGGGTTGATTTATGGGAAATGAAAATGAGTGAGGTTAGAATTTGGGGAACTCGAGGCTATACGGTGAATAGAAAATGAAAACACTTTTTAAACAACTTCGATGCCTCTGTATGGGAAAATTTTTTCTGAGCTTTTTGTGAGGTGGTTTGTGCACTGGATGATTCGTTTTTTAAATCCGATTTTGTTTCTAAAGAAAATTTGTTTGGTTTAAGGTGTAAATTAAAGAAGGAAAATGTGTGGAGTGGTGATACAGCCTCGGTTTTGCCGATCTTTGGCTGTGATGAAAACCTTCTCTTCTCTGTCTTCCTTTCTCACATCACATTACTAATTTGGAAAATGTTCAATTCTACTTACTAGTACAATAAATTAGTTAGGCAAGTTTAGGACAACTTTGTTGAGTTGTTAGAAGAGAATTAATGAAAAAAAGGAAAAGCGGATGGCCTTATTTTGGAGTTTTTTAAATTCTCGATGATTTGTTTCTGTTTATATTTTGGTTGATTGTTTATTGCTTTTGCTTTTTGTATTGCACTATCCTTTTATAGGTGAGTACGAGAAATTTTGGCATTGGATGGTTTAAATTAATATAATATTAAATTTAAATTCAATTAAAATTTGGTATTCAAAATTTTATTTGAATTCGATTTTGTTTTATATTTTTAATTTAAATTTGATTTAATATAAAAATTGAATAATTTAAATTCATTAAATTAATATATAAAAATAAATTTAATTTTTATATTCAGTAAAATTTGATTATTTGTATTTAAATTTAAACTCAAATTTAAAATAATTTAATAATTAAAATATATAAAAATAAAAAAATTTAATAAACTCATAAATTACTCAAATTCAGTATAAAAATAATCAAATTCAGATTGATTAATATATTAAATTTTTTGAATTTGAATTTGACTTAACAATAATTAAATTAAATTTAAATTAAATTTAATTCGAATAATTTATGAGTATTAATATATTATTTATATCTCTAATTAAAACTAAGATTAAATGAATATGAAAATTTATTAATTTAATAATTAAATATTATAATAATTTTTATAGCTTAATTATTAAATTAAAATTTTTTTATCTTCACCCCTTTTTATCATTTCTATCAAACAAAACGTAAGGGAAATTTGAATTACAATTTACACACGACAAGTTTTCAAAGAATCCATTTATTTTGTATCTATATTTTATATTTTAATTTACAATTTACACTTTATATGCATATTTCTTCGGATTGTTCACCTTCACAATCTAAAAATTCGTGGTATATCTGACAATCTTCAGCATTAACCTCAAGCTCTACTCTGGAGAAAAGAAAACTTTGCCAGTTGGGTTGCGAGGATTGTGCCCTCCGTATCTGAACAGTTCCAGAACATATTTTAATAAACATTGTCCGACTAAAACGATGTCGCTTTAAGCTTTAACAAGGTCCCACGAATTACAACTTTATCGTGCTCGCCGCCGAAGATGCAATAATGGGTATTTCACTATTTTTGTTTTTAATTTTGAGATTTTTTTTTTTTTTTTTTATCATGTCAAATTTCTGTGGCTTTCAAGTCGGTGGAGACAATTATTTAAAATTCGCTTAAACAAATAGGGGTTTGATTAAATAAATAATTTAAAAAACCAATTATATAAAATAAAATACTATTTTAAAATTTTAATTGAATATAATAAAAGGACATAGACTTGTTTAAAAATTATAAAAAAGTATAAGAATTTTTTTAACGTTTTAACCTTAACGAAATGCAATAATAGAAGCGTGACAATTACTAATGAATAAACACATTTAACAGCAACAACTGATCAAGTGGATAACTGCAGCCTAAGTTACATCTTTTCAAATCCCTGAAGTTGTTTGTCCCATTTTATTACTTAATAATATTTAATTATTAATTGAAAATTTTACCGTATGTTAAAAAATTAATACAACATCTAACGATAACATTTTAATAGTAATTTTTTATATTATATTATAATAATTCATTTGTAACAAAAAATCAATTCACTAACTAGAGAGCATTTTACTTATAATTATTTTTTAAATTATGTTACAATTGTTCAATTATAACAAATAATTATGTAATATCCATCACTTATAAATATAAATTTTATATTAAACTTTATGCAATTCTGAATTGTGATTGAATTAATTATAATATAATAATTATATGTGATATATTTAACTAACTAACTATTAAATTTTCAAATAAAACTTAGATGAAGGTTTTTTTTTATAAAATTCATGAAAATTTTTTAATATAAATAATTTAATTAAAATTTTAATAAAAATTTTAAATTGATAAAATAATAAAATTTAATAAAAAAATCAATAAATGTATATATATATATATATATTTTTTTTTTGTGCACAGGAGGTGAGGTGAGGTTGAGGCTTAAACCGATACCTCAATCTCCCTTTTAGCACTCATTAGCCACTAGGCAAGAAGGCAAGAAGGCAAGGGACATATATATATATAAAATTTATAATTTAAATTTATCAGTATTTATTTAATGATAAAAATTATATTAAATTTTTACTAAAAATATTATCTAAAAAATATGTCAAAATTTATTAAATTTTATTAAATTTTACACACTTGATTATGAAATAAAAATTTTTAATCTATCAACTTTTATTTTTAATTTTTATTTTAATAATTTTTTGTAAAATATTTTTCGAATTTCATAAAAAAAAACTTCATTTAACTATTTCCAAAAATTTATAAAGCTTATTAGAAAAAAAGAAGATGCTGATAAGTCAATTAATATGAGTAAATTTATGAAAAATTTTAGTAATTGTAAAAAATTTGAATGCCATGATCAAAATCACGTGAAACAGAGCAACATTAGAACTATTCATGTTTGCTTACAAAAGAAAAAGACACAATATAATAAACTGTAAATATATGTGTACAAAATATTTTTTTATCAAATTAAAATGCATTTAGAAATTTTTTATTTTCGATTTCATAATCTGATAACCATTTAAATTTTAAATTTTCAAAATAAGATTTTATGATCTGTAATTCTGAATTTAGAAAATTTTCTTTTCCAAAATTTTAAAAAATTCATAGATATTAGATGGATTTGAGAAAAGTCTCAATTATTACGTTCCCTTTTTATCATATCCCATTTTTCCTTTTCCTTTATTTTTTTTATTTTTTCCTTAAAGAAAATATCTAATCCACCCCGTGAGCTGGATTCCATAACGGCATAGGTACGGTAGGGTTCCCAAATTTTCAAATTCAAAATCAGTGGCATCATTGTTATTAACTCCACATCAAAGCCCAAATTCCACCACGAAAAATAATAAATAATTTCAAAAAGGAAATTAACCACCCAAAAAAAAAGGAGAAAAGAATCCTCTATAAACAATACCACTTTCCTCACCCTCCGCCCCTCCTCTCCCGATCCATTCGATTAACGCTCTAAAAGCCCTCCTCTTCTCCTTCCTTTTTCCTCTTTCTTTCACTCTTCCAAATACCGCGACACTCTTTCTCCCCTATCATTTTCCCAAGCAACCGATCGACTATTCCCAAAATCGTACATCGTATTTCACCTGCAAATTAATCGGCGATTCAATCGGATTGAAGGGAAAAAAGCGAAGATGTCACTAAGACCGAGCGAGAGGACCGAGGTTCGAAGGAACAGATACAAGGTGGCGGTTGATGCGGAGGAAGGTCGGCGGAGGAGAGAAGACAACATGGTCGAGATCCGAAAGAACAAGAGAGAAGAAAACCTTCTTAAAAAACGCCGCGAAGGACTTCTCGCTCAACAACAACAACCGCAGCAACAGCAGCTTCTCTCTTCCACCGCCGGTTCTGAGAAAAAGGTATATTCCAATGGTTAATCGATTCGATCCGTCGGATCGTGAATGATATCTAGAGTTAACTTGTTGTCGTACATGAATTTCTATATTGAACTGATTTGCGGTTGCCTTATTTCGATTGGTTAGTATATTTTAAATAGAGTTAATGGTGTTATAAATTGCTGATTAGGAGGTAGCTCAAACTGTATTAATTAAATGAAGTGAAATATTTGTTTAATTTGTTGATTTTAGTAAGTGTCAATAAAGAAAAGGATAAGATTATCTATTTAATTACTATTGAATTTAACACGATTTTGATGTGTTTTTATAATCTAATTACAGTTAGAAAGTCTTCCGGCCATGGTTGCGGGCGTTTGGTCAGATGACAAGAATGCGCAGCTTGAGGCAACAACTCAATTCCGAAAGCTGCTATCAATTGGTTGATAAATTATTTTGTTGTTTTTTCTTGCTACAATTTATTTTTAGTTCTGCAAATTTGATGTTATTATTACTCTTATTTTACCTGCAGAACGAAGTCCTCCAATCAATGAAGTTGTACAATCAGGTGTTGTTCCTCGCTTTGTTGAGTTCCTTACAAGGGATGACTTCCCACAGCTTCAGGTTATTAGGATTTTGCTCAATCTCTTTCATATTGTTTGATTGTTTCATCTTTTTAACTGTTTTTGTTTACTCTTTTGGCTTGTAGTTTGAGGCAGCTTGGGCTCTTACAAATATTGCTTCAGGGACATCAGAAAACACCAGGGTCGTAATTGATCATGGAGCTGTCCCTATATTTGTTAAACTCCTAAGTTCTCCAACTGATGATGTACGCGAACAGGTAAATATTGCAGACTGCAAGTGATCTTCCGTTCATTAATACAGTATTTTTGCAATTCTCATATGGATCATCATTCTTTTGAAATTATAGGCTGTTTGGGCATTAGGAAATGTTGCTGGAGACTCTCCTAAATGCCGTGATCTGGTCCTTAGCCATGGGGCCTTGTTGCCACTGTTGGCACAATTCAATGAGCATGCAAAGCTCTCTATGTTGCGAAATGCTACCTGGACTCTGTCAAACTTTTGCAGGGGCAAGCCACAGCCTTCATTTGAGCAGGTTGGACTTTCTTGTGATATGAATTGTTGGAGTCATTATTACTCTTTTGCTAATATGTGGTGCTTTTGAAATTTAATAATCAGACAAAGCCCGCTCTGCCAGCTCTTGAGCGTCTTATCCATTCAAATGATGAGGAAGTCCTTACAGATGCATGCTGGGCCCTGTCATATCTCTCAGATGGTACTAATGACAAAATCCAAGCTGTTATTGAGGCTGGTGTATGCCTCCGACTTGTTGAGCTCTTGCTGTAAGTGCTTGAATTTCTTTCCCTTTTTCAAACTGATTTTTTATTTGATGTATTTGTTTTACTCATCTATATCTCTCCTAGAAGTTGCTTGTGAAGTCTGGATGTTTTTAATATTTTCTCACTCAATTTTCCCCCTTGTTGTTAGTCATCCATCCCCAACTGTCCTTATCCCTGCTCTTCGCACAGTTGGAAATATTGTTACAGGGGATGATATGCAGACCCAGGTATGGATTATTTCATGGAAATTTTGTTTCTTTCTATACTGTTATTTCAATTTCTTTCTCTTGAAATATGATTTGTAACTTGTCCTTGTTCTTGGTCTAGCTAGTTAATTGCATTTATATCTACACCTTTGCAACTCTGATGTGAGCGTTGTTTCTTCAGAAATGTTCATCTCATTTGGTTATGTCTATGAATGTTTGTCTGATGAAGACTTAAAACTGAGCATTTTTTATTGAAAATTGACTATTGGGTTTTATTCTGAAAACTAGCAACCTTTTACATGTTTATAATGACATTTGACATGCATATAGAAAATTTCTAAGGAATACATTAAACTTCAAATATCTTCCTTCTAGAAGGATCTAGAAATGAGAAGATTTTGATGTATGTAATGAACTAATGATTCTAGACCGTGAAATAAATTGTACATCTCACATGATTCAAGCATATTTTGTTTTTGGCTTCTTGATTGACATGTGCTTAATGTATTCTTGGTCATGTTTAATTGGCATATTGTGAGATGAATCCTAGTTGTTGATTTACATTTGGATCAGACAGAATTGTTGATTATTAGGATTATGAGTTGATAATGTCTTGTGCTTTTCTGTGGACAGCAATGTCTGTGTTAACGTCACTGCTTTTGCTTGCCTCTTGCTTCAGTGCTCTGATGCTTCATGTTATTCCCCCTTTCAGTGTATTATAAACCACCAAGCTCTTCCGTGCCTCCTGAACCTGCTGACAAATAACTATAAAAAGAGTATCAAGAAGGAAGCTTGCTGGACCATCTCAAACATCACTGCTGGAAATGTAGATCAGATACAGGTATCAAGTTTATATAGTATAACAAACCTATAGTTGATGGTATGTTTAAGTTTTCAATCATGGCATTTTTTTCCAGTTTGAATGAATTTTGGTTGAGCATGAATTTTAAACTTCTTTTGCAGGCTGTTATTGAGGCTGGTATTATTGCCCCTCTAGTTCATCTACTTCAAAATGCTGAGTTTGAGATCAAGAAAGAAGCTGCGTGGGCAATTTCAAATGCTACCTCTGGTGGCACCCATGAACAAATAAAGTATATTTTCTTTGCTATAATCATTCTCTTGGCTCTTGATACAATTTTCCATAAATAATTAATTTCTTTTTTGTTTTCCAGGTTTCTGGTGAGCCAAGGTTGCATTAAGCCATTGTGTGATCTGCTAAACTGTCCTGACCCAAGAATTGTCACGGTTTGTTTAGAAGGTCTTGAAAACATCCTGAAGGTTGGTGAAGCTGAGAAAAATTTGGGTCACACCGGAGAAGTCAATCTCTATGCCCAGTTAATTGATGATGCTGAGGGGTTGGAAAAGATTGAAAACCTCCAAAGTCATGACAACAATGAAATCTATGAGAAGGCAGTGAAGATTCTTGAAACCTATTGGGTGGAAGATGAGGATGAGCCATTACCCCCTGGTGATGCTTCACAATCTGGGTTCCAATTTGGAGGCAATCAACTTCCTGTTCCTTCTGGTGGATTCAATTTCAGTTGAAGGTATGCATTTAAATATGTCTGATTACCTTTTCCAAGGAAGGTGAGTGAGTCTGTTAGGAAAACCTATCTGTTAATTTCAATACCACTTGCTCTATACTTAAGCAAGTTCACTTAGGCCTGAGTTGCTCTCTCTCTGTCATCCTTCTTCACTGTTTACCTTGATAAGAATATATTGTGTATTCATATGCAATAAATGTTTGGATAGGCCATATTTATGAGTGAATACCATGCTTTATAAGAAACAGTGGTCTGATCTGAGTCCCCTGATGACTGTTATAATAATTGAATAAAAAGGTCAGCAAAAATTAGCTTTCCTTTTTATCAAGCCTAGATTGCATTATTCTGTTCTTTGGGTCTGAAGTATGTCACATGCTGCTTGTGACCCATAATTTGTAAAGCAATTCAGCTAGGCTGTTGCTGGGCCTAATTGCTTAGAAGTTGTAAACTTGTAATATGACAATACTTATGTTTCTTGTCTTGGTTAGATGCCCTAACATGTTTTGGAATTTGCAGGACACTTGGTGTAGAACGAAAGCTCAAATGTCGGTGTTTTCATGGTGTTTTTCGGAATTCACGTATGGTTGAAATGATACCAAAGTATGTTCTTAAGTCATCTCAATAAAGACGGTGTATGATACGATGGTAAAAACGTTTGAAGAGTCTGGAAGCCATACAGACACTTTTTTTCCATGCGGTAGTTAATTCTTTTACAGCGGCCTAATTCTCAGATTGCAAGGGTGAGACATACAACTCCATATCAGTCCCAACTTATGGTTCTGCTTATATGAAAAGGATTGGATCCTTTATTAAATGTCTTTTTTTTTTTTTCTCTCTTTTTTATATTTGATTTTAGTGGTGGTTGGTCTTTCTGATCCGAAAGACGCATCAATATCAGTTTTGGGAAGGAAAATTTTATTTTTCTGGTAATGTATCATTGTCAAAAACCTGTCCGGTCTTTCTAAATAGAATTTGATTGATTGTACCCCAACTATAATTAGTTTAATTAGTTTTAAAGTGTACTTTATTTAAGGTTTACAAGTACAAAGAAAAAGGCATGCCTTTAAAAGCGTACTTTAATTAGTTTCCCTTCGTGTTAGGGCCGTTCTCGGAAAGTGCGGTCCCTAATCGGGGATTTTTTTAATTCCAAATGCTGTTTGCAATGCCTTTGCCCTTCCATGCGGCTAAAATTAGTTATTAGTTATTAATTATGACGCCGAACTAACTCATCTAAAAATGATTTAATTAAAATCAAGGTGGTAGGGCCTTTGGCATCTCGTAATTCAGTGTGACCAAAATTACCCATGTCATAGCTAGTATGAATATTTGTTTTTGGGCAAAGCAATAATGAGAATTTTGCGATGAGGGTAATTCTGTAAAATCATGGAGGTTGGAAGTACCCGAAAATGAACTATCATCTAAACAGGAAGGAGCCCGGAAGTTGGCTTCGAATCCAGACCGAGACATATACCGTGAAGATGACTTGTACATGTTTGGACGGGCTTTGAAATACTGTTTTTGACATTTGTCTCTTTATCACCTTAAACCTTATTCGCAACAATGCGACTATAGCATTAGATTTAAACTCTTCAGTCACAGATTCAAAAATCATCTGTATAGGTTAGCCATCGTTGTTTGCTTCGAACTGACGAACGTCATCTAAAAAGAAATGAAAAGCCAAGTCTCTTGTGTTGATGAAGACGACTGTGAATCATGTAGATTGGCATATTGTTGGTGGAGAACAGCTGCGAAATTCGATGAATGTGCTAAGCTCAAGCAGGACTTTCCTGACGTTTCCATTCTAACGCCTAGGCTCAGACTGCTTAGAGAACTGGAGAGATTGGCTTTAATTGCGCCTGATGGACTAAACGAACTTCGTCGCAAGCTTCTTGGGTATCGTTCAGGTGATTTCTGGGTACCAACTGGAGGGATCAAGAAGGAAGATATGGATATTCCCCCAGTGAACACAATACTCTTGGTGGGTTTCTCTGGTTCAGGCAAGAGCTCGCTTATCAATCTTATGTACAGTATTCTTGGTCGGTCTGGCCTAATACCCTTTGCTCAAACATCATCAGGTAAGACCATTTGTATAATTTATACTTTTTATTTAGAATTGATAATTCGCATTTGTCGTAAAAAGGTTTCAAAGGCTTCAAAGTATATTTAGAGAAGAAATTGAGGCGAAAAAGGATTTTACAATTTGAAGTTTTCTCATGTACCTGTAGGAAGTTGTTCCAATTACACCACCATGTACATGGAAGAACACAACGTCCTGAGATCAATGCAAAGTGGTTTCTGTGTTTACGATTCAAGAGGGTTTGATTATGGTAGACCAAGAGAGGCATTGGAGGAATTGTCAAGATGGATAAGTGAGGGGATTCATCATAATGAGCTATGCTTGAGATATAGTGACTGCACAATAATGACAGATGATGTGGAGAATGTTGTTATGAGATCATCTTCAAAATTTGTGCAGAGAAGAGTGAATTGCGTGATGGTCGTAGCTAACATGGCAGATATTTACAAAGCTTTAAAAGCAGGCGATTTTAAGCCGTTGGAGGCTACCAGACAGCTCTTCTGCTCCCCTACTTTGCGAAAAAGCAGTAAGTTTTCTCTCTGAATCATGACCTGTTTCTCCTGTTACTGTCTTTAATTTCTGCAATTGTAATAATAATGGTACATACCATGAATAATGATAAGGAGTTGGAACACAAAATTGGAACTGCACAAAACCATCCCTCTATTACACAAAGCCAAGAAGACTGGATTGGCCCATTTTTGTGCTCATTCAAGTGTCTCTTACAGAAGTTTCCATTTAGATCCTTGAAACATATGTTTCACATTTCATAGTCAAGGTTTCAGATGTTTTTGTCAAATGTCCCTTGTGTTTATAGGTCCTTGTAATGAAAATTGACCTTTACACCTTCACCTTAGTTACAATCAGAAGCGAGGCATATTCTTTTCAGTCAATTCTTAGCTGTCACAAGTGCTTTTATACACGTTTGGAAATATCAGGAGCCTGCAGATGATGATTTTGGCCTTAAAATTCAAACTGGCAAAATTTAGAATAACAAAAAGCTTTTGTACATATGATTTCTAAACTCAAGTGTGATTGACCTCTTCAAAAAGCTATACTCTCTAGTCTCCTGAACTCTACATCTAGAACTGTCACAATCCTTCAATCATATTTTCTTAAGAAAGACCTTGGTTTCCTGCCTTGCAGTACCATCAGTAATCTGTGAAGCACCTAACACTAAGTCTCACTTTCGAGGAATTTCTCTTATTCTGATGCTAATTACTATTATGGCTTTACTTGTATTATTACTCTAATTTCTTGTTAAAGCTCTCTGCTACGTGGTTTGATTTTAAACTACTTCATAGTGACAACAAAACCAATGCAATAATGTGAAATATATGCCTAAATCCTAATCATGTCTACATTCTTCATCGTCTGTGGCTGCAGATGAAAACCCTTTCTTGATCTTGACACATGGTGACTTGTTATCCACTGAGGAGAGGATAGATGGCAGGCTGAAGATATGCGAATGTCTGGACATATCAGGGACGAATGGAGTTTATGACATAGTATGCCTCACAGAGTATGGGTTTCTAGTAGAAGAATCGGATCCAGTGTCAGCCTATGCCTTGACTGAAGCTGTATACAGGGCACTGCTTATCTCAGATAGAGGCCACTTTCCAAAGAAAAAATTCCAGGACTGGGCATTGTTGATATTATTGTGGCTTCTGCGTTTCATTGGTTTGTGCTTCGCTTTCCTAGCTGATGTTTTTTCCAAACTTGGACAGAAACAGAAACTGAGGATGTGATTCAAGAGATGACCAGCCTAACCAAGGATTTATTTTGTAAAAAGCAGTGTATCATCACTAGGATAATGTTTTTTTTATTTAGTAGTTCAGTTTAGGAGACTGATCTTGAGATAGGTTAACTTACTGACTTGAAATGCCAGACCAAGTTTAGACTCTTAGTTAAAATTTCTAATTCGTCATCTGGTTTTACCCACTGATGTATTAATTTCTCACCATAACGAAGAATACCAAGGTTTTCTAGCATAATTTCGTTTTGAATTTTCTGGTGTTGCACAAATGCATCAGGTAGCTGCCCTTAATAAGGGTATGGATTTTATATTGCGGTACAGAATATCTTGTGATTGATGTTACGATGAAATTTGATGCAAAGAAAACATAATTAGGTTTTAGGAAGTTTATATTTGGATCAATACCAGCAGATTAGCACGAGGGTAGAAGTTCTAATAAGATTCATATAGGATCTGAAGCAGTGACAATGATTTTTTACACCCCTTGAACTCCTGGCTCAAATGATCTAGGGATTTTGGTACTGGATTCGTTGGAACCGAAACGCAAAAAGTCAAAAAAAAAATTGTAAACAAAACAGATTAATTATTGGGGAATTATTAGTGGGAAGCATAGCAACAATTACATACATTCCACCCTTTCTTAAATCTATTTGTGGGTAGTTTCATTTTGTATCTTTTAAAAGGTTTTTGAGCCACACTCACTACACTTTTATTTACAAGTAAAAGAGATAGCTTAAAGGGTTCAAACTAACGGGTGGCTGTCTGTTCATATGAACCAAAATATATTGGCGGGGTTTTATATTTCATTTGGGAGTTTGGGACCTTAGTTGTCTTTGAATTAACTTATTTCCAAAAAAAATTTGAACTTATCATGATTCTAGTCTGTTTGTATTGAGTTCCAATCTCAAGATGTTCATGAAAAAAATAAAAGAGAATGACGGTGAGAAATAAAGGCAAAGTATGTTTACATTTCAATATGCAAGTCAAATAGAATAAAATCATAAAAGAAATAGGAAGGAAGAAATGATTTTGAAATCAACTTACTTTAATGATACCTGAATCTTCGTATTTATAAGTGAACAACAAAAAATTATCAAGGGATAATAAGGACAGTGTGGAGCTAATGTAATACTTAACATATTAAATTAATCTGACATGTCAAGTGAGCACAAAATAATAAAAATATCCCTAATTGTCTATTAAAAACTTCTAAGAAGGAAAAAAAATTATCAAACCCTTTCAATCACTGAATGCCCCGCTCTTTCTATATCCTGCCTATCATCACCGGATTCACCTTCATTTATATTCACCATTTGGTTAATTTTGGTAGTGCATAATTCTTGGTCACTCTTTTGGTATGCAACCGAGACAAAAGGCCCCAAGGATAAAAAACCAAAAACCATAACGACAAATATACAAGCTGGCCTTGCCATAGCCGCTCGCAAAGAAGGGGAAGGTTTGTTTTTTGGAGTGTTTCCAGCCTCCCAATGGCACTATACTATAAATAATGCTGTCATATATTCTCAATAAAAAAAAAAAAGAAACAAAACAAATAAACAAAATGCTGAATCCTGGCATTTCGTTCTTTTTTTTCTTTTGTTTTTGTTTGGATTGTGGTGCAGCGGTGCCCGCTTGACTCTTTGCATAAATTTTGTTTTCCCCAGCCGAACAGCAACAAAAAAGGGGGCACCACACTATTACCAGTTTACCACTTAGCCTGTTACCCACTTAGGTGCTCTAAACTCTATCATGTTTGGTTGATAGGATTGCCAATTTTATTCTTTTCATTTTCTTTTTTTTATGGTTCTTCTATTTTATTGTTTAGTTTGTTTTCTAACAAAGAATAGCTATTTCATAGAATATCAATTCTTTAAAAATAAAAAATAGTAATTTTTTACTCTTCCCTAAAAATTGTAATTTTTTGTCCATTAAAAAATCGAGAATAATATTTATAAACAATTTTATCCTTATATATTTAATTAATTCTAATTTTGTCATTAAATTAAATTATAATAATTAACGAATATTAAAATGTTATTAAATTAATATTTAATATAAAATTTTATTAAAATTTTATACCTATACTCTTTGGTGAGGTGGTCCAGCTGGCCCCCGGGTAACATTCTTCATTATACTCCAAATGTGTACATTTCATGATCTTTTGGTAGCAGTAATGTTTAACAGTATTTGGTGTGACTGATTTTGGATTTTGTTGCTTCATTACCCGAAGTCTCTTTGCAATGCACGTGAAATCGGATACAGAAAGAAGAAAAAGGGCTATTCTTGGTTTGAACAGAGATTGTAGAACAGAAAAGAGTAAAAGTAAAACTTGAATTGATGTTAGTCGAAGAGGTATTAAGAGCCTAGGAAGAGATATGGGGCCGCATCGTATAGTGGGGAAGCAGGAATGGGAGAGCAAGCTGAGAGAGGAAGAACAAGCTCTATCTTGCGGTTAGTGTATGCTTAGGACTAGTTAGAACGAATAAAAAGATGATCAAAATCCTGGTTTTCTCTTATGTCACTTTAAAAGAGGAAAAAAGAAAGAAAAAAACCCAAAAACCCCTCATTGTCATTGCTTCGGATGTAAAATCAACAGTTCTGACAGTGTCTACAAAGGATGAACTATTTTATTCAGATTATATTTGCTTATTTCTCTGTCATTCTTCCCTTACTTGCCAATGTTCCCTTCCCATCTTTGCCTAGTGCCTCGACGATATACGCCAAGTTTTTTTTTTTTTTTTTAAATGTGCTAAATTCTGACTTTCTTTCAAAAAAAATTTTCCACATGGTTTAGGATATTCATCGATAATGAATGTACCGGGATGCAGTTTAACAATCAGCTAAGCTGGATGCTGCAAAAATAAATGGATCTGTAGTTTTCCATGTCAAAAATCAAATCATGGCATCTCCAACGTCAATTGGCCATGCATGCAACGTCCACTTTGCATATTACCTAGCTAGTCTCCCAACAATTCATTAACAAATGGCAAAAGCTTTGCAATTCTTTGCATGGCATGACCTGATTTATTTTGAAAGTGAAAGGGCTCGCCTCTGCTTTAATGGTTCGTTTTTGGGGGTGTGAAGTGGGTATGAACAAGGTGGAAAATAGTGAGATTCAGGGGACTTAGGAATTAATTAACAACAGATTTTGTTTTGATCTTATAATAAATAAATGGTATTAATGGAAGGCATTGATTGATATGACTGAGGTTAAAAGAAACTGCAATTGCACATGCATATGTGAATTCTAAGAACAATGTGATACTGTTTAAGAATATGTTGCTACTAATATTAAATTAGTCTATCCATTTACGTTAATTTCTCTTTTAACCGAACAATTAATACACTCAAATAATGGAATTTATAATACTAAGTATCATGGAAATTCAGGTGACTTTGATTTTGTGCGATAAATCATAAATCATATTGGTGATGGGGACTTTCTATATATATATATATATATATATATATATATATATATGATTTTAGATTTTATTTAGATGAACGATGTGATTATGATAAAATTAAAAATAATAATAAATATTATTATAATTAAAATTTAAAAAATTTTAAATAAAAATTTATATTAATTTAATTTTATTTTAATTAATACTTAAATTCAATTGATAATGTAATAAATTTGATTTTACCACACTAGAGATACGATGAAATCTAAACGGAAACTTAGTCAAATGATACAATCAGTAGGTCAATTTCCTTTACATATAACCAAGAAAAGCGTATTCCAACCTTTCGTGTCGTTATCAGGTCAAGCCCCACGAGGCCACGACTGATAATCATGCGTTTAGATGATGATAAAATTGCCCAATAGAAAAAAGGGAATAACAAACAATTTTGAAATTAAAACTTTTATTAGAAACTTGAATCAAGCTGCCATTGCAACTCCTCGTCCTGCTCTGTTTTTCTTCTCTCAAAAGGTCTGAAACTGAAACACACTAAAATAATGGCAAAAGCAACCGTTTCTTCTACAAAGAAGGCCAAAACCTCCAATTCTCCCCCTTCTTCTCTCCTTGAGGTCCCCTGTTTTCCTCTTCTTTAAACTCATCAAACTTTCAAGTCCTTTTTCTTTCTTTCTTTTTTGGTTTTAACTGTGTTTTATAATTGCAGATGATTTGTGAAGCAATATCGACCCTGAAGGACCGGACAGGTTCCACCCAGACAGCGATAGCCAAGTTCATTGAGGACAAATACAACAAAATGCTACCCTCAAATTTCAAAAAACTGCTATCGGTTCAGTTGAAGAAGTTCGTGAAATCCGAGAAGCTTGTGAAACTTAAGAATTCCTACAAGATTTCTTCAACTGAAAAGCTGAAGCTGGCGATCAAAGAGACCCAGAAAAAGAAAGGCACTGCTAAGCAAAATTCCTCAACACTCAAAGGAAAGGTTGCAAAGAAGGTGACTGAGAAAAGCGTCAAGACCAAGAGGCTGAGTCAGGTTAAGATCCCAGAGGCTTTCAAGAAAGCTAGAAAGGAAGTGAAGAACCCGTCTCTGGCTCGAAAGTGAAGCGTTTGAGTCAGGTTAAGTCCCCAGAGGGATAGAAAGAGGAAGAATTTGAAGTCTGGGAGTAAGGCGAGGGTTGCAAAGAAGACTAGGAAGTGAGGGATTGTTGCCAAAGGATAATCATGATGTTAGGTTGCTTTTTGTTGTATGTAGATATGGTAGTTATGCATATATTTATGTCGCATATGGTCCTCAGATGGAAATTTAATTTGCTTGTGCTCTTAAAAAACAGTTTAAGTAGATGCTGCTCTTAAAGCTATTCAGGATATTTAGTGATTCTATCAATTTACAACAGTTGATCCTTTTGAATGCAATTTGAATATGGGAAAAACTTACATGAAGTTTGAAGTTTATGAAATTCTTTATTAAAAATAAGTAAATAAAAATTAAAATGATAGATTGAAATATCTCATTGTATAAGTTAAATGTACAAAATTTTAAAAAAAAATTAACAAATTTTGATATATTTATTATATAGGTATTTTTAGTAAAAATTTTAATAGAATTTTTATCATTATTAAATTTAAATTATAAATAATATTTTTAATAATTTTATAAATTATTAATTTTTATATTAAATTCTATCAATTTATCAATTCAGATTATTTATTAAAATTTTTATTTATTTATTTTTAATAAAAAATTCATAAAACTCTATCTATAAATTTTCATATAAATTTTATCCTTTGAATATGAAGACTGTTGCTTTTAATAATCTCCTCGGGGCATTATTTGTTAATTACTGCCATACTTTCTTGTTTGGAATTTGCAAAGAACATTGTTACAGCAAGTGTTTTTAAATTAATTCTCAATTCATGCTCGAAGAATAATCAAATTAGTAGTCCTAATTGTTACACTTCTTATTATAATTCTATACGATTTTAGTTTCTATTAATAAAAGCCAACAGTGATGTTTAGCTATCAATGATGAGATGAGACTCGTTCCTTATCCCATACGAGAATCTGGCAGTCCCAGAGATACATCAACATGTTCATGCTGTTAACCACATTATTGAAATTTAGAACTTAAAACGATGACTTGCTTCAGTCATTGCTTGAAGTTAACCTTTCGCGTAACTAGATCAGGTCATCACCCCATGATCCATGTGCTTTCATTTAATATTTCTTTCATGATCTTGCGCAAGTACATCATTTTTCTTTATCTTATGGTAGTAAAATTCCGAAAGAAATTAAATAATAATAATGATAATAAAGAATGATATAGAATCATAAATCGTCTTGTCAAATGTGGGAGATGCACTGACCAATAATTGAGCTTTTCAAATAGGGATATCAGGTTTAGAAAATTTGTCCCCAGAAAAGAAGCTTGACAAAGAAAATTACTTAGGTTAATACTCTTCTGTCAAATTGCTAAATTTAGATATCTCCAACACTACATCACATTGAATCGACCTAATTTTGATCTAGTTGTTCCTGTTTGGTAGCAAAAGCTGTTGCCTTTTCATAAGTTTCTGAGATAGAATCAGGTCCATAATAAAAGCTGTTATCACCTACCACTGCCTTTCTGAATTGACCAAAAAGAAAAAGAAGGTTTTCTATTTCTCTAAAAATTAGACTTTTCATTTATTATTAATGATAAAAAAAAAAAAAAGAAGACACGATAGTTGGCTATCCCTTATCCACATCAATTACAAAGTTTATTTCCTTAAGGGTCAAAATTTATGACTTGTGATGAAAACAGAAGTACCCCACTAGATCATGGGATTCCACACATACATGATACATCCATTCCAATTTCCAACCTTTTTCTTCCACTCAAAGGCAAACAGTAGTAATCATCTCGAAAGCACATGTCCCAGCTTCAAACCTAGAATTTGTAAAGCAAATCCTTCGTTCCCCTTGCGTTATTAATGTCCCACTCCCACTACCGACTCATCATTTCACGCTTATTCTTCTTTTTGTTGACTTTGGACTTAAGATTCTTGACTCCACCCTTTTTTTTTTTTTTTTTTACTTGACGAAGAAATATTGAATTCACCGGGAAAATAAAATTCACTATCCCTTCCTCCCTTCTAAAAAAATTAATACCTTGCTCAATCGGTGATAAATTTGATTCAAAATTAACCTTTTTTTTTTTTTTTACTAAAAAGCTTATAAGATTTAAAATTTAGAGTTTACTAAAAAATTAACTTTATATTTTTAATTTTTAAAAGAAAAACGCATTACCTTAAATAACAGTGGATAGAAAGTAATAGTTATTTCCTTTTTTTTTTTTGATCTTTTACACCTTCATTCTTAAACTCATTTGTAAAATTAGTTTTTGAAATTAGGAGATTATCACCAAACTATGATCATTAAAAAGTTCTTTATTAATTAAACTACCTGACATTTGAATATATGTCCCTTTTGCTGACAAGTAAAAGGAATTTCAATTCAATTTAATGCATTCCTTAATAATTTTTATTTTGTTGCTATTTTGTTAAGATTTTTTATTATAATCCTCATCTAAAAGAAGATGAGTAAGTTAATTAAATTCCAAATTACAAAGTTAATTGAAAAGGAATTGTATATTATAATTTGATGAGAGGAATGAGGAATCAGATTGATGACTTCCATTAGAAGCAGTAAGGATGGACGGCTATAATATGGCAAACACATTGGATATGGATATGGACCGCGTGAAATAAGGCTAGACCTCTCCATCTACATATTTCTCCTCTTTAAATATTGCCGCTATATTAGCACTATCATTTATAATAGTACATATATAATATATATAAACTATTATAAATGATATATATTGTATATCGTCGCACTTGTACGAAATTTATATCACACTCGTCAGTCTCCCACCCGCAAAGTTACCTCTTTTTCTCTCTCCATTTTTCTTTCTCAAGAAAGGAACCGGAGAAGAAATTAAGAAAGGGTCATCATTTAGGAAGAAACAGTGATGGAAGGTGTTTCTGCGACCATGTACAAGGGTTTGAGAAGGTACTGGAAGAGGAGAGGCTACGTCAAGCTAAATGGTTCGGGACGGGAACGGCGGAGCAGGGTGGAGCTTGGTTCCTCTCGGCGGAGGAGGTTCTGGAGGATCAGGGTCAAGGCAAAGCTGAGAATACCTTCACCCAAGAAGTTCTTTGTTTGGCTACGTGATGCCTACGTGAAAATGATGCTGAGGTTAGGCAACTCCAGGGTGGTTAGTAGTGGCTACGGAGGAGCCATAGATGATAATGGGATTGCTACCTTTGGGAAGCGTCCGCTGAAAGAGTATGACGAGAAAATGATCGTTGAGATCTACAAATCCTTGGTGATGGCGCAAGGTCAGCTGGTGCCTTGGGAGGCAGGCAAGCTTAGCTCTGCAATTATTTGTCATCGCTGAAAAAACAGAAAAAAAAAAAGTGTTAAGAGTGGGTTTATTTAATTTCACACATCCGATTATTTTCGCCACAAACTTGTGGTGAAAGGATTTGGATCATGGAAATTAGAGAAGAATCAATTCCCAAAGAAAAGCCTGAAAAACTGCTTTTTTTTTTCCCTCTTCAATAGGGTTTTAATGTCGTTCTTTTCTTGTGATTAAAACCAGTAAATTGTTCAGTTTGGCAATAGCCAATAAGCTGTTAAATGCACCTGACTATTTGTCGGGGACCAAAAATGGTTTTAATTAATAGCGGGAAGCATCATTCATGCTTGTTAATTTTTTTTAATTAGTATAATTAAGCATAATTAATTAAGTTCTATGCGTATTAATTAGATCAAGTTGTTCAGCTATTTCGTCCTCCACTAAATATTGTTTGATTGTGGTAGTGGCCGTCAACATTCATTGATTCAGAGAATAGGAAAAACAATATATTAGCTATTATATGATGCCATCAAGAACAAATAACAAGATTAATTCATGGGGAACAATTAATTTTTATATATAGCTTAGGGCAAAGTTTTTGTTATTTTAGGACTGAACCCCCAGCTACAATATTCAAGATTGGTGGGGCTTTGGAGCTATATGCCAGTCATTATAAAAAGCACTGACCATTGGCAACAAGCCTATTGAAGACCTGGTGGGGCAATGAAGGCTTTGAGGCAACCTTTGTCTTGGTGGTGGAGTGGTTGAGGGATCTAATCCATCTTTAAGATGAGAACGCCTTTTGTGCATTATTAATATTCCATGTGCTTCATGTTTTGTTTTCAACACTCAATGACTTGACGAATGAATCATAAAAATCCAAGCCTTTGATCTAAGCTGCGAGATTTTTGTTTTTTTTTGTTTTTATTTTTTTTAAGCTTGATGAAAGAGAAACAATTAAGATTTCACAATCTTTCCCTAAATTATAATATGAGATCAGATTAACAGGCTATTATAGGCATTTATTAAGATTAATTTAATTTAATTTTTTTAAAAATACAGATCACTTACAAACTGTTATGAACAATCCGATTCAAAACAGGAAAATTAAACAAAGAATTAATTCTTCAGCTTAAAAATCGTTGGTCTAATGATGTTAACATATTAATCAAATCAAAATCGTCCGTAATCTTTCAACTTCCTTGCAACCAAAGACTGTCTTAAGCAATTCATTTTTTTGATGTAATGTTACCTCATGGATGATGTATTTGCCCCTGGGGCCTGGCTTCTAGAGACAATCTGCCCTACATAAATGCGCAACAACTCAGGTCAGGTACCATAGTTAATTGAGTTTCGTACTCTCTTCTTAAGAGGGCATCAAGACTGGAAGTCCTTAAGATTGCTAAGATTCTTTAATTCCACATCATTTTCTGTCAACCTATCAAAGTAACTGTCAATTTTTATTTTATAATAACTTTCGTTTCATTTTTTTGCTATATGTTTGGATAAAACCAAAAAAAAAGTCACACATACTGACAACATTTCTACTCTTTTAAACGTATAAATCTGACCATGGGATAAAATGGAATTATTTTTACGACTAGAAATGCATGGAAAATTCATACACTTGACTTTTACCCATCTTAGTCAACAAAAAAATAATAATAAAGAAGGACCACCCCTTTCATGTCTTTATAATTATTGCTATTTTCTGTTATATATTATATCTGTGGCCTTTTTATAATGCAATGAAGCTACGAAGGCACCTTCGTGACCTTAAACAACTAATTAAATCAGGTCGTCGTCAGTTTCTTGGTTATGATCGATGTCTACATAAAAGAGCTTAATTAATTATCTTATCAGTTTATTGGCCAAAAAATTTTAGCTTATGAATTTAATGAAATTTGACATTAATTATAACTTATTGCACTTTCTTTTATTAGAATATTGAGGAGTGAAATTTGGTATTAAAATATGGGTTTATGTTTTATGCACTATCAATGTATAAAATTTATATATAAAATATATAAACTTTATATATTTTATTAATAAATAAGTTTTTTTAAAAAAATTTTATATTTATTTTACAAATTGATATTTATATATTAATAAAATATTATGATAATAAAATATTATCGTCTGATTCACTAATAATATATAATATTTATACAATGAAAATGAATCAAATATAATTCTTAAACTATTAATATTATCAAAGAGAATAATTATAAGCACCAAAAACAAAAAGAATGATCGAGTCCAACCCAAATTCATATAGATTAGGACATTGAGGTCTATGTTGGATATCCAAAATTAAAACCAACCTAGTAGTCTGGGATTGTGGTCCAGATTATTTAACAGCCCATTAAATATAAGGCCGAATTTAAAATTTTGTTGGATCGTAAGTTTCAGTCTTTGCCCAACCCATGTTTCATCGACAAATTTTCAATTGACTTCGGGAGCAAGAGGAAACAGAGTCAAATTCTTCGGAAAATATCAAAACTTGTCGAATTACTATAAGGAATTAAGCCCAAAGTTTCAAAATCATGAAATAAATGTAAGACCCAAAAAGTGGATTCTTTGCCTGTAAAAACAGGGAGCATATGAATTATAATTTTTTTTACTATAGTTCTAAAATGGTCAGAAGTTTATCATTTATAGGTTTGAGTTCAATATAAAATTCTAAATTATGATTTATTAATTATACTACATAATTATAAATGAAATACTCCCCTAAAAATAATCTCGGATGCCTAAAAAAAATGCCAAAATGCAAAACCCACTTAGTTTGTTATTATATCTGTTAAACATAATATAGAGGAATCGTGTTATTTGCTTTCCATTAAAAGCATGTTGTGCTCTTTACTTCTAAGCACTAGGAAGTCTACTATGCTTTGCTTTTAGAATCACTTTCCATGTCGTTTCCCTAACTCTCATTTTTCTAACATGCAGTGCAGCACAAGCAAGAAAAATAGCATCACTTGCATGTTTCTCAAGTCCACAACATTTTTTTCCCTCCATCAATATAATAATTGTGTCACACGAACGGATCAGTCATTCAATCTGATTCACTTAGCCATTGCAACAAGTTTTTTCCTTTATCCCCCACTTTGTTTCGAGTATAATGGCATACTTCGTTTACTGTTGGAAATTTTACACGGTTAATTTGATTGATTACAGAATCTGTTTCTGTTCATCTCTCCTTTAACCTAAAATAAGAGACAAATTCTTCAATCACAAAACCTTTATTATTATATTTTTACCAACCCCCCCTGCCCCAAGTCTAAACATTCTTTTCATTGAACTTTCGCAACTTTGCAAAGTGAAAGTCTTGAATTTAAAATTTAATTAAACTTATTCATATAATTTTTTAAGAGATGCATTCAATAATTTTAAAATTTAAAATTTCTAACAACTTTAATTTTTTTATAAAAAAATTCCATTAGAATTCATTTATATAAATAAATATTTTTATATTAACAAATGCAATATTAGTATAATTTGGAGTATGTTTGATATCAACGAAGACAGGTTAACAACAATCAGATTTTTAAGATAAAAACCCAATATTTTTATGCTTATATATCATGATTTGTTTGTTCGCTTGCTTTTGGATATGTAATTCGCACCAATATTTAATCGAACAGCCTCGCAGAAGTCTATTTCCTAGCATTTGGTCAGCAAATTTGCCAATTTCAAGTCCAAATCTAACACCAAACTCTGTTACTAGCATTAGTATATATTTATGAGAAAACCTCCAATTTTTTTTTTTTTCATTTCCGTCCATCAAACAAGAATATCTAACCGTCCAAAACTAGATCCCTAACCAGAGACCAAGCTTCTTCTTTTTTTTTTGTGTAAGAAATGTATGATTAAGTTCACGATCATGACCTTTAGTCGGATGAAATCTAAATTTCCCTTTTGTAAAATTAGAAGTGATTATTAATGATTTCAAACAATTTAAAAAAGCTTTAAATTTTATTTTGACGTAAAAACGACTGTTTAAATGGAAGACTAAGTCGAAACCTTACGGGAGAAGGCACCAGCCACCATTGGTACGACCATCCCAACGGCTATGACATAAAAGCAACCTATGAAATTTCAGGTTTGAAAGAAAGAGGGGCTGGCTCTGTTTCTAAAGTCAACCTAAAATGACTGCTTAGTTCCAACGGCTAACCCGATTAACGTCTATTAAATCTGACGCCATCGCTCCATTGAAATACTGCCGCAGGCACACTTTGCGTTAATTTCTAGATTTCTCTAAGGAAAAAAAAAAAAACAATTTGCAATGTTAAAAGCTGACTCTGTCTCGGTCAATCAGGCTCTGTTTCTAGAGAGCCGACTGCTTTCCTCGAAGTTTAACTCTCTATTTATTGAGGTTTCATAAAGTTGACCAAACTTAAATTAATGCACTGGGATGAAAAGTCTTTGCAGTTACGCCTTCGTTTCCTTGTTCTTGCCTAGCCCCATTTCATTTTTCTACTGTTTTAAGTATGCAGGCGGTTTCGCCTATCACCCCTCATACATTTTCGGGGCTGCCGCTTAACCTAATAACCAAGTTTCGAACAGTTGCCCCAAAAGAAAAATTTTATAAAACAAAGTTGTTATTTTATTTAATTAATAGATTTGATAATTTATTTATTTATGTTATATTTGTTTTAAATATAAATAAAATATAAAAATTTATTATATTAAATTTATGTAAATACAAAAATGATAAAATTATAAATAATATTTTTTATTATTTTTGTATCATGCTTAAGACTATTAAATTTAAAATTTAATAATAATTAATCAAACATGACACTATATGTAATGACAGCATAATTTACTTGTTAGGCAAATAAGTTTAGAATTATGAACTGATCATATATTTGAATTATAAAATAAAATAGTCAAAATGCAGGTGGAAGCATGACGATGACGATTCATGTTACGTGTTGTTATAAACCTTCTCTAATAAGCTTTCTTTTCCATGTGAATGACATAGCTGAAGCTTACACGTTATAAAGTGCAGAGATTACAGCTGTGAGAATTGAGATGTGTGGTCGTACTTATATTACAGGCGCGTGAATGATGATGGAGAAATGACATGCAACTCTAAATCAGATACAATGTTCAAGTCATTATCTGATTGCAAACTTTGTCAACTAGAAACAGCTTTTAGGAACAAAATGTGTTCCATAAATAAAGTCAGTTTATAAAGTTGCAAAGCAAAACTCAACTGAGATGTTTAGAACACGAACGGCACATTTATGGTGACACAAACAAATATCTGGACCTAGACCTTTAGTCTTATTATATTTATCTATTATTTATTTTTGGATCAAATGAATTCAACAATAAATTTTTATTTTTTATAAAATTATAAAATAATATTTGTAAAGTTTAAATTTCAAAACCATTAAAACGTATTTTTAAATTTTAATTTAATATAATAATATTAAAAGTAATTATCAAAATTAAATTACTTTATAAAAATTTAAATATGAACACACAAAATGAGATTAAAAGAATGCCTTGTTGCCCTTTCAAAGCCTTGCAACTTGTTAAGGTTATTAGCTTATTATTAGTAGCAAATATACGTACTTGTTTTTGGAGTAGGATAATGGAAAAAATAAAATAAACTAAAACCAAAAGTAAATTAAATTAAATAATATCATCTTATAATTTAATCTTTGATATATGTAAAGATTATAATTAGAGAATAATTATTTTTATTATAAAAATATTAATTGTTTATAAGATTAAATGTAAAACAAAAAATATATTTTTATAAATGATAAAAATTATTGTTTCTTTCATTGTTATTGTAAATATACATATTGATTATTTTGAGGGATGAAATAGGTAACACGTTAATAAGAGCATCGACATATCATACTACCTAATAAGATTAAAATAATAATTTTCTTTTGCCATACGATTAAATCACTCATCTTATTTGCTGTCCTATTTTTTTTCTTAAAGTGTATATCAAATTGTTATATTTGAGTTTTTTAAATTGATAAAAGTAAAATAAAAATTAAATAGAAACTTTAAGTTGCCATTGGAATGCTTTTATTATAAATGTGTTTTTATATTTGTTTGAGAATAATAGACTATAAATTCTTTTATAAATTTCGAAAATATTTTGAAACATTTAATTTTAGAACATCAATTTTGACTTGAACATTAATTTTATTAACGAGATTATGGTAAAAATTTTAAGTGCTTATTATTCTCATAGCGTGTTTACATGTTTAATTAAGTATATTTTGTAAAAAAATAAAAATATTTTGTTTATAATTAGCATGTAATATCTTATAAAATATTAAACTTTTAGTTTGAGCTAACAAAGTTCAATCATTGCAGCTTAAATTATTAAAAAAAGGCATGCGTATATATATTTTTATTATTTTGGTGAAATTGTTACCCAATTGGATACATAAGTGGGTCCAGGAGTGAGACACGCCTCAATATTGCAGGTCTATTTGAACCGTTAATCCATAATCCAGTGAGTCTACCCCCACTAGATACCGGCGATGAAATTTAGATGTGATCAATTTCGATTTAATTTTTATTAGTAATATATATAATTATAAATTTTTAAATTTTGCTTTAAATTTGATTTCAATATCTATAATATTTAAATTGAATCGAATTTTATTAATTTAGTTTGATTTAATAATTTTTTAAATTTAATTTTTTATTTATATATATTATTTTAAGATAATTTTAATATATTTAAGTATAAATAAATATTTTTATTTGATTAAAATTTAAAATATATATTCTTTCAATTTAATTCAATTCAATTTTTTATTTTTAAATTTTAAATTCAAAATTTAATTCAAACATAATATATATATTTAATATTTAAATTTAATGTAAATAAAAAAAATTGATTCAAATAAAATCAAATATTATAATTTTAAATTAATTTTTTATTTTTTTAATTTTTTCTCTCGTAATGATGGCCATAATGCTATTAACAATCGGGTACGGTTTTCTTAGATTAAGATCTTTGAATCCATATGTTGGAAACCCGATTCGTATAGTAATAATTTCTGGTAAAGTTTAAGTGGCCTCCAGGCTGGGGAAAGCAAAGCCTGTTAAAAGACTTTAAGTTGTACGGACTGCGATGAGCTGACCGATGGACACGCTTCACAAAGCACAATAATCGTGCTGAATTGTTCTGGCTGGCACCACAGGCAGAGATGTGGTGGGCAGCACCGTGTCCGGTAACTCCTACTGGCACCGGTGCACCCTCAACGAGGATATGACCATACTTTCCCTTAATCAAGACACGTGGCTGTATTTTATTGGTCCAAATGCTACTCTGGAGACAAGGCCTCTGGTTTTTTCTGACGGAAGAAGTCAGTGCCCACTGGATTTCTTTGTTCATCTTGGCCTTTTTAACCATATCGGTTTTCGTGTAATTTTAGATTTTTATATCTGCATGTTAAATGTGACAAAGAACAGTTGGATGGGGTCCATAGATTCGGCGGGACCCGATCCATCAAGGACAATAATGTCAATTAATTAATAAATCAAACATCCCCAATTATCAATATTGAATATAATAAAATAAATTATTTAATATACTGTCAATAATTTTTTTATTTCATAAATCAAATTAATAAAATAACATATGCTATATTTTTAATTATTTTTTTCAAATATACACAATAAAATATTTATTATCTTATTAATCTCACTTATAAAATTAAAAAAAATTTTATTATGACTTAATAAAAATTTTTGTTAGTGAGGTCAATTCTATAATTTTATTTTTTATTTATAATATTTTGTTACTTAATATAATATTAAGTTGCACAATATAAAATAAATACTGCATAATATAATATCATTTTTAAATGAATACATTTTTTCTTTCGATTTATCCATAACAAAAATTTATTTCAATAGTTTTTATTATTTGTGCTACACAAAAAATATATTTTTTATATTTACTATCATGCATTTAGAATGTTAAATAATAATGCAAATAGATAGATGATACAATATTTTTATTTTTTTGAGATTAAATTTGTAAAATTGAATAAACTTATTATGTATAAAATATTATTTTATCAAATACATTAAACCAATCATTTATAAATTATATCAAACTCATAAGGAACAAAACTATAGCTGATAAATATGATACAATAAAATGAAGAAAGAATTTCAATAAAAATAAGTAAAAAATCAAAATTAAAATAAGACAAAATATGTGATTAATAAAAAATCAATAGAAGTAGATGCTACAAAATTTTTGGAACTCATGAGTTAAATTTATACTTATAGTGAATGAAAATTATTAGGATTTTGAAATTAAAATATATGCATAAATGAAGATGAAATTTATTTTAGACCCTTTTTAATAAATTTTAGAGATGTCGGGTAAAATATTAATTTTTTATATTAATTACATATATTATTTAATTTTTAAAAATTTAATGAGATCAATTAATCTTACTATTTTAAAGTGATCACACCACTCACTCTCAGTATTAATGATAATTTCTCTTATTAATAAATCATTTACCCTTGTGTTTGATTTTATTTTTTATTTTTTTATTTTGATCCGTATTATTTGGGGCAAAAAAAAAGGTAAAGTGCGGGAATGCGGTGCTGTACCAATTGTTATGATTACTGGCTCACGGTCGACTATGGGAAACATATGTCACATGCCAAAGGCCTTTCCAATAGGAACGATGGGAAAATATTACTTCATATATATATATATAATGTATTTAATATACAAATATAATAAAATAAAATAAAATAATATTATATATAAAATAAATTTAAATAATATTATTTTATTTTATATTTTATATATGTAAAGATTAAAATAAAATAATTTATTTATTGATTAAAATTATTTTTAATTATATAATTTAAATTATTGATATAATTTTTAAATATATAATAAAATATGTAAATTTAATTTAATTAATTAAAAAGAATATTTTTTATTTAAAAAAAATTAGATCAATTTATATAAAAAAATCAATTAATCTTTTTGATAATTTTATCTATTTTTAAATATAAAATAAATATAATATAAAATTTTTATTTTCGTATCTATTTATCATTCTATATCAAATATTTTTACATATCATACAAACGTAAACCCGAATTTGTATTACATGGCACAATCGACAATTTGTTAGTTTGTACGAATGGCAGATTAGGTCCTAAAGAAAAGTATAAAAAGGGCATTTCAATTATAATAATTGGTTTTTATGAATAAGACATAGCTCTTTCTCAATCAGTACAGCTGCCATTACTTGTGATAGATTAGATATATATGGTCATTGATCCATGTTCAGTAACATCCTAATATCATTACATCAATCCACACATCAAAAACCACAATAATACATATTATACCAAAAATCTCTTTTCTCCATCGCCACACTTACAACCAATTGCATCTAGAGATTACTAGCAACATTTTATTATGACAATCTCAGTAAGCCAAATTCAATATCAAAATCAGACCTACATGCCTCTCATAATTATTTGTATATTTCCCCTAAAAAATAAAAACCTTTTTTACTTTGAAACCAAAGTTCAGGTCACAAAAAATATGTACATGGCCACTGATAATGATAAGTTCTTTCAGATGTAAAACAACGATGCCAAACCGACAACAAACTCTGTTAAAGTAATCAGTTAAAATGTGTAATGAGTTTTTATTTTTTTGATTTTTAAGAATTTAGTTTTTATATTACTATTTTAAAAATTTTGTTTTTATAATACTATGTTTAAAAATTTTAATTTCTATAATATTATTTTTTAAGAAATTTAATTCTTGTATATGTTAATGATTAAATTAAAATTTTTAAAAAATAATATTAAAAAATTAAAAAAATTTAAATAATATTAAAAAAATTAAATTCTTAAAAATAAAAATAATAAAGATCTATAAGTCATTTTAACCAAATTAATATGATGTGCTTCGTTGCCGAAAAAGAGAATGAGACCAATCGGATTATAAACTAAAGACAATGAGTTGGGTTCGGATCAGACCCGAAACATTTTGGTTAATATTTTTTTTATGATTTTAAATTGAAGAATATAAAACGATGATTAAACACCAAAAGAGGAAACGAGTGACGCATACAAAAACAACGTACAAAATGTACCTGTTAAGCATTGTAAATATATATAATCAATAAATAATTTATTAAAATTATTTTTTCGATGAAGAAATTTTATATTTAAAATTTATTAGTGATTATTTATTAAAATTATTTTAAATATATAATTTATAATTATTTTTTTTAAATTATTAAATACGATAAATTTTATTTTAATCTAAAAATTAAATAATTTATCTATTTCTAAACTTTTAATGATAAAAATATATATATATTAATCATATAAATCTTTTATCTTATTGGATACTCTTTACCATAAAAATTTTAATTATGTTTAACCTTGAAAAAATAAATTAATAAAAAAACTCTTCAAAGAAGCTATTTTATCTCTAGTCTCTGCCTCTTATCTCTGTTCTGTTACCATCAGCTTCTCTTAAAGAGAAAGAGAAGGAGACGGAGAGGGGAAGAACTGAAGGAAGTGAGAGCGTTAGGCCGGCGGCCCAACGTAGCATCGGGCCCCCTAATTCTACGCTGTGGTTCATTTTCCACCGATTCCTTCCTGATGTTTCTTTCCTAACAAAGTTGGCTTCGTTCCCACGGCAAATTCCACTTTGATACAGCGCCAAAAGAAGAAAAAAAAAATTGATTCTGAACTTCGCTTCTTTACTCCATATTTATTCATTTTGCCCTTTTGAACTCTGGCGGAACTAAAAGGAACCCTATCATTCTTCCGATCCTCCCTCTCTTTAATCTTAGCAGAACGGTTCGATTTCAAATCTAAAAAAAAGAAGAGGAGAGGGATTTACGGTATCAAGATGCTTTGGATAATGCGATTTTCAGGGTTCTTTTCAGCTGCAATGGTGATGATTGTTCTCTCTCCTTCACTCCAGTCATTTCCTCCAGCTGAAGCCATTAGATCCTCTCATCTCGACAGTTACCTCCGTTTACCGTCATATCAGGTGTCCACGTCACCACACTCACTGGTGGACCGATTCTCTTTTCGAAAATCCTCCGAATTTCGCAATGCCGACGAATGTGGCTTCACCGACCACAAAATCACCGGCGTCTGCGATCCTTCTTTAGTCCATGTGGCTATTACTCTCGATGTTGAGTACCTCCGTGGCTCAATCGCAGCCGTTAACTCCATTCTCCAGCATTCATTGTGTCCGGAGAACGTTTTCTTCCATTTCCTAGTCTCGGAGACCAATCTGGAAACCCTAGTTCGGTCCACGTTCCCTCAATTGAAGTTCAGGGTTTATTATTTCGATCCTGATATTGTACGGAACTTGATATCGTCTTCTGTTAGGCAAGCGCTTGAACAGCCGTTAAATTATGCTAGAAATTACATAGCGGATCTGCTAGAGCCTTGCGTACGGAGAGTGATTTATTTGGACTCTGATCTAGTCGTTGTTGACGACATCTCTAAGCTGTGGAGTACAAACCTCAGTTCGCGAACAATCGGGGCTCCGGAATATTGCCATGCCAACTTCACAAAATATTTCACGGGCAGTTTCTGGTCGGACGAACGGTTTTCGGGGACATTCAAAGGGAGGAAGCCATGCTATTTTAACACAGGGGTGATGGTGATAGATCTGGTGAAATGGAGGCGGGTCGGGTACACGAAACGGATCGAAAGGTGGATGGAGATCCAGAAAAGTTGCCGGATCTACGAGCTTGGTTCGTTGCCGCCGTTCTTGCTGGTTTTTGGGGGACGCGTGGCGCCCATTGAGCATAGGTGGAACCAGCATGGGTTGGGTGGGGACAATGTGAGGGGAAGTTGTCGAGACTTGCATCCGGGTCCGGTTAGCCTGTTGCATTGGTCCGGTAGCGGTAAGCCATGGCTTAGGCTTGATTCGAAACGGCCGTGTCCACTCGACGCATTATGGGCGCCTTATGACTTGTACGGACACTCACATTGAAATCACAGCAGGAATAGTCGCCGGTAAATTCCTACCAGGATTGTTTTTTTTTTGTCACTTATTTTATTATTTTTGTTTTTCATTTTACGATTTTCTCTTCATTATTTTGCGTCGTCTTCTTTACTATGATTGTGACCTACTGATTTTTTTTCTTCACTTTTTTATTTTATTAAATTCATTTCTCATTCCATTTGTATTCTATTGTTCTGAAGATAAAATTAGAAAAAAAAAAAAAAGAACAGCAGATATTCAAGTTTGCATAAACTCTTTTTCGGAGTGTGTTTCAAGGAGTTGTGCGTTAGATTAAAAACGGTAGTTTTAGAGTTTCAGTTGCTTTCTAGGTCCAGACACAAACAAAAGTTTATCCTTTCCGTGGAAGCAGTCCACGCGGTAATAGTGGCATCGAGGTGGAAAAATATTAAAATGACCAAATTGTACTTCTAAGAAAAATTGTTGTATTTACAATTACAAGCACCTGGCAAGAACATAAATTAGATTAATGGCTTCCTGCTGGTGTCGGTCTACTCGTTCTGTTCTTTAGGAGTTTCTTATTCTTCCCAATAATCTTTAACATGATCTCTGCTCTGTCATCTTCGTTTCCTTAAATGCCGTTTGTGCGGCGGGGATCGGATCGCAGGATCACATTGATTTTCTTTGTTAGACGCTGGTAGGCCATTTTGACAAAAATGTGATGCAGTGTTTTTAGGTAGGTCACTTAGAAAAGGTGCATAGCTCTATTGAGTATGAGTACGTGCATGCTTGCTTTTCTAAAGATATACACCACCTCACCTCATTTACCAAATTGAAATTTAGAGACGAAAATTCAGAAAAATGAATCAGCCAAATTTATATTGTTGTAGGTGGAGTGCAATGAGCAAAGAAGTGGACTTGGATGGAGTGGTAAAGGGCATGTGATCTTTTAATTTACCAGTTGGTTGTCCATGTCCGATGGTGGCCAAAAAGGGACCTAATTGAGGTGGGGGTGCGTTGCGGTGCCGGCTGGAGAACTAATTTAGGCATTGGACGAATCTAAAAGAGGTTTGGATAGCCCCCTGCTTAGTTCATGGGGCTGTAAATTTGTTTCTTTTTGGTGATTTTGTGCTCTGGTGGCAGCGGCGGAAGACTTGTGAACTACCTCCCACACTGTTCCTTTGCACACTTTTAGGTGGCTGTCACATATTCTCTCTTTGGCGTCAGATTTGTATGTGTATTTTCTGGTAATTTGTATTTTTTTACTCTAAATAAAGTGATACATACTTTCTATTATTAATATTTTATCCACCAAATAAATTATAGTAGTAATGATTAATAATGGGCGATTGTGTAAATGAAGCTTAAGAAATCGAGCGATTAAACTAGAATGGTGGCAGCGAAAGTGGGACCAAGATGTCATAGTAGGGTAGGAAATGTCCAAAGTTGGAATGGGGACCGATACCTTTCGCCCTAGCATCACACGTGGCCATTGATGCAATGTAGAATCAACTAGCCGTATTACGGTTACTCAGCACCGTATGATTTGTTCCTTTTGGGTTCATCGTGTTAATGTCAAGCTGAATATTGTGGCTAACTGGCTATGTGGCTTCAACCTACTTGCGGCTGCTTGTTTCGTAGCTGGTCTTTTCTTTAACCACTATGAAAAAAAGGTTATAATTAAAATAAAATTTAACGTGGATATGGTAACATCTGCTGCCTGGGCCTACATTGATTTTTGGTGGTGAAATCATAAAAAGATCGATCTGACGCTGACAGCTCTCGATCTCAATTATTGTAATCAAATCCTAATCCAGTTGCTTTTAATCATTTGGTGAGGTTAGATTCATATAGAAGGAGAGGCGAGCAGGTAAGTCGGTGACTCCACAAGTCGACCGAGATTCATGTAGAAAACCCTTGACTTAATATGGCTTTACATAATTTAATTAATTATTATTGCATAAATATAGGTGAAAAGTTATTACTATTTGATTTCATGTGTGCCTAAGAGACATGGATTCAGACGAACTTTCCCTTTACACCTTGGGTACTTGGAGTACGTTATTTTTCATGTGGATGGAATTGCTGGCTGATAATGTGATACATGCAGATTTTTATTTTCTTTATTGTTATTTTTATTTAATTTTTTGTTTTCTAAATTCCCAATTTTATGAAGAGGAGATCATTTCCCCGGAATGCCAAAAGATTACAAGGCTTTAGAATGTGTCTTAGCAGGTACAAGAGATGTACGCACCCCTAAATCCATCGCAATCAATTGGTCCCCAGAGCCCAGTGGGAGTCCGCGCATTTCTTTCTTATGGAAGGATCTGCTGGGAACGGCACGAAATAATTTACTGACATAAAGCTTGTCTGAGGAACCTTCAAACTACGTTGCGTGGTCTTCTTTGTGTTGCTACAAAACTATCCCTTTTATTCCATGTGCATATCAACAACACCAACTATCTACAAAATGTTGACAATGATTTTCATGGCTGCCTGATATTAGTCGCTTTAGCAATTGGAATCAAGTAGATCAAATCAAGTTTTGCGTGTTACGCAAACGATGACTGAAAATTTTGGGGTTCTTGGAAATCTTCTGTTCAGACTTTTCTTTCCCCATGGAAAGGTTAAAAGCAGAGAGGTATGTTCGGTTTCTGGTTCTAAAACTATTTTATCAGCTGATTGTGGCATGTGAGGAAAGACCACAAAAGAAGAAAAAAGCTGGGTATGAAATGGGTGTTGAAGGCATTGAGAACCTGTACAGCTAGAAACGGCCGCTCGGTTAATACGCGGGGTAAAATGGTAACCATCAACGATCATTGGTTCACCACCCCCAGTGCTACAATCCCAAACTTTCCTGGCTATTCTCGAATCAAAGGCTCCTGCTTCAATCTAGTGGGGCTTATCTAATAGCTGTGTTTTGTACCCAAACATCATATGCGAATCGAATGGAGGAATAAACTTGAACTAGTCATCTTACCCGAATCTAATAAGTGGTGTTTGGTTTAAGACTTACCAAGGACTCAAAGCAATAGATAAAAGTTTCTTTGCTTGGGTCCAAAAAGCAACAAACAACAAGCCAACGCGAAGAAAGGGGTGTCATTGACTGTCTACGCCACCTCCTCTACAGTTTCGGTGGCAATTTCGACCGCATATTCCCCAGAGAAAATTTTCAAAGTGGCACCGACAAAATGCACCAAAACAACAGGCAATTTTTTTATTTTAGTTTTTTTAGTATAGGAACAAAGTATTAAGCTGAAATTTAATATCTTTATCTAAGTGACCTCCAATCTTTTTCTCCCCACCTCATAAGCTACAGAAAATAGTAATGACTGAGTCCTGGGCAAAGAGTTTAAAGGAATTTCGTTGTCTTGGATTTTAATGTATAGTAGGTTTAAAATGCTAAAAGGTGTCTTTTTCTTCCGAAAGCAGCCCTTGCTCAGCTTATTTAGACGCTACGATGTCACATTCGTCAGTACTTAAAAACTCAATTATCTCCCCCTCCCCCCCCAAAAAAAAAGAAAAAAAGAAAAACAAGAAAAACAAGATTCTTCTTCTTTTTAGAATAATTTGGTCATCTTCTAAAAATTTAATATCATTGATTTATAATATTCTGACTCCAAAGATAAGAGCCCATTGGAAGCTCAATGAACTAGTGACGTTAATTATGCTTTATTAAGTTAGCTCATAATTTGCCATGTTATAATAGAGATGATCTGACAATGTAACTACTTTTGTTTTGTTTACCCCTGCATTATGTTGACAAATCCCAAACTGTTTTATTTACCCAAAGAAATTTTCAAGACCTAAGAATTGTTAAATTTTTTGGGGGAGAGTCACCAATTACTGCAGCAGCAAAGCAATCAATTCCGCCTCCACTTAGTCAACCCCAACATACAGTAATTTGGTGACAGCTAATCAAGCTTCCCACATTATTGTATAAACTGTTCTGGACTAATAGAAACTGGAATTCGATTATAAAAAATTCCTTCAAGTTCCATCTTAATCTACCGGGTTCTATCATATGGCTGAAAAAGCTACCACCTGTCGTTGAGACTCTTATACTATCTTGAACCGATTCTAAAAGCATAGAAATTGTATATATGAACAAGAAGAAGAAGAAGAAGCTATTACTGCAAATTTAGAATGTCAGATGATAGGTATGTTCCATTTCAATTGTATAGAAAGTATCAAAATCAACAAATCTCAAACCAAATTTCATTCAAGGTGGAAAGACAGAAAATAAAGCTACAGAATGAAGTTGAGAAATTTCATGCTTTTGTGTTGCTGAGCAGCCTATAGCAGAAATAAATAAAGGGAACTGGAACTTAATGTGATCCTACCTTCCAGATGGGGGACTTAAATGCACCCAAAGCAAGGAAATAATGATGGAGAGCAAGCCAGACCACACAAAAACAATGGCTGCTACTTTTCCCCTCCTTCCCATCAAACCCTTTGCAAATGGATAGAGATGGCAGAGGACCCAGAAGCCGAAGAACATCCCACCGAGAAGCTTGCTCCACCGTGGAAAGGTACTGTAGATGGTTCTTGCTATACCCACTACGATTGCAATAAAGTTTACCATCATAATTGTGATTGGAGGAACCATTAGGAAGCTCCATTCTACGACATATAGCTCAGCAAACTCGTCATCTCCGTCCTCTGGGGTGGCATATTTGAAGTTAATGTAAATGAGATGTCAACTCCTGATATATCATTTAAGAGTCCTTGTAGCATAGCTGCAGGATAGGCACTGGTTCCACCAATCAAATATTTGATTTCAAGGATAGCAAGCAGGCACAAGGTGATTGTGATATCCAACAAGAATTTCAGGAAGGTCACACTGAGAGATTGCACTATGAACTGCACAGAGAATAAAGAAACTGCTGGGAAAATGCAGTAGACTAGGAGAAACATAGAAGATAAAGGGTACATTCCCACATTGGAATATACTACTCTTTGCAAGAATTTCATGAGACGACTAACAAATAGTGCATTGTTCGTCGAAAAGAATATCTCAACAGAACCAGTTGCCCAGCGAAGGACTCGGTGCAGCCTGTCTGTTAAATTGATTGGAGCAGTCCTTCGGAATGCATCCCTCTTGGTTTTGCATTGATCTTCATCCCCGATTGTGTATTCTATAACCAGTCGCCACATCTGTTGCGGAGCCATATATCCATCCAACTCGTCCCACACAGTTTTATCCTCGATGAAGCAAGAGATAACACTCGTTGCCTCAGCAGCAGTTGCAGCATCCAAAGGCTCACGTGGCACTGCAAGAGAACCTGCAGGTCTACCTTTATTCCCTTTCCTTGCAAATCCTGAAGCAGCCTTCATTGGTATTCAGCAACAGGGATTGATGCTGCCAGCGAAGTAGAGTTCCCAAACCTTTTGGGAAGAAGCAAAGATTCAATATCTGCTTCATCATCATCGTTATGTTCCCCATTATTTGGCAATAATATCTCATCTTCTGCTTTCTTCTTCACCTTGGATTTCCTTAACAATAACTTGATTTTCCTTCTACCAAACTACCCATGATGCTCATCAGTGGCTCGAGGAGGACTAAACCTATAGAAAGAAGTTCTCCAGAATAGGCAGTTTTCCAGAAAATGCAGCCTGTATCTATATACTTTGGACCCTGTAACCCATCAAGAGCTCTCATGCTCACATCAAAGAACACGCATTATGATTTGCATACGGTCATTCGGGACAATTCCCTCAAACATATGTGGGAATTGAACATACCAGATCCTGCCACCACCTCAGTCAAGCATAAATCACTTTCCTTCCCTGAGAGCCAAAGAATTGCAATGTAGTAACCACAGTCAAGATTAAGGATGAATGGGCGTTTGACATGATAGCACTGGTTCGAACCAGAGCATTCAGGGCTCCAGCTTTCTTATTGTGATCATGACCTGGCCGTTTCTCACGAGGCATATAAACTAGCATAGGCAACCTTGTATCAAGTTCTCTCCATTTGCTTCAGCAGCATAAACTGGTACTACATTTGGTGGAGCGAGCATTGCCAGCAGAGAAGACCAAATTTAGCATTTGAAAATCACATAAATGTAATAACCATTAATACCATAAATTGAATTGTGAAACATTCCTTAATAATCCCGGCATGATCTTCTCTAGAATTGTCTGGCTCTGCAGAAGCCCATGTTCCAGGCCAGCGAGAACCATCTGAGCCAATTTGGACAGATATCAAGGCGGCAGGTAAGCCCTCCTTGTCAAGAATATAGATCAAAGAAGATGGGGGCACATTGACCCAATTGGACAAGCTCATCTCTTCCTTCTAAATTGGACTGCAATCCAATCAACACAACTCAAGCTTCTCAAAGGTTATTCAAATATAATAATCTCATAAAAGTTGTCAAGCCCCTTATTATTAAAGAAAACATTGACATTTTACAAGAAAGATATAGAGAGAGTATTAACTGAATATGATCATCCTACGCAGGCCATGCAAAACTTCAAATTTTCTTACGGTTCAACAAAACCTAATATTGCAATTATTATATTAATTCCAATAAAGTTAATAAAGTAGAAACATAAATAAAGACATTATATCTGCAAACAACTTTTACAATGGTATGACTTAAAATGTTTATTTTTTGTTTGTAATAGTTTATTGTTGATTGATTGTTTTGTTAGAATTTGCAAGGTGCTCGAAGAAAGAGTAGGTCAAAATTTAATGGGCTAGAGAAAATGAAAGGAACAGGCCTAATGGCCCACATTCAAGAAAGTGGGCATGAAATGTCAAATGTCACATATGGGCCCCCACATCTCCTCTATTTGAACCTTACCTGGTCTTGTTTTTGAAATGTCAACATTTTTTTTATAAATCTCTGAACAAAAACTTTCAAATGACTACGACATAAAATGTTATCGTTAAACTACAACAAAAACTGGGTCGTCTTTTTTTTTTTTTTTTAAATAAGTGAACAAGTAAAACCAACTCTTTTGAAAATAAAAGGGAAATTAAAAAAAAAGAATTGTAGAAGAAGAAAATCAAAGACGAGAGAAAAGACCAGTTCTCGCTCTTTCTTTGCTTATGCCAGCAAAGTTGCAATGAAGAAGAAAGAAACAGAGCCGGCACTCCACAACCATTCATCATTTCCAATTTTTAAAACCCTTCTCCTTTAACAAAACCAACTCCTTACCAAACCCCCTTTGAATTCCTTCATCAATTTATCTGACAAAACCATCAACCCAATGGCTCAGGCTGACAAACTCCATCTCATCATCTTCACCTTCTTTTTGCTTTCAGTTTCTCTCCTCAACACGTCACTTTCTCAACCCCAAACTCCATCTCCAGCTCCTGCTCCAGCGCCAGCCTCCGACTCATGCAACGGCATATTCTTATCCTACACCTATACCGCAGGTAATAGCATCCCTCCCACCGACCCAACCAACCAAGCGTACCGTTTCGAGTCCACTTTAACTGTTCTCAACAACGGACTTCACGAGCTCAAGTCTTGGAGAGCGTTTGTCGGGTTTCAGCACAAGGAGCTTTTGGTCTCTGCTTCTAACGCTGTTTTGGCTGATGGGAGTCCGCTCCCTGCTGAAGTTGGAAACGGCACCGTTTTTGCTGGGTTCCCTATGAGTGACCTTAAATCGGCTGTGGAGACTGCCGGGGACATGACACAAATGGAGGTTCGGGTCGGATTGGTGGGTACACAGTTCGGTGTTGGAGCTCCGGCTGTCCCCATGCCGCTCAATATTAGTCTTGTTAATGATGGGTATTCTTGTCATAATGCCACCAAGCAAGGTCTAATTTTTTTTAATGAAATTGATTTTATGTGAAATTCTTTAGGAGATTGCTTTTGGAGATAGTACGTGCAATAATTCTATGGTTCAAGTGTAGAAACAGAGAAACAATTAGGAAATTTACATTTTTTTTAATTAAATCGTGAAAATGATCGTTTTGGAGCATAAAATAATACCTAGTAATACTATAAGTTTCGTTGAAAAGTCAATATGTAAGGCATGAATGCATGAATCCACTTCAACTTTGACCTGTTTTATAAGTGAAGTTAATGATTTTGAGCAGGGATAACACATACTTTACCCTCAGAAATAATATTTTTGAAAAGTCTAAAGAAAATGTGTGTTGTCAATAATTTGTACGACACTGTTACCTTTGACTTTCTGTTAGCTATCTGATCTGTTTTATAGGAAATCGAAAGTTTGAAATCTATCTGCATTCTATTAATTGATTAGTTTATTTTTTATGGTTTTCACTAGGGAACAATGAGATGCATGTATGCTGCATTAAAGATACAAACTCTGATTCAAACGGTGGGCTAAATGATGAATTCTTGCCTAGGCAAGAGGGTGATCTTATAATCATGTATGATGTGATCAGGGCATATGATAATAATTACTTGGCACAGGTTTCAATATCAAACCATAACCCTCTTGGTCGCCTTGATAATTGGCAATTGAGCTTTGATTGGATGAGGGAGGAATTCATCTATGCCATGAAAGGAGCTTACCCTTATGTTGTTGATACAACAGACTGCATTTTTGGCAGCCAAGGTCAGTACTACAAGGATATGGATTTTTCGCAGGCATTGAATTGTGAGAGAAGGCCAACGATTATTGACCTACCTCCAACAAGGGCAAATGACTCGATTCTTGGGGGAATTCCCTTCTGCTGTCGAAATGGGACTATCCTGCCCCCTTTAATGGATCCAAGCAAGTCTAAATCATCTTTTCAAATGCAAGTTTACAAAATGCCACCAGACTTGAATAGGACAGAGCTAGCTCCACCTCAGAACTGGAAGATCAATGGCACTATGAATCCTGATTATGAATGCGGGTCTCCACTGCAAGTAAGCCCAAGTCGATTCCCTGATCCAAGTGGTTTGCCTTCAGAAACAGCGGCAGTTGCCAGTTGGCAAGTAGTTTGCACTATAACATGGTCCAAGGAGACAGTTCCAAGATGTTGTGTCTCATACTCTGCATTTTTCAATGATTCTGCTATTCCATGCAATACATGTGCATGTGGCTGTAACGCCAACCCAAGTCAGACCTGCAGTGCTAGAGAGCCAGCTCTACTTATACCAACTGATGCTCTTCTTATACCTTTTGACAACCGAACTGCTAAAGCTTTGGAGTGGGCTAAAATAAAACGACGAGCAGTTCCGAATCCATTGCCATGTGGAGATAACTGTGGAGTTAGCATAAACTGGCACTTATTATCAGATTACAGAGGTGGATGGAGTGCAAGGATCACTATTTTTAACTGGGGTGAAACTAGCTTTGCAGATTGGTTCGCAGCCGTTCAATTGGAGAAAGCAGTACCAGGCTTTGAAGAAGTCTACACCTTTAATGGAAGTGTGCTGCTTGGCTCCAACAACACAATATTCATGCAAGGTCGTTCAGGTTTGAATTATCTTATGGCAGAAGCAAATGGAGCCAACCCGAAAAAGGATCCCCGTGTTCCTGGTACTCAGCAATCAGTTATCTCGTTCACAAAGAAGTCTACACCTGGTATTAATGTGGCAAAAGGGGATGGTTTTCCATCCAAAGTATGGTTTAACGGAGAGGAGTGTGCACTTCCCACTATTCTTCCTAACAAAGCTCCCAGTATCAGTGCAGCAACCAGCATTTTTGGCTTTCTGACACTTGCCCTTTTATTTCTAATGCATCGATAGCTGTTGTATTGCCTTAATTAGTTGGATGAAATTATTATTATAGCTGCTCCAAATTCATTTTTTTTCCTTTTTCAGTTGCCTTCTTAGGGCCAATACGTGTTTGGCCTTTGGGTTTAGAGGCTGATTTTTAGCATTGAACTATTACTGCATATACAAAAGTTTAATGTTCTAATTTAAAGAAACAACAACAATATATATTTGAAAGAAAAATTTGAATATCCTGCAGTTCGGTTGGATATCCTGCAGTTCTCTCTCGTTTTATTCAGACATAAGATTAGATTCAAAATTTTCTTTCAAATATAGAGAGTTCATACTGTCACGTCCTAGTTGATTTACAGCAGCAACAAACATGTCATGGAGCTCGTGTCCAAATCATCCTCAGTTTCTTAACAGTCGTCACTTCATCAGAGGATTCACCACACCAATATCTTCATCCTCACCATCTCTTGTCCGTTTCAAGCTTTGCAGGCTTCCTTTATCTTTCGCAGGCATTTGATCATCAGCATCGTTGGCTTGTTCTAATAGCAATAACCTGTCTTTAACATTAATGCTCCCAGGCTGCTGAAACTCTCCAAGGTACGTTTTTTCTTCCGAACCACATGCTGCCAAATGAGTCTAATCACTTCATAAGAACTGGTTTCACCAAATAATCACGAGCTCCATGGATTATACCTTTCATAACAACTCCTTTTCCATCATCCGAAGACATCACTGTATACCATAAACAGGATTCGAATCAAATTTAGTTCATAGAAGTAATTAAACGCTGGTATATGTTGTTTTTTTTTTTTTTTGTAAATTCTTTACTTACTAACAACCGGCAAGTCTATCTCTAATCCAATGATCTCAAGAAGCTTAAATCCATCCATATCAGGCATAAGTAAATCACATATGGCAACATCAAATCTGTTTTCGTCTTCTCGAAGCAAAGCAACTGCGTCTCTCGCTAATTAATAGACACTTGGTAACTGAGAATCACCACATCAAAGTATAAAATCATGAGACGAATATAATCATCTAGGATTATAGAATCAAATCATGAGTAACCATTAATGCCGAAGTCTTTCCATTGAAATTTCAAATATAAAAACAAATAATTATAATCAAGTAGTAACTTCTTTCTCTATATACCCGTGATTGGTTCACAGTATTCAAACTTAAACCCTAATTTACCATCAAAAGAAAAAAGTGAGAAAAAAGCACTGCTGCACTGCTGTGTTTTACTCTATTTTATGAGAAACTCCTCTAAAACCAATTGTAAAAATTAACCCCATCATCTAAAAAAATTAAAAAATGTAAAAGAAAACAAACCCATTAATCTTTTTTTTTCTTTTTATTTGCTTTCTGAATTCAAAATCAAAACATTAAAAATTAATGAACTGTCAATGAACAAAATGAATGACTACAAAAAAAAATATATTGAAGAAAATTAAAGAAAAAGGGCTAAAATAGCAATGATTATAAAATTAAACTAAACTAAGCACAACAATTCATATACCTTCGTATAAAAGCTTTCGAAGCATTCTTTTTAATATTGTATTTTATTTTTGGAGTTAACGTCAATCTAATAATACTAACAATTTTTTTTTTAATTTTATTTCAATTAGCATCAGACATTCTTTCAGGTTTACTACTCTTTAATGTCTGATTCAACTCTTATTGTACTAACAGATCTTGAATAACATTTTATCATAACATAAAATTACTCTTTCTATCAAATAACGAAATCTAAAACTTAGGCATAGACATATCAGACATATATTTTTCAGACATCTTGAAACACTGCTTTACGATCTCTTAATCTCACGAACCTTAAACTTCAAACCTGACGAAAATTAACACCCACACACAAAATAACAAGCTCAAATCAAGAATAAGAACACATAAATATATTTGATTCGGATTAACTTAAAATAACTTACTCCAAACATAATCCACTAACAAATAAATCTTTACAATTGTGAGACTTTTAGAATAAAAACAGTCTCTTAAAACTACTTACTTAAAACTTAACTCCAAATTCAATTACATTCTTTAATAAACTATTTTTTTGGTGTTTAATTCTCTAAGATTATCAAACTAAAAATAAAATATCTTATTTATAAAAATAAAATTTTTTATACTTTTATTTAATTTTTAATGCAAAATATAAGATAAATTCAAACTCACTTAATTTTTGATGTAAAATTCTGATATTCCCGACAACATAATTGCACAACTTTTCTTCAAAACAGTTTTTTGAATATTCTTTTCATCCATTATTCAAAACAGCTGTACCCCAATAATGAATTAATGGAAATAGAAGAAAAGCACACAGTATAAAACACTACCAGCAAGATGCCGGTGGCCAATCACTCCACATCTTTTGATAATAGCATAATCTAGCTCCATTCTTTTTCTATTTTTTCCTTAGAACTAGTTTCTTAAACTATGTGGTTGAATTTTGTTTGCTTTTCTTTCTAAACTATTTAGTAAGGCAATCAGCGTCTAGGGTTTGTTTGATTTGGTTTGTTAAATAAACAAGGTGGGGATGAAATCTAGATGTTTCTGAAGTCTAACCCAAGATCAAGATGCTCTACGTTTTTAACGTTTGAAAAGAAGCTATGGTATACCCTTTCTTCAAGCAGCGAAAAAATCTAGGGTCTTTATCTTTCATATTAAGGTATCATTAATAATTTTTTTTTATTCTCATTTCTGAGTTATCAGTAACAATTTTTTTGGTTAAAATGTCAAAAAAAAAAGCTCAAATAAAAATTAAATAATTATTCAAGTTTTTATCGTTTTATTGTAATTAATTAAATTTTTAAACATTTATTCTTATCAATTGAATCTTTATTAGATAAAAATTATTTAATTATCAATATTAATTTGTATATAATCAAAAGCTTAATTCGATAAAAATAAATATTTAAGGTTTAATTTAATAAAAATAAATTTTTAAGGCTCAACTAATCCAAAATAAAAAATTGAAGGTTAAATTTATTGTAATAAAATATCAAAAACTTAAATGATTATTAAATTTTTGTTTGAAAACCTTTTTCACACTTTCATCTAATTTTTTCTTAGGTCTTAATTTCTTGAGCAATGATCTTGTTTATTTAGTTTCACGTGCCTGTTTTTACCACAATATTTTATAATTTGTTTGTTAAAAGTATTTTCAACGAGCACATACCTACTACTATTATTATTATTATTATTATTATTATTATTATTATTATTACCCTTGATCAAATAAGTACTCGTTTACTTTTTTTATTTTGGTGATGGAAATTGGCTCAACCCAAATCTTACAACTTGTCATAACTACTCTTTTAATTATTGGATCAAAAGGTTGATGACATAAGTATTCGTTAATTAATTATGGGGAAAATATATAAACATGATCATTTAACAATTAAAAGTGCCCGTTATTGGTTACCAATCGGCAACTCATGTCTTTCATAGGTTGGATTCTTGCATTTTTCGTAGATGAAGATATATAGAACTGGACAGTTTATTTCATCTTTATTAATTAAACCTGAGATGAACTCGATCGTTTATTCATCGAATCTAAGATAAAGATAGAACCTTAAAGCGTTAGAGGTAACAAAATGTTCAAGTAGTTCATCCGATAAACAAGGCGTAAGTTTTAATGTTTTTCAACTAAATTTTAAATAGACCGAATAAACCTTTATAAATTTATAGAATTAGAAAATTTCCGGACGAAGGCCCAGATTCGAATAGTAGGATATCTACAGGTAGAGGTGGACCAAATCCAAACAGGGCTTGGTCCGAATGCAAAATACTTTCCTTGATTAAGCCCTCATGTCTAACGTGTAGATAACGGATTAATCATAATATCCTAGAAGGCTAGAACCATGTAGTTTTGCATCAAACCAGGGACAGCATAATCATGCCACTTGAATATCAAGAGTCCATGACAACCCAAGTATGCCTTGCGCTTTTTTCGTTGGTTAGAGAAATTCGCACAAAGAATTGATACTAGTAAAACTCACTTCATTACAGTGTCAAAGGAACTTGACAATCGATATTCTAGCACCTATTTGAATAGATTTCCTATAATGTTCTCTACACAAACTTCTGAGAAAAAAGTGCAATACAAAACTATGGTAAAATTCCCCACAAGCCACAACCACTGAGAGTTTCAAAATTCCTATAGAGATCATCCTTGGGATCATCATTGGTGGATTGCAGATCCGAATATACACATGATGAATCATGTCAAAGTAGGATGCGAAGGTGCTGTTTGTACCGTACAATAATATGATCACAAGAATATCTCTTTGAGGATCAAAAGGACTATCATGATGAAGCATAAAATAACAAGCACTGTCGCACACATCACCATCCCTCCCTTCTTCTGTGTTCGTTCAGCCTGCAATTTCAATATATGCACCATGATTGTCTTACACAAAACTCTGAAGTTTTGCCAAAACCAAAATAATCTAAGAACAGCAATAGCAACTAATGCACACACCACATATTTTGAGTTCAGAAGAAACTGTATACTAAATGAGGACACGTGGTCTTTGGTATCCAGGAGTTTTGGAAGGGGAAATGATTCAGGATGGCTCCAATGTAAAGGAATAAGTTTGTCTGTGTGTGCATGTATTATGGGTCATTGAAAGGCAGAAATACAGAACCTTCTGAAGCTGTTTGAAGCCCTCCTCGACTGATGTAGCTACATTTTGGATATTGTAATCTATCCGATCAACAATTGTGCCCTGATAAAAGATATTAGATAAATAAATCAGCCAGTTTCAATCAACGACAACTAACATAATATGAAGATGCATCTCAAACCTGGTCTATCACAAGGACTGAGAGATCTTTCATGATTTGAGCAAGCTCATTTACTGATTTGACAACCTACAAAATGACTATATTCATTAGAAGGGAACTACCATTGAAACAATAAATAACATGCATCCAGATACCTGAGCAATCTCTCTCTCCCTTTCTACAGTTGAGAACTCACTCTCCTTCAGCTTGCTCATTTGGTGCTCATTAAAACCCTGCATTAGTCACCCATCATGTTATTTATACTAGAACATAAAACTGGTGAATTGAATCATAAAGGACTCAGGAACTTGCAATCCATTATATACCAAAACATTTACAAACAGATGTGCGAATCTACACTTCAGTTGAGTTTGGCATCCATCTGACCTATATTTCTACAACCACATCACTGATTTTGCGGTAGAAATTGAAATCCCTAACACCTAAATCCTAATCATAGAAATCAATTCACCTATGGAAACAGTTGCAATTCGAAAGTACAACTAAAAAAAAATGGCATACCACATCACTGAATTCACTGTCTTCCAATCTATATCTGTTCTCATTCAAATTCATCTCCAACTCAACACCATCCTGTCCCTACACCACAAAACAATATACATACAGAGTTAAGCAGGGCATAAAACAATCACAGTAACAGAAAGCTTCATAGAGATTAACATGGACCAAACCAAAACTCAATCCAAACAAACCTCTTTTTGCTGCTGTAGCCGTTTCAAATAAGTTGATTGTTTTCGCCGCAGGTCCACCGATAGACTTTGAAGTTCTGTTGCAAGTGAACGCTGCCCAAAGAGGAATTTAAAAATAAATAAAGAAGTAAATCGGTGGATAAATAATCAGAGATTAATTCATACCAAATTCTCATAATCTATGATTGAAGATAAATATAATCAACATTGTTCAAGAATGATAGAATTATTAACAATTACCTGCACATTTTTTCTGAGATTGGAATCCTCGGAAGATCCGTTGCTCGAAAACTTTCGCAATCTCTTTTCAGATTTCCTTAATAGATCAGTAATTTCTTTGGTTAAAACCTCAATAGCCCGTTGATCTTCTTTGCCGTCTCCAAATGAAGGCATTAAAGCCTTGGAATGAGCTTTGGCTAACTCCGCTATCTTGACCTTAGCTCGTTGAATATTTGCCGCTATTTCTTCCGAATCGTCAACCCACGCCAGAGGGAAACCTACCGTAAACGCACCACTGCTGCAACGAAAATAAAATGAAATGAAATTCGATAGTAATTATTAAGCATAACATATTTTTTGATTGAAAAGACAAAAAAAAGAAAATAAAAGAAATGGAAAGGTAGTTACTTACCTTGAAGGACCAGGTTCTTCTTCGGTGCTGAGGGGAGTGTACGAAGAGCGATTGGAGTGACGGAAAGAAGCATTAACCATTTCAATCACCGGACCACCGGAACCGGACGCTGAGGAAGAGAGAGGAGCTCGAACGCTCTTTAATGCGTCCCTGTGCTTTTTGTACGGGAGGGTCCGGTTTCTCGTCGCCATTGGAATAAAAAAACGGTTAGGGTTGTCGTTGGGAATCGGAAGAGAAATGAAAGGAGTAGGACTTAGAAGGAAAATTGGGGGTTTTGAGGGTTTTTGGGATGAGAAAATGAGAGAAGGAGGGAATACTTGAAGACGGAAAAAGCTTTGACTTGAATTATTACGAGATCTCTCGACACCAGAAGCTAATTTAGCTTCCAAAGACGGACGGTACTGTCCGCATTCGTACAGCTGGGCCAACCGGGAACTGGATGATGCCATCAATAAAGCTCAATCAGCCAATAAACGGGGCCAAGATTCAGTAGTTGGATATTGGCCCTGTTTCACTAGAACGTTTCCATTTTTTTCCGTGACAAATACGTTGCAATTTCAATAAGTGGGCCTTAAGACCCGATCCAATCTCACAGACGGGTCTTACACACTCCCAAGGGCAATTTAACATGGTCGGCATTCGCACTTTAATGAAACGAACCTCAAATCGTTTGGTTCAGTAATAAATCCAAACTTTAATGGACATAATAAAAGTAATTAAAATACTAAATAATTATAATCCGCGTTTTTACAGCATAATAACATTGGTTGTTGAGGGTAGTTCATGATAAACACGCGGGAGTTAGTGGTCATTTCAGAAAGTCGGAAATCGTGTTCGCTAAGTATCCAGCTCCCCTTACAACCTGCAACGACAAACAAAGTTTCCCAGTGTTTTTCCCCGAATTCGCTTCCTCCTTTTAACTCGCTCTTTGCTCCTAACTGGAAAGCGACACGAAAAATTGGAAAAAAAATTATTTAAAAAAGTAAAATCGAAGAAGCAACTTTGTTAAATTCTTACCCTTTTTAGAAACAAAGCCATCCGCAGTTTTAGAGCGTGATCAATTTTCAATGGAGGATGATACTTGGAGCTTTGCTTTCTCAGCTTCATCAAGAAGCTATCAGTCAACTCTTAAATCCCAAAGTGGTTTTTTTTTTTTTTTTTTTCATTTTGGTTTTTTTTTTTTCTACTTTTGTTATTTTTGTTTTGGGTTTTGGATTTCTGGGTTTTGTAAGGCTACTGAAATGGTGTGTTCTTGTTTTTGGAAGCAGATCTTTGTATTGATTTTGAGGAGATTGAAGAAGATGATGAATTGAAGACAGAATACCCCTGCCCATATTGTTCTGAGGATTTTGATTTACTTGGATTGTGCTGCCATATTGATGAGGAACATCATCTTGAAGCTGGCTATGGGGTACGCACTTCCCTTCTAGATTTGTTGTTTGGCATAAAAGTTTGTTATTTTGGAAAGATTGTTTGAATTGATATTTAGGTAATGTTTGTGCTCTTCCTGGGTATGCTTTACTTTGGTAATTGTGGATAATGTTTAGAAAAGAAGGAACCTTTTACTGGCTGTGCATAAGTTGACCCAGCAAAAGAATGCCTTGAATTGCCTTTGCCACTTGGGGGAAGAGGAATGGCATTTGAAGGTGTTTGGCAATCCTACTGGAAAACTTGGATTGATGAATACATGTTATCAGAACTGAAATCCTCAATTCTGTTTCCACCCTTCTTATTCAGTATTATCACTCTATTGTCACTCGTTCATGAACGTGTTAGATTCTTTACTAGCCAACATTTCTAACATCTTGCATTTTTGTCTGGCTCAAATTGCTCTTGTTTACCCAGTCTGACTCATAGAAGCTATAAAAGTGTTTTTTGACTTCATCCATCTTTTCCCTTTTTTTTCTGTCGCTGGTACTGCATGGATGATTGCTAGAGCTACTGGACAAAATTTGTTTTCACCTTCACCCTTTGAATGGCATTCTGTCTTTATTATTTGTCCGTTATGCCTTTTTCTTATGAACCTGACATTAATTCATAATATTCTAGAGCTCCTTTTGGTTTCCCTACTTTGGTTTCATTGATTGAAGTTAAGATGTCAGAACATATTCTTTCTCCTTCTCTCTTTTGTGTATGTTTTGGTCTGTTGGCTTGAATTGAGGCTTTGTACATTGTCAGGGCATATTCTAGCTTATAGAACTTTTCCTAAATATGCCTCATTACATAATATGAAGTCTTCTGTTTGAGAAGAACAAATGCAATGCAGAACTTACCCAAAGGAAGTATTCGTTTCAAATCTCAGAATAATCAGGGTACTTAGATAGCTTAGTTTTAATTGCGCTTTAGACACGCATGATGCTTAAAATCAATTAATCAGTATTGCTTATAATTGCAGGTATGTCCTGTTTGTTCTCTGAGGGTAGGGATGAACATGGTTGACCACATAACAACACAGCATGGGAATATTTACAAGATATCCTTTTATTTCATTTGAGTTGGGGATGTTACTCATTTTGTTTTTTTTTTTTTCCTTTTTTCAACTCATTTTCATGTTCTACATTATTTCATTGTGCTTGAAATGTTTATCATCACATCTTCTTTCTTTATTGAATCTCTCTGAAAAAATTCTCTTCTATTTTGTAACTTTGTGTGATCATGATGATGCTTTGAGTTTTATGGTGTCCCTTGACCAGTGATTACAGTAACCGCAAATTAAAATTTTGCAAAGGCAACTCTTATTCAACTCTTTCTTCCTTGAGAAAAGATTTGGACGATGCACATTATCAATCTCTTCTTGCCAGGTCCTGGTCTTCACTTTCTTCCTCCAACACAGCACCTGATCCATTGCTTTCATTTCTTTCGTATGCACCTCCAGCTGATTCATCTGAAGGTGTACAGTCTGCCTCTTCTACTGAAGTGTCCTTGGAAGTAAAAGGCTCAGATGAGAACATGTTAGAAAAGTAAGTTATTCTGTCATGTTTTAAGATGTTATCTTCAGTGGTTGAGCTAAGCTAAATCCTTTGGAAACTGAGGTGTAACAGCATGATTATGTTATTTCTTTTAAAAATGGTAAAGAGGTATTGTACATGAGAAAATAAATGTTCATGAAAAATAAGAATGACAAAGAAAAATTTTGTTTTTCTAAATTCTGAAGCTTAAACAAATGACTGCACACCATAATCACAATGACTTATATGTTGAGGCAAGGTGGGACTAGAAAAATAACCAACAATGTTGGCAGGAAAATAAGAATGAAAACAATGTGTTTGAGGTTTTGCTCCCATTTAATCTTTGACCTAATGTTTAAGTCTGATAACAAGTTTTAAGCTCACATAGTCAAGTAGATCTTATATATTTCTAATTGATATCATTTGCTTCACAACTTGTGGAACATATAAGAGTGATGTTGCCATCTGCTCTTAATGGTATCAGGATATGGTTTTACTTTTTTCTTTTTTCTAGTAGTGATTATTACTTAAGTTTTTCGCCTTTATCGGATGCAAGTTCATGATAGTTTTATGGTGGACAGAGATGTTCACTCATCCCCTTTGTCAGATAAGGAGAACTTGGAGAAGGCAAAGATGTGCGAGTTTGTTCAAGGACTATTGTTATCCACCATCTTCGATTGATGGTCCGCTGCTTCAAATTTTAACAAACGTGCCATCATCGATGTTTTCTTGTGTTGAACATGCTGATACTTTAATAGAGAAAGCTATGATAGATTCAGGAATCTAATGTAATTTATTTTACAGGTCAATGTTATCAATTAGGCCACAACAGAGTTCCGACTCTTTATGTTTCATGTCATTAAAGCATTAGTGCATAACGCCAATATCAGCTTTGTTTACTTCCTCTTTCATCCTTACATTGGCTAGTTGATCGGAATGTGAAGTTTCATAGGCACTAACAAATTTGAACTATGTTTTCAGTAACGGCAGGTGCCTTGATAATATCTGTGCAATAGTTCTTTAATGTTTCTTCAAATTTGTGATTCAAAGGTTTCCTTTGACTGATTGACTGATCGTGCTTCTTTTGAAGTTTCTATAATAAACTTAAAATATAAGCATGTTGAATAATGTTAAACAAATTATCTTTGACCAAAAAAAAAATCAAACAAATTATGGATGTTGATGGAACATAAGAATTTTGGACATGTTAGAATATATAACATCTAAGCCATTTTCATAAGATTCTTCAAACTTGTTCGTTAATGTGCCATAACGTGCGAAAATTGCTTACAAACAACTTTTGCTCGGCTAACTAAAATTTACATTCACTATGAAACAAATCTAAATGAATTCAGTCAAAACTTCTTGCCTAACTCTGAGCTTAATCTGCTGAAGAATAAAATTAAACTCGATTAAACTCACTGCTGAGAACAAAGCTTCCTTAACAACCACTTCTTGCGGAGTTTGACATCCAATGCCAGAAATGTTTTTGCTTTTATTTCATCCTCCAAAAAGTCACATGCATCCAATATAAGGTCTTCATCCATGTCTGGTAATGCCTGTACGGCTGCAATTACATTCTCTATTGAAACGGAGTTTGACTTCCCATCATTCTTCTCTGTCAAAGAAGACACAGCAATTGCCATCTCTCTAAGAGCACTGGACATACTGTCGTCTTCACCTCTTGATTTTTTTGAATTTGCAGAATTTAACTGGTTTTCTAATTGACGTTTGTACCTAAGGTTACACCCAATTGTCTTTGCTCAAGCACATCACCAATTTCATCTTCACTGGAAACTGATGCTGCAGCAGACTGAGAACTGTTATCCGCTCGCCGAGGCTTCACTTCTTGAACCCCATTCTCTGGTTCCAAACATTGAACGGAAAAGCAGTCACTTTCATCAGGATCTGGATCACTGCATATCAAACACAAGTCTATATGGCACGGCACTGGTCGGGTCATGAATTGTCGTGCATCCGAATGGCCCTGCATGTTAGTGCATCAAACCTTTTTAAATCCCATAGAATAAAATGAGTGTTATAATATAGATCAAAAGTCTCCATTACTTCTCAAAAAGCTTATACAAATAGATATATAAATAAAATGAAAAAAATATATAATTGAATAGACGGCACCATCTTCCACTTTACCTCTTTACCCTAACAAAATAAAACACATCTTGAATTCTTGATGGTAGATTTTTGTCTTGCCTGAGTCCTAAGGTACATGTGACACTGATTCTATGTGGCTTCCAAGTAGATTATGTAAAACTTCAGGTATGATAAAAGATAACTGAACATCTTATGGATGACATGGGCTGGATTAGAGGAACTAGTGCAAAGGTTCTATGTAACAGGACTGAATTGTTTCGCTATTAAGTTTTGAGTTTTACACATAGATGCATACCTTGATGTACTCTTGCCATACGCTATCATCAGCTGTTACCATTTGACGAGCATCATCCCAGGCAAATCCATCCCCTTCAAGAAGATTCTTTACGACATTATATTGCCTTCTTAGAGTTTTATAGCGATTCTTTAGTATGTCCATGTCATAGTTAAAACCAAATTTCGCATTAAATGAAGCAATCATCTCTATCCATGCCTGCTAACTAAATACACCACCAATCTGGTTCCCTATCTGCACCTGCTCAAGCATAAAATCAATGAAAAAACAGTCCATTGGTGGCTGCCAATCCATCCTAGTACGACTATACAGTGGGTTTATTGTTGCACTAGGCACAACCTCTGGCGTGTCCTTCACTTCTTGGAGAACAGAGATACAATCTTCATTCACAGCTCCCTCATTGGCACCTTCTAGCTGAGAGGCTGATCCTGTTTTGTCCTCACCCAATTGTGCTGATGTCTCAGGCTGACTATCACATGGTAACAAATGATCAGCAATAAATGAAACCTTTCAACAATTAGATATACCAGATTAAAATTTAGTAGTATCAAGGATAGAATTATTACCCCTTTAACCACATGTCCTATCTCCATATATAAAACACAAATCATCATAGTAGGGAATAGTTTTTACCCCGTAAGGACGCAAATCTGGGTTTACCTGTGAATAGAAAAAGAAAAAACTGTATGACCCCAAAATGTTTTAAATCCTTTTATCACATAATTAAGAATTGCACCTTGATATATTTATCACAAACTTTATTGTCAGCGAGCACCATTTGTCACGTTGCATCCCATGTAAAACCCTTATGATTTAAGAGGTTCTTAACACCTTTGTACAGAATTCTCAGTGTTTTGTGACCATTTTTGAGAACATCTTTGTCATATTCAAATTTGAATTTCTCGTTGAACAATGAACCCATGTTCTTCCATGCTGTTTTGCTGAACACATGATCATCATACCTATTACCTTCATTGATCTGTTCCAACATTAGATCAATGAAATTATCGGTCCATCTCAGGAGTCCATATCGTACTTAGGCGATCCAAATTGCCGCAAGTTCGGATACCCATACTCGAACAATGTAAAGACAAGACACTTTCAGAAACATAAAAAATTCAAAAATGTACATGGTGAAACCAAATGCAAGAATTGTGAAGGAATTGATAATTTCAATATAAAAAAGAATTGGATATGATAAAACCAAATGGAAACTACCCAGAAAAGAAAAGAGATTGTCTAACAGAGACAAGGAAGAGGAAGAGGTAGAGGTAGAGGAAAATCAGATTAATTGAGTAAATATTTTATACATTGCATTCGAATTGTGGAAAGTCGGGGGGACGGGATTCTGGGTTTTCTACAAGTTTGGGGATAAGGTTTTCCAGGATAGTGCTGCGATTGCTTCGTGGCAGGAATAAGACGCTAACCTCGACCGTACTAAACTTGAATCCTAATTGGATTATCCCAATTTTGAAGTTACAGCAATTTCAAGTTCATGGTTGTTTTAGACTTTCTTCTATAGATTAGCTAGAGCCCAGAATTATAAATACTCTCTTACAAGTTCAGGCCCAATAAAAAGCCCAAACCAAAAGCATACACTCAATGACCTTCGGGCCTTTGCCCCATCTACTGGGAGCCTGAGAAGCTGCGACTTGCTTCTTCTGGGCTTGTTAAGGGAACCGACTCATTTCGTTTATCAGCCTACTAGCCTTTTTTTTTTATTGATCGCCATCTGCCATTGCGCAAGTCACATGCACACTGCCTTTTCCAAGTTGTAGTTTAGGGAAGAAAAAGATTGTCCAAAAGCAATATATGGGCAAATAGAAAGCCACCAAAGGTGGAAGTCGAAACTTTTGAACCAGAGACCCAAAAGAGACGAGATACTTCTATTTCGGCAATACTAAGGTTCTTGAGAAACTATACTGCAAAATAGTTGTGCAACAAACTTTGGAAGTGCTTATAACTTGGTTGCCGAGACTATTAACAACAACCACCAGCATTCCAGAATTACAAAACTGAATATACGTTTATGAAAACACTGATAATTTACCTAGTATTTCCTTTTCTGAAAACTACAGGTATGGGTGTATATCTGCAGATACAGTACAGATTCAAATTTTCGTCAATTTCCAAAATGTTCATAAAAAATCATGTTGATGCAGAAAAACAAGGCTGCTTGGTTAGTGATTCACAAGCATACCAAGATCATAGAACTTGAACCAGCCAGACAGCAAAATAATTGAGTGGTGACATAAATTCCAGTGAGGTGATTATAGTTTCTTGGACCCTGCCGGAAAATATGACAAAAGAACTGCCTTGAACCCATCATTTCTGACACCTAAGAATTTCAATTGACGCAATCTAGTTGCAAAACTTGACCTCCTTTTCCCTTATTGCGCCTCATTGAAACCACAAGCATTCTGTTATCTTGGTGCACACTGCTGCTAAATGAGGGAACTATGGAATCATAATAAGAATGACAAGGCTGAAAAACAAGCTGTTTCATTGCAGGTTTTAAGCAAACTGTCTTATCTTTCACCAAATATCACCCCAACTGAGCCTTTGGACTTCCGCGACTACCCGAAAGAGCGGTTACAGAAAATTAAGGTACCTTTGTTATCTCCACTGTGAGTTATGTGATACAAAAAACTGGAAATCAGGTAGATGGACTTGTAAACGGCGCAGCCAACTGTCAGCAACTTGTAACAGTGAGCTTGCTTGCTGCCATTCTTGGGAACCATTGGGAGTCAAAATTGAACCTCTCAACTTATAGGAAGCAAGGCCGAAAACTGGTAGAGAGATCTTTGAAGGTGCATCAACACCGCATATTTTCCTACTGCCAGAAGCAGGATACTGCAGCTGACTTTCACCTGTAACAGCCGTTAAATAAATGACAAAATTAACTCAACAAGGCACATAATATAGCCTAGTAAATGGCTTTATGTTCCATGATAGTAAATGAGATAGAAAGAGATATACTTCGAGAATGTGTCGACAAATAATGGAAGGTCAAGAAAGATGCATCTAGATTTTGTAGAGTTGGACCCATAGGTATTCTGTAGATTGGGTACCTAGACCAAAAAAAACATAACAAAACACACATAGCACAATAAGTTTAAAAGAAAAGAGACTCAGTCAATCCTTAGAAGTAAGTATAAGATGTTCTACCAAGCCACCGATATCCAACTTGCTGGCAATAGATCACAGCTCCTGTACATCCTGATCTCTGGAAATTGAGATGCGAGACTTGAAATCTGTTGGGTCAGAAAAAGGTGCCACAAGCATCCAAAAGTCAGGACAAACAAATAATTGAAGAGAAAGAATTTAACAATCTAAATCAGCGCTAACATGAACTTGCCTTGTCATATAAAGGTCTCCGATGATGTGGTTGTTCTTGTTCAAAGTATTCAAAAACCAAAAGCCCAGGTGAGTTGCCAGCCTCCACTTTGTCACTAGATGAACTCATAGAAGGTCTGTTCCTCCTTTCAGAGTTGTGCTTCCCCCATTCTCCATCAACACCACCTTTCATTCTCCTTTCTGTTTCACAGTCACTACTTCCAGCACTACTAGTTTCCCTCGAAGACTCAGCATCACTATCCTCACTAGGCCTCCTATTAATTCAATACATGGGCAGATTTGCAGAGTTAACAGTAAGGCAAGTCAAAAGCTCCACAGTTTATTCATACATATTATCTAATACCAAGCATGCAGCTCTTAGTTGCAAGCTGGTCAGCCAGTGTCCAGAGTAAGATTTAACAAACCCAATATTCCTTATTCACAGAATTAGTGCGAGGAAGCAGCTGGAAATTAATCATTTATTTGGACAAAGCCAATGATCATGTCTACCAAGAATACTGTCATAGATACACCTCTGTCAAACAACAATGTCATAATGTAAAGGGGCAAGCAAAGCAGGGCCGTGGTCTTTCTCCAAACCAGATGTAGGATTATAAACAAAGAGGTTAACAATTAAGGAACCATTAGTTCAAGCGAATTTATGTGTGTAAAGTATAAACTTTCAAGATTCAGTAGAAATCAAGTATGGGAAGCATATTCCCTTGTCGAAGAAATGGCAACTAGAGAACATGTTAAATTAACACTAAGAATCTGTAAGACTGGAATATTTTAACAAAATATAGGCTTCAAAATCATAGATGCATCTAATGTAGGAAAGCCAACCAATCATGATCAAAACAGTCAAGTTGTTTAAATAGTGCATTCAAGGTTTCTTGTTGCCAAACAATATCAAAAACATTTATATATATCAACAATGAATTCAAGTAATTGCAACATTGCAATATAAAGAAGAGCCATAAGAACCAGCAACGTATAAGAATCTGGAATTTTCTCCGCCACCATGTGGCTAAATAAGCAGTCTGACACAATAAAAATATACAATCCAACTCTATGATATTTACAGGAATTTATGAGCCAGGAAGAGGAAAATTCAGTTAGGAAGATGTGGTAGTAAGAAGCTCACCTTGGCCTATGTGGATCTACATACAATTGTATGCCTGACAGGGAAGGAACGTAGTACTGCTTAACAGAATCACTCCCGTTCAACAATAGCGGCACTCCAACTCCATATACACTCCACTCACTAAAACATTCCCACAGGTCACTGAGACAATAATATGGGAGTAAATTCACTTCATGATTTTTCCATCCCCTCATTTTTGCCTATCAAACAAAAAACAAAAATGAATGCCATGAAGTAAAAAACTAAGACTCCTTTTCCAACAGATAGCTAAGAGAATATATGAGGAATTTTCTTTCAAACTTTCCCCTAAATGTAGCTTGAGAAAACAAGAAACGCCAATTAAACTAGCCTACTTTTGATCATTAATAGAAGCATAAATAACTGAGAAAAAAATATATTCTTTTATTTCCATGAACAAGACAAGACTCAGCAATGTTGCTCAGAACGAGATGAATCTAAATCTTCTTGTCACTTTAGGACCACATGAATGCAAATCATAGTAAAACTAAGACCCTACACCATTAATTAAGAGCAATAAAGCCAGTTCTCTACAAGTTAGAATTTGTAGCAAACTGAACAATACATTTCTAAAAAATAATTAAAAACAATTTCCATTCCTGAAATAGCGCTTATCCGTTAGCTAAACCTCAGGTCTCCCAAACAAAAACAGCAATAATTAGCTCTCCAAAGTCACTTCCTTTTTTTCTCAGCCGCCAAACAGAGCTAAATAAAACTCAAAAATATAATTCTCAGTACTTATATTTAGTTACAAAGAAAGTAAATATTTCACAATACCTCAGAGAAGCACTGAGCCGGAACAAAAGGAGTGACCGATTCCATGAGCCGATCCAAATTGGTCAAATTAGAAATCGACGACGGTGAAGCAGAGCAGACCGAGTTAGGCCTCGACAATGTAGACTCGTCCGAATCCGTCCGAGCCTCAGCCACTGAATCAACCGAGTTGACTCGGCTCTCCTTTAATGCTCTCTGTGGCTCCTTCTGCAACGGTCCGTGTAGCTGCTGCCTCTGCAACTGCTGCTGTTGTAATAATTGCTGTTGCCGCCTCACCGCCGGCGGGTTGTAGAATCGGTTCCCCGTGTGAGTTCGGGTCACCGCGAACCCGCCCGAGTTTGACATTCTACTATTGATCTTAAACTTTTTTTTAAGGTACAAATACTAAAAAGGAAGTTCTGTAGCTTTTACTGGATTATTGAAATTGATGGGATAGAGACGGCATTAAGGGATTGGGAGGGGTTTTAAGGGGTAAAATCTTAAGAACGAGAGTGAAAGGGAAAGGCCACGAGTGTTTCCGTTTGCGTTGTTTTTCTTGTGGTTTTTTGTATCGTCCAAGGGTTTTTTTTTTTTTCGTAGGTTCTCTTTTTCAGATTTGATTTGAAGAAGGAAATAATAAAAATTGGCTTGACTGAAAGGATGGATCATGGATCGCCCGCAGCACTCAAATGACGATACTGACCCCTTTTCCTTTGGTTGCGTCCTCACCAATCCTGAATTTTTAAAAATTTAATCATAAATATAATTATAATACGATAAAAAAATTTTAATCATGGGTTGAAATAATATCCTAATTGTAATTTTTTTAGTAATAATTTTAATTTGAATGTAGTAGTATGATTAATAAAGGACTGTCCAAATTCATAATTTGAGTTTTTTTTTTAATCAAAAAGAAAATAAATTCATATTTTCATTTGACTTATTAATCCTTTTAATTTGTAAATTTTCATTCAAACGTCATAAATATTAATGGAAAATATTATTAGTACTAGTTTTATGAGACTGTTTCTGTTTAGACTCATATAAATCGAATAATAAAACCATTAAGTATGCAAAATAAAAGAAAAAAATAGTTGTTTTAAATAAATACACATGATAAAAAATGTTTGTAGTTTTTTTTTTTTTTACTCTATGAACATAAATGAATTGAATCCATGTAGTTATAACGTCATCAAACACATTTTGTCTTCATTTAAAAAAAAAAAAAAAACTCCGTCTCTTTTAAAAACATTATAAAGATAATTAATTATAATCAACTTGATTTTTTTTTTCGTGGTTGAACCTTCACTATCACTAACACATGAGTAGCATTGAGTTGTGTAATTAAATTTTATAAAAATAAATTCAAGATTTTCATTTAATTAATTTATATATTTAATTTTAAAAATGATATTTAAAATATTTAAATTTTAATACTTATAAAATTATAATATTTATTTTTACTTTTAGATTATTACCTCTTTTATATAAAAATATAAATAAAAATATTAAAGACGGTCATTTAACAATGGATGCAACCATGATCGTCCAATCTATATATTTAATTGTTTGATTATTATATGATGAAGGGTGATTACTGATTAGGATTTCATTTCATTAAGATGAAACAAAATTTGCAGATCCAATATTTTTAGGATATTTTGGGAAGAACAAACAAAATCTGCCAAAAACATGTAGCCAATTTGAGCAGATCCGCCGGTAGCAATAATTTAAGAAACGAATCGCCTCAAGCAGCCATTAATTATGCAAGCCCAGTCCCACAGTTTTTGCCTTTTGGGGGCTTTGACCGAACTGCCCATCGGCCATCAGCTTAAGCGACAAATTTACGTTTTCGGTGTCGGAAGAAAAACGAGTATCACCGAACCCAGAAAAGCTTATGATCTGATGAGAGAAAAACTTCGCTGAAAAAAAAAAAGCTTGAAAAACACTAAAAACATGAATCAAGAGCAAAAGTAGCAAGTGGCCAAGTGCTTGTCAGATAACACAAACTTTGTTTCTTTTGGTATAATACATTAAAATATTATCAAATTTAGAAGAGATTGACTTCCAGGAATCTCCAAAACTCGAGATCTTCATTTCTTCATATATAATAACAAGTGAAATCACTCCTTTACTAAAGATAGTAATACTAAGATGAAGAAAATTTATTTGGATGATGCGTGAACGGGTTTGCTTTTGGGGACAGCATCACCGGCTTGACTTTTGGGCTTGAGGCAGCCATTTCTCCTATTTTCGTTACCATTGCACTGTCCATTGTACCAACCTGTTTGTGTGTTTGATTAATGAAATTGACTAGATCTACATCTAGTAGCTTCGTTCGGTAATGAGTACTGTCTCGAATTCGGTTAAAGCACAAAAAACTTTAGATTTATTTAACTTTCTATGTAGAAGAGAAGAGTAATTAAACAGAAAAGAAAACTGTCAATGTTACAGCAAGTAGCAATGAAATTTATTACTTTTTTGTTTTGTACAAAAAGATTTATAAATACGAAAAGCAATTATAAATGTTTAATTTATTATATATTAATTTTTAAAATAATTATTTAAATTTAATTAAATGTTGGATTAAATATAAACTTTTTATTAATTCGTAAGTACCAAGTTTTGTTTTTGTTAGTACAAATAAGTACCACCATTGAATTTAAGCCACAAAAAATTACTATCCACGTTTAACAAGTAAAAAAAGTCAAAGCAAACTCTAAAGTATCTTTAGTGCAATTTTTGTTAGTATTAGTCTATATTAGTATAATAAAAATATATATAAAATAAAGATAAAAAAACAAAAAAAAAAGACATAGTTTGGATGTTTTAACAATCAACCAATTGGTCATTCGATTCCTACATTTGGTTTCTTAATTCAAAGCCCAAGTTGCTATCATCGTGTACAGGGAATTGTAGTGCTGAACAGTTAAACACGTTGGTTTAGGAGATGCTATTGCTGCTGGCATAGTTCAAATCGATAATGTCATGGTTCCTTCCCGTTGTTTGTGATTAAAAACACATTTGATGTTCTTCGTTTAAAATGTTTTTGGATGGATAATAAAATTAATTTTGATGATATTAAAAATAATAATAGATATGATATTAATTATTATAATAATAAAATATATGTTTAGATATAAAAATAATGATAACAATAAGATGAATGTTAATAATAAAAAAATGGTTATAAATATATTAAAATAAAAATTATATGTAATAAATATTTTAAATGATTTAACATTTATAAAATTATAAAATTATTTTAAATAATAAATTTGTTAATAAATAAATTATTAATTTTGTAATTTATTAATTTATTATATAATAATATTTATTTATTAAATTATTATATAATAATAAAAATAAAAATCAGGGCTTTTTTTTGTATTCAAATGTTAAAGGTAAAAACAAAAAAAAAAAAAGAAATTCAGTTAACATTAAAATTTTAAAGCAAAAAAAAAAAACTATGATCCAATTAACCACTGGAAAAAAAAATCGTTGACCAGTCACCATTGATCTCACCTCACTGAAAACTGTTTGAATCGCCACTGACCAGTGATCACACCTTTCTATTGCAACCGCAATCCAAAGGGCGCATTGATTGATGCTTAAAGGAAATGGGCACGTATCCATAAAAAGATTGTCCCAACTCCCAAGGCCTACAAAGCATACGGGAGTGGCCCATAATAAAGCGGCCATGCGAATCACGACGGCAACGTCGATACAGTGAACTCATAGCCATGGTACGTACAGGACTTGCCACAGTTTTCTTTTGCAATTTTATGTAAAAAAAAAAAAAGGAAAGGCGTAAAATAAAAACATTAAACATGCCTTCTAATTTAGCTTCCAATTGATTCTTCTATTTTTCACTTATTGCTATATTAAAATTTAAAAGCAATAGTTGCGTCTAAACATGAAGATATAATTATTTCTTTGATTTTCATAAAAAAAAAGAAACTAAATGCTTCTGTAATTAAGGCTAATTTGATAATGTGACAAAAATTTTTGTATGTTAAGTGTCGTTTCGACATTAAATTTATAAATTAAAAAATTTACCTAAATTTAGCATGTACAACCGAAAATGAACAGGAAAAAATAATTAGTTGGTACTTGGAAACTGATTATTTTCAAACATACAAGATTTGACCAATTTAACTGATTTGGATTGGCAATTGACAAATTTGAACAGTCCTCCACCAGGCATGTCACTCGGTAGAAAAGTTTTCCACTTAATTGCTATTAGTACAGATCATCCGACTTCAGTTATTGACTTGGGTCTCGGAGGCGTGGAGTGGCTGGCCGCCACCGCTCACCATGCCTGGTCATGGTTAATAGGAGTGAGATGGATTGGGTTAAATCTTGGTTTTAATTTCGGTTATTTCAATTAATATATAATATTAAGATTTTTTAAAATTCAAACGGAATTTGAATTGAATTTTTTTAATCGGTTTGATTTGGTTTAATGAATTTTAAATTTTATTTTAAAATTTTTTAATATATTTAAATTAATTTAGATATAAAATATTTTATTTTATAAATTACTAAAAATATATAATTCATTTTAATCTAATTTTTTTAAAATTTTTATTTTTTATATGAAATTTTATTTACATTAATATATATTTAATATTTAAATTTAATCTAAACTAAATTCAAAAAATTGATTCACATCAAATTCAATACTATAATTTTAAATGAATTTTCGATTTTTTCAATTTTTTTCTCAGGTGCGATATCCAATTAGGCGAAGACCAAAACTGCGAATCTGCCCAAATTGTAATGTCGGGGCAGTTTCGTGCAAAATTTACCTTATATTTTATTTGCATTTGACTCAGAATTGGAGTCTTTCGATTCAACTCGGTCCCATGTGCAGCGAATCGTCCAACTGAGAGTTGATAAGCCGATGATAGCCAAACAAAGGCCTCACGTTTTAAAAGTTGAAACCCGTGGTGACGTCTTGATCTCATCGTACAACGCCCAGCCTCGGGAGCCAATCCTCTCTGTAATAGTTCCTTGATCGTTGCGCCTCCCCCGAGTAAAAAGAAAAAAGATACAACAACGAAGATGGAACCCTAACTCGGGTGATTCGACTCGGTTGTTCACAAGCTAACGCAACTCACGCCCGAAGAGCTAGATCCTCTGGCAATGCGACTCTGGTTCTCGGCAACATCCCTCTCGAGAGAGGACTCCTTTTGTTTGGCTAAAGCCTTCGCCTGTTTTCAGATTCATTTAAAAAGTTCTAGCAATGACCAACGATTCCCATGCCCATAATTCCCGAGGTCTCCTTTGCAACGCCGGTGCCGGCGCCGCCGCTGGTATGTTAAATATTCCCTTCCCTTTCCCCAAGCCGTTATCTCATTAACTGAATTTTGGAGCATTCTTTTACACGTGTAGGTGTTATTGCTGCAACATTTGTGTGTCCTTTAGATGTTATAAAGACTAGATTTCAGGTTCATGGGCTGCCAAAGCTTTGTAACGCAACCGTTAAACGTATGCAATACCGATTAACTTTCACTTGATTTGAAAAACAAAAATACAAGAGTGTTTAAAGTTTTCTAATTTCTAACCTTTTTTTTTTTAAATTATTTGATCAGGTAGTATTATAGTTGGTAGCTTGGAACAAATATTTCAGAAGGAAGGCTTGCGTGGCATGTACCGTGGGCTTGCTCCTACTGTAATCGCTTTACTTCCTAATTGGGCAGTAAGTTGTTTATTCCATGTTTCTATTTTAAGCTGTAGCAATCCTGTTTATAAAATCTTGAGGAGTTCTTACTTCTTGGATGTTATTATGAAATTGGAAAAGTCAACATTTGTTAACTCCATAGTTTGTGAAGATTGAAGTGGATTACTTATCGGTCTGCGTTGATCTCAAAGTTTATATCTAGAAACTAGACCTTGAGTAATATTGCGAGGATTTAGGAATTTGAGAAAGAAATATGGATTTTGAGGCTTTGTTGCATGATCAATTGACTATTTAAATTAAAGAAATAATCTCTTGCATGTTTGAGTTATTACAAGATGAGAATTTCTTTGTTCTGATTCTTTTCTTGCCCCCACTTCCAAATTTAATCTGAAGATAAAGATTTGTAAGCTTCTTTGCTGTTTACTCTCCTAAATTTTCCAACAGCATTTACAACTTGGGTAAAGTTGCATTAAATACACAGAAATAAAGTATGCCTTTTCCCACAACATGGGTTCATTTATGCAATTATGCACTAGCCCAAGTTAGATCAGGAAAATCAAGTATCTTTTTGATGGTTTCTACTAATGTTTTCTTTGTTTATCACCTTGCCCTTTAATTATAATGCCAGGTTTAATTGACTGCAAATTTGCTTTTAATTTGCAGAACCTTTATTTGTTTTAATTTCACAAAATTCACGAAGATAGATAGCCTTATGAAGAAAATGTAGATTCAGGACAGAAATGCTCATATCAAACATAGATTTAACTCATCAATGCTTTTTATTGTCTTGTAACTCTCGATTTGAGGTGCTCATTTGAATACTTTAAGTAAATTATCTAAACAACCAGTGGTATTACAGCAGTTGTTTTGTTTGATTGTGTAATTGAGCTTAATTGAATCTGGATGAGCTAAACCTTGATTTGCTATTGAAGAGTTAGGTATTCATTCACAAGGTTGAACTACAAATGTAATAGTTTTTCTTCCTTCTCAATACATAAGCTTGATTTTCCATGCAACATAATAATTATTATACTTGCTATTTCCTATCCCAATTTTGCATAATACTTTTCTGGAGAAATTTAGATTTGATTTTTGAGGATTTTATGTTTGAAGCTATTAAAACAGGAGGCCTAATACCTATTTGTTTAGATTTCCATGGATGCTTTTGTTATTCTGTATTAAATTATTCTCCTTAATGCAGATGTGTTTCACTTGCCTTGCTTAATGAGTTTAGGTCTTTTTTCCTTTTCTTTCTCTTACTCGTTCTTTTTAGTGCTTGCTCGAATTGATGCAATCCATTCCCTTTGCAGGTATATTTTACAGTGTATGAGCAGCTCAAAGACTTTCTTTGTTCTAACGGTCTGTTCCTAGCCTATAGAATTCACACTTTAGTCTAAATTTCAACCATTTGTTTCTTCCTTTTAGATTTTCTTTTCTATAGTTATCGTCTTGTACATTTTCTTTTTAATTTCTGACTTAGTACTCCTTCTGGGTGCATGTGTAGATGAGAATCACCATCTCTCAATAGGTGCTAACATGCTAGCTGCATTTGGTGCTGGAGCTGCGACAACCATTTCAACAAATCCTCTTTGGGTTGTTAAGATAAGACTTCAAGTGTGTCTCTCAAGTTTTTACTTTATTATTTTACCATGCAATAACATATGATGAATGAAATGAAAATTCTAGATAGTGTGACATGCTCTAGGCAACCATAGTGGCTTATATTAAAATTTTAAGTTATCTTGCCTGTTATTTCATTATGTTATAGTTTATTACAGGAGATAGAAACTTTCATCTCTTTTGTCTCTTTTGTTACTTTAGAAGGAACACTAATAAAATGTGGAAAAAACCAATAGAAAAGAGCACAGAATTCTTTTTTGGCCACAGAGCACAGATGGTTTAGTCACACACAAGAAAATGACTGCCTGCATCAAGTGGGTGGATGACTGATTAGTGTTATTTAGGCCGTTTGATTTGGCTTTATAGGTGACAGATTGTTTTGTAGTGATTTGTTTCTGTATTTATGATCTAGTGTATGTGGTTTGATTTTTTTTTTTTTAATTTTTACTGTATTATGCTGCTATTTAAAGATAATATTTGGAGCTGTTGACTTTTTTATGCCTTGACATCTGTCCGTTTTGTTTTTATAGACTCAAGGAATGAGAGGAGGAGTCATTCCCTATAGGGGTACACTTTCTGCTTTGAGGAGAATAGCTCATGAGGAGGGTATTCGGGGTCTATACAGGTTTTGTATCACCATTCATAAGAAATAGATAAATTCTTCTGTTTTCTTTGCAAACTTGTTTTTACCTGTTCTGATTTGAGAAATGTCTGATTTTTGTATGATGAACAGTGGTCTCGTCCCTGCATTAGCTGGTATTAGTCATGTTGCCATTCAGTTTCCAACATACGAGAAGATCAAGTTTTATTTAGCTGATCAAGGTTAATAATCTAATTGTTTTAAGTTGTATATACTCATTGAAAATATTTTAACTTAATGGGGCCTTAGCAGATCACACTACAATGGATAAACTCAGTGCACGTGATGTTGCTGTTGCCTCATCAGTTTCCAAAATATTTGCATCCACATTGACTTACCCACATGAGGTATGATGAATGAATGTTTACAACTCCTTTTGGTGAAGTAAGAAACTCTCATTTATTTTGATAAGGTTGCATTGCACTTTCAATGCAAAAAAGGATGGATGTGGGCATCATGTGTTGATTGCCATAGCCTATGTTTAAGAGCTGCATTTATATGTGTTTCTTTATCATTAGTGGCTGTTTAATTATGCAAGCTGATGAAACTAACAAGGTTACATTTATTCTTGCACAATGTAGGTGGTACGCTCAAGGCTTCAGGAACAGGGACATCACTCTGAGAAACGTTATTCTGGTATGGTTGATTGCATCAGGAAAGTATTTCAGCAAGAAGGCCTTGCCGGATTCTACCGTGGGTGTGCAATAAATCTTATCAGGACAACTCCTGCAGCTGTTATCACATTCACCAGCTTTGAGATGATTCATCGATTTCTTGTCAATCTTTTCCCTCCTGATCCACAACCTCACACATTGTGAGGCTGCATCATGCTCAAACAAGGATATAACCACTGTTTCCTGAGATATAGCCAGGCAGCGATACATCATCTTGGTAGTGATACATTTTCACAGTTGTTTGTATTCTTCTAGTAGCCATTTTACCATTATTCATTCGATCCTCATCTCGTCTAATCCTGAAATATCAAAGCTTCCCGAGGAAGGTGTGGACATGTTATACCAAATGATAATGCCGAAAATGGTACATTGTGAGCTTAAATTATTACATTAAGGATAGCTAGATAAGTACAATTGTTTATCTTTGTTTACCATGTACCACTTTGCTTTGCTGTTTATCCTTATTCTTTCATCATTCTATTTTCAACTTTCAAAGCATATAAACTATGCAAAACCGAATGTAGGTGGCTGCCGGAAAGGTAACTTGGGTTGTGCAGGTGCCATGGCTTGATTTGAGGTGGAGAATTTCTCTCTCTCTCTCCTTTTTCCTCTTCACTCACTGGGATTCCACCGTAACGATATTGCCTAACGTTTGAGCTGTTTTGAAGAAATTGTAGTTTGCTTGTCACTTTAGAAAATTATTCTTTCATATATTGGCTTAGCCTGCAATCTGGCATTATTATCTTGGTTTCCATTTTTATATTCTGTTGTTCCTTCGCTATGTCTGGTAAGAAAAAAGTGAGCAAAGAAAATAAGGAGAGGATCACGTGGTAAACATTTGGGCTAAGCCTGGATCATGATCTGATTCATGCGGTGTAGCTAGGACCTTGCTTCATTGCACATTTGGGCTACTGTCCCCAACGTAAAGAGTAACCAATTCCGCCTGAATTGCCAAGTAATGGTGACATGCAAGCATCTCATCGCGTTCCCTTCCACTTTGTTTGTAGGTAGCTAGAACTCCTGTGCAGTTCTGTAGTCGTTGAGCTTTTGTTTTGGAGACGAAGCTACCAAAATCCCACACTTCCATCTGAAACTCAATTCCATGAAAGGTAGCTAAACGTTCAGACACGTTTGCTTTCTAAGCAAGTATAAGGAATTTGGGTGGGGATTTCAATTGTGATAAGAGTTGTTGGGATAGGGATTTTCTGATGGAAACGGGATACCTATAATCTGTTAACGAAATCACAAGGGAGCTTAACTGTTTTGGTAATACCGGTAATATGTCTACCCCCCAAATCAAATAAGTAAAACAGAAATGCTTGGCTTTAAAGTTTAAACAATAAGCTGAGCCTAAATCAATTGTTTGTGTCGAGACTTGAGAGTTCAAGTAATATATATATATTGATTATTTATTGATGTCTGATGAGACACTTATCCATTTTCCCGAAAATATATTCAGATTAAAATGGATAATCTTAAACATTATAGAATGGATCATATTTCTTATGTGCTCTTAAAAATATACCCCACTAGAAAACTTTTAGTACTGTGACAATGTGGTTGATCAGAAAAATATCTACATTTCCATCTCAATGCCAGTTATAAGTGTAGTAGTAAAGGAGAAAGTGAGCTTAATTTGACAACTCATTAGCCTTATAAAGGGAATCGCAAGAGGTTCATATTCCGATCAGAAAACTATGACAACTTAGACAATTATGTTATGAAAAGATTCAAGATTCAAGACAATTCTTTTTATATATCGGATGTGATTAACAGTTCATAACATCACTTTAAACACATGGGGTTGAGTTAAAAAAAAACATTCCCCACATCCCAGGTAGTAGTACCTACTAGAATAAATTAGAAACCTGATAGCTGCTAGCTAGGACATTGATTTCACATTCCTCTTGTTCCATGCTCTAGATTTTTTCTTTTCATTTGTTTCCTTTCTCAGGTTATGCGTGGGGTGGAGTAGGTTTGGCAAGTTTGAGCCACGGAAATAGAAAAAAAAAAAAATCTCCGTAGTGTTGTTTCCTTTTCGACATTTTTGTGATGCTGCTGAAATATCAGCAGAAAAAACGTTGCAGCAAGTACCGCTACTGCAGTATAATTAAATGACATTGCCAGGGAGGTAAGGGAAGGGGAATGTGAGGACAAAAGGACTGCCCTTTCACTTGTCATCATAGTTTGTTCGATCAAAAGTATAGGGCCATTAAAAGATATACATACATGAGTGCAATGCTTTCATGATTTTTTTGAGACTGCTGTCTGCCAACCCCACGATAAGAAAAAAAGAAGGACAACCTGTGATGATCTTTCTTCTCTTTAGTTTAATTTCCTTTATGTTTTTCATTAATCTTTGGATTGATTAAGGTTATTATTACCAAACATTCTAACAACAATCACCCATTCAAATTTTTTTAGGCCTTCAAGAACCTAAAACTACCACCTACTGGCAAGTTTGTCCTGTTAACTAACTGGCTTTTCTTGAAAACAAAATCTTCTGTATTCACCCAACTGATAATATCAGCTTTGCTCTAGAGTTATAACTGTTATGTGTGTGGTTAGAAATTGAGCTTGCGTTTGCTTTCCAGATGGGATTCGATTCCAAATTTTCCTTCAAAAGTCTTTTTAATATCCTGGCCAGCCAGCAACAATAATTATCATGATGATGGATACTTTTAACTTTTTCAAGATAACATGGGGGGTACTATTTATTCGTTTGCTATGTGGACATAATCCTGAAGTGTGATAATTGGAAATACCCTAAAGTTTACTCTTCAAAAGTGGCTATTATTATTAGAGCTGTAAGTGGCCATTTTACTGCTTTTTGAGCAATGGATGAAGAGACAGACGACCCCAGCTGGAAGAATTCCACTTTTTTTTTTTTGTTTTGCAGAAGATGATCAGGAAAAGAAAAATCTTTGTTGAAAATTACGGCATGCATCCTTTTATCCCTCAGGAATCCATTTTGTACATTAAATCAGAACTGTTTAATTAGCATATTCATCAACATATTCATTCTTTGAAAATTTTGATTTACTTTTCAAACACAAATCTTGGTAATGCTCTCAAAATGAAGCTAATGAAATTATAAATCAACAATTTTAAGATGTTTAGGATTTCAACCTCTCCAGTCCTGCACTGTGTAAAAAACTCTGCCAAACATTGTCTTACCAAAAATAAATTACAAGAAAAATAAAAACATGGATAGTTTAGGATTTCAAGATATGGTGGGTGCATTATATGATGTGGCTTCCCATTTTCACAGCATGAACCTGCATATTCCCGCACCAGAAAGTGATGCCCACCTTACAATTGTAATCCATGAATTTAATCGTGGCTTTAATTGCCTGCATCACCATAATGTGAAGGTTTTAAAAGAGAAAAAGGCATTCACCCTAAAATCATAGCTTCAGCCTCTCAAATATTAACTGTAAAGATCACCAGTTTAATTTCTCGCTCAAATTAGTATTGTAATTGTGGTATAACTATTAAACCACAACTTTTTTGTTTATGTATGGTAAGGAATGATTAATCATTGGTTTTTTCATCATTGGAATAACGCTTTGCTTTGGAATTTGCATAACCTGACATTCTGTCAAAAAATATGGCTCTGATTCACTCAGAAACAGTATAGCATTGCTTTCACCCCATTTATGAGTGTCTCTCTTTTCTTTTCTTTTTCTTTTTTTTTCCTGTCTATTTCATTGTCTAGAATTAATCAATTTTAAGTAATTTGAAGGGCGCAAATTTCTGTCAAGGGCATGATGCGGTGAAAATTAATGGTTCTCTTTTGTAGTGATTAAGAAAATGTGTCAGAGAGTTGAATTATGGAAATTTTGCTTCAGTTTTGCGCAATTCCAACTGGATTGATTTTCCATTTTGGCTTGTATGAAAACATGGAGCCCCCCTTCCCGAGTGTACATCTTATTTCTGTCTCTCCATTTGGGAATAAGCTTTTTCCTTTTTTATTTTACCATTTCTAAATATTAATTATTATGGCTTAATTGCTTAGCAATAAGCTAATAGGGTAGTCCCCCCCCCCCCTTGAGAGGCTTATACCAACTAACAATTAACTAAATAATACTGTCAAATATAGGAGTGATGTAAGTTTGGATTAAATCGAATTTGATTTGATTTTTTTGAATAATATGTAATATTATAAAATTTTAAAATTTAATTTGAATTTGAATTGAATTTTTTTAAAATCGATCTAATTAAAATTAAATTTTATTGATTCGGTTTTATTCAATTCATCAGTTTTAAATTTAAATTTTTTTAGATATTATTTTAATAAAAATTTAATATATTTAGATAAATTTATATATAAAATAATTATTTTTATTTTATAAAAATTTAAAATATATAAAAATTAATAAAAATATATAATTCAATTTATTTTTAAAATTTTTTCATATCTAATCAAATCAAATACTAAGGTTTCGAATTATTATTTTTTTCTCTTCCATTGCCAAATATGATTTTTTTTTTAGTATATATCAGCTTGAAGATGAAATATGATTACTTTTTAAATACTACTTCAATTTGGTGTTAATAATCATATTAGGACGATACAATTTAAATATTATGAAATGATATGTTGTTTTAAAATTATTTCTAAAACTTTTCCTAATCAGAAAGATTGTCTATTTAAAACTTTCATCAAGAGCATGCCACGTAGCTACTACGAGGTCCCCTATGCTAGACGGCGACGTCTGATTCGCCTGTCCTGAAACAACGCTAAGATCCTGGGCATTAAAGCAGGACCGGGTCCTTGTGAAAATAAGGCCCGTCAAATGCGGAACGCTCCTGAAGTGGGACCCAGAAGGCCTTGCTACGTCTACGTGGGCCTCGCTCGTGTCCGGACCTGTTTGGTTCGGTACCAAACCAAGGATTTGAATTTTTTGAACGTTGAAGTCTAAGGCTAAGGGAAGGCAACATGAATATTGTTAAATTATTCTATATGCTTTCTGCTACATGTATTTTATATGGGCCTATTTCTTTTTTTTTTTTTCTTCCCTGTCTGCTTCTTCCTTTTCATCAATCGGCCATACCAAAAAAATATCAGTTCAATTCAATGGATTTTTTTTTTCAAATAGTTTCAATTTTCAAATATTGTGGCAATTATTATGTATCTACCTAAAAAATTTGACATGGCTAAAGCTTCTTTTTCTTCTTATGTTTAATTACTCTATGCTTTCGAAAAAAAAATTAATGCATTTTAAAACTAGTTTTATGTTAATAGCTAAGAACTTAGTACTATAAGTTGTCCCAAATTGCCAAATTAAGTTTTTCCTTTTATGTTTGAATTGTCCTTTTTCCCCTAAAGAAATTACTATTAGAATAAGAAGAATAGACAACATTTTACAGAGGAATAATTTTTTTTTTTTTTTATGTCAGTTTTGTAATGGATCGGACTTTATTCCCGGGCAAGTGTTTCAACTCCAAGAAAAACCATATTGTTCATAATTAATAGACTTTAATTTTCATTAATTTTTATAATGTCATTACTTTTGCCAGCATTTGGTCTACATACCTTTCATGTTATCCATGTTATTAGAAACTACTTTGATTTAGTCCGTTAATCTAACAACAATCATAAATTCTTATAACAAAAAACAATGACCATTTATAAAGTAATCCAACAAAACATGGCAAAAAATCATCTGAAATTCCAACCCTATTATCAGACTATTCAACATTCAATTTGCAAAAAATGAAATGTCCAAGAGGAAGAGATATGTTTCCGCTTTTCTTTTCCTTTACTTAGGCCTCGAGATCATTACGTCGACCAACATATTTAGTGGCATTTGGTTTACGCTTTCATTACCTCCTACTCCTAGTCTTAAGATGACACAAAAGCTTTATTATTAGTTTGTAACTGTTTTCAACAACCATTTCCATTGCCGAAAGCTGGTCGTTGCCTACCGGTCGATCAGGAGGTGGACCATCTTTCACGTAAGTATTGGACTTATTAGGAAATGTTTGAAACGCTGCTTTCAAACTTTTTTAACTAGCGCAAGTATGCAAAACAAAAGAATTATACGTGGCGAAGTGCTAGTTATTTTCTTGGCTTTTAAACTCAACCAAGATGTCTCCAGCTCCGGCACATGGATAAATTATGTAGTTCCATAGGAAAGTTAGATAAGCTTTTGTTTGAATACTAATAATGTGCTAGTTTTGAGCTTGAGTGTTATTGATAACATTTTAGTAATCTAATCTCGCATAACCAATT